CTATTACTTAGAAAGCAGGGAGGTTGAGACAGTTGATGAACTGCGGAAATTGATAATTTCAGACCGAATGAAGCATCTCATGGCGGAGGACGCGCGCATGTATGTCCTGCAAAATGAGACTAAGGACTGGCTAAGGCCAAAGGAGCTCGCGCAGCTGGCTGAAAGGTTCGGGGAAAGTAAACGAGGGACTCGTGGAGGCCTCGAGAAACGTGAGAGCACTGGGAAACAATTTGTTCCAAAACAAGACCAGAGGTCCAATAAGGGGACAGCTGCAGGAAGAGGAACATGGGATCGATCGAGCGCTGTCAGGTGCCATACATGTGGGAAGCAAGGACACTATCGCAACGAGTGCCCGCAGAGCAGGCCCGTCGGAGATAAAGGGCATGCCGAGGCCGGGCGGTCGGGCGCGCCGAAGCTTGCGGCGAGAGCGGCGGTGGGGCCGGTGGGTCGACCGACAGAAGCACCTGTCGCAGTTGAAGCTGACGAGGAGACAACGGGGCTGACGTGGTTGACTCTTAAAACCGGAAACGTGTCGTTCCAGGCTTTGTTAGATTCGGGCGCGGACATAACGGTACTGAGGTCAAGTATTGTGATTGATCAGGTACGCGGCCAGGGGAAAGGCAAGGTCAGTCTGAGGGGGGCGTTCGGACACAAGGTGTCCGCCGACCTAATGTACGTGCCGTTGGGCCTAGAACTAGCTGGTAAAGATATGAGTCCGCAGGTGACAATCTTGTGTGCTGTAACGGATGAACTAGCTGAAGGGGTTGATGCGCTACTCACGCCGGACGCGCTAGAGGAGCTAGAACGGGCGCAGAAACTGCTCAGTGAGGAGGCAAAAGAGATTATCGCGATCGAGGAAGCACGGACAAAATCAGAACAGTCGAGAAAGCAAATCACTCCGCTAAATTTTGAAAGTGAAGCAGACGCGGAAGAAGCCACTGAGGCCAGCGCCGTAAATTTGGTGACCTGCAGTGTCACCCCAGAAGCAGCTGATCCGACTTTTGCCGAGGAGCAAAAGATGGATAGTACGCTGGAATCCTTGTGGGAACAGGCGCGTTGCGGAACGCATGGCATGGTAATCCGGAGTGGACTTTTGTTTCATGAACAGGAGGTTGAAGGGAAAAAAGAGATGCAACTGGTGCTGCCGAAGTCTCGTCATGCCGAGGTATTACGGCTGGCACACGACACCCCGTGTGGGGGGCATTTCTCGCAAAAGAAAACTAAACAGCGGATTAGAAGTGCTTTCTTTTGGCCAACAATGGCCGCTGACGTGAAACGGCATTGCCGAGCTTGTCATGAGTGTCAGGTATGCTCCCGAGGGAAAGTTACAGACCGGGTCCCGATAACTCCGTTGACGAGGCCCGAGCGACCCTTTGAGACGGTCTACATGGACTGTATCGGTCCGCTCGAGCCGAGCTCGGCCCGTGGCCACAAATATGCATTAACTGTAGTGGATCTGTGTACGCGATGGCCCGAGGTCATACCCCTGCGCTCACTTACGGCAAAGGCCACGTGTCAGGCGCTGGTGGACGTGTTTTCGCGTTATGGGGTGCCTGAGCTGATTTGCTGCGATCAGGGAACCAATTTCACCTCCCAACTCACGAAAGAGCTCCTTGACCGCCTCGGTGTGCAGATCAGGTTCTCAGCACCAGACCACCCCCAGAGTAACGGAATTGTTGAACGCTGGAACGGCACATTTAAAGCTATGCTTCGACACGTGGTGAGCGAGAAAGGAGGGCAGTGGGATCTTTATGTGCCTTGCCTTCTCTGGGCGTATCGGGAAGTCCCCAACGAAATTACGGGGAGCTCCCCGTTCGAACTGATGTATGGCAGGGAGCCACAGGGCCCGTTAACGATACTGAGAAAGACATGGACGGGAGAGTGGACCCCGCCATTGGGCTTAAACAAACCGACAGCTGAGTATCTCAGAAGTTTAAGGGACAGAATGGCAGAAGCGGCGCGAGTGGTGAACGAGCACTCCGAAGCTCTGCAAAGTGCCTATGCGCAGAAGTATAACTTGAGAGCGCGTCCGAAGAGCTTTGAAGTAGGGGAACAAGTGCTTGTGCTCGAGACGGGTATGGCGAACAAGTTGCAACCTAAGTGGTTGGGACCTGCCGTGGTCACAGAGCAAAAACGCTCGGACAGTTACATTGTCCGCTTTGCTGAGGGAAACGAGCGCTGGGTGCATGCGAACAAGTTGAGGAGATACATAGTGCACGCGAACAATGTCGGCGTGATCTTCGAGTCGGATGACGACTTTGGACCCGTGGAAAGCGTGCCAAGCGGACATACACATGACGTTAGTGTCGAGGAAATCCTCACGGGCTCTGAGAACCTGACCCAGAGTCAGACAATGGGCCTAAAACAGCTGTTGATGGGGTTCCCGTCGGTGTTTTCTGAGCGACCTGGACGATGTGAGGTAGGGGTCCATCGGGTAACTCTCGTACCTGGAGCGAAAGCGACTAAGTCGTATCCGTACAAGGTACCGCTCGCTCTTAGAGCCGAGGTCGAGCGACAGATTGCTCAACTGCTTGATTGGGATTTTATCTACCCCATCGAGAGCAGCTTCGTGCACCCAATTGTGTGCGTTGCAAAAAAGGATGGAACGGTGCGCATGTGCATAGATTACCGACAGCTAAACGCCATGTCAGAAACCGACAGCTTCCCGATGGGAAATGTGACAGAGTTGTTGTATGATGTAGCCAAGGCTCGCTATATTTCGCTCCTAGATATGACAAGGGGTTATTGGCAGATCCCAGTTGAGGAGGAGTCGCAGCGTTATACTGCTTTTGCGACACCTAGTGGCCTTTATGCGTGGAAGGTAATGCCTTATGGTCTAAAGAACTCTGCGGCCACCTTTCAACGGGTGATGAATGAGCTACTGAGAGAGCACAGGAGCTATGCATCCGCATACATTGATGATGTAGCAATATACTCAGAGACGTGGGAGCAACATTTAGAACACCTTCAGAAGGTACTCGCCACCATCGCAGAGGTGGGATTGACGGTCAATCCTAAAAAGTGCAAGTTTGCCCAACCAAAGGTAAGGTACCTGGGGCATGTAGTGGGTTCATTGGGCCACTCCCCCGACCCTGAGAGGACGGGCGCCATATCGGAACTGAAGGCCCCTAGGACGAAAAAAGATCTCAGAAGCGTCCTGGGTCTCTTCAATTATTATCGAGACTATGTTCCGGGGTATTCCGACGTAGTGCGCCCGTTGACGGATCTCACGAATCGTCGGGTGCCGAACAACATTCCGTGGAGCATGGAGGCGGAGCGGGCATTCTGCTCGGTAAAGGCGACACTCGCTAAGGTGCCGACGCTGGCAGCCCCGGATCCCAATAGGGAGTTTGTCTTGACCACCGATGCATCGGAGCGGGCGATTGGGGCGTGCCTATCCCAGGACTTTGAGGGGGTGCAGAGGCCGATTGCGTTTCTAAGCAAAAAACTGACGGCCGCTCAGACCAAATGGTCAGCGATTGAGAGGGAGGCGTTCGCTGTTGTTTGGGCTTTGGGGCGCTTGGACACCTGGCTGTACGGCACAAAAATCAGGGTCGTAACCGACCATAATCCACTTACGTACCTGACACGCTCGACGTCCTCCAGTGCTCGCTTAACGAGGTGGTCGTTGGCGTTGCAAAAGTATGACATAGAGATATCGCACATAAAGGGCGCACTTAATTCCTGCGCAGATGCACTGTCGAGGCTCGACAGAGATTAGAGGAAGCGCTGGCGGAGGGAGACGCTGAGAGGTGTCTGTAGTTTCCTTTCTTGGAACATTTTGCATTTGTTTTCAAATCGCATAGTTTTAGTTTTATTTTGAATTTTTGTTTCTCCTAGTGCGAACTTTATTAGCAGTGGAGTGTCTGGTAGTGTTTGCACCCGTACAGTAGAGCTTTCCGATTTCCGGGTTTCTATATATACACGGACATTGTGGAATCTGGAATGTACGGCTCTGGGTCTTGCTCTGTGCTGTGTGTCTCCGAAGTGACTTACAGTGGGACTGATGTTGCGCGAACAACAAGTGTACTTGCAACATTCTTGGTGGGGAGGTGTTAAGTTTGTAGCAATCTTGCTTATTAGTTAAGGGGATTTCTGTTAGGAAAGTTTGTCTTTCCAGAGTTGCGTCGGCATTGTTTTTTTTTTTTTTAGCTTTCTATGTTTGTGTCGGCGGGGCCAGAGCGTCTGCGATGCGGGAGCGGTTCCCCCCGCGGTCGTTAAGAGGCGTCTCGGGTTTCGGCAGCCTGCTCGGACCGGGAGCGGGACAGCCCGCGCTTGGAGAGGCTTGTAGCTTTTAGCCGAATGTGCCTGTACATAGAGGTTTTTGCCGCTTAGTATCAAATTGTCGCCTTTTACCCGTTGTAATAATTTAGCTGTTGGCGCCAGTCCGTCTGCGTAAAATGCAGGGGTTGATTCTAGAAAGAATTTGGATTTGGCCGTTGGAAGTGCTAGGCTGACAGCTTGTCGACCATTGGAGAACAGTGTACCACGTGGGAGTGGTGAAATTTGAAGGGATTGGTTGGACCCTGAGGGGAAAGGAGGCCCCTACGAGGCTACAAAAGGACCCCCAGAGGGATTCCGGAGGATTGGCTTCGATTCGATTTTGGGGAGACTGGGAACAAAAGTACGGGGTTTAATTTTGGGATTTTCACTCACTGTTGAGTTGTTTTGTTTCATAATAAACGTGGCCACACTGGCCACCGTAAAGTCAACCAACGTCGCAATGTGTTCAGCGGGATCGAACAACTTTTAGTATTATTTTTCTTATTCGACTTCCCGGGGGACTTGCATCGGGCGAACATCAACATCGGTCGTCACCATCCTGACCGGCCCCCTTTTCCTCGGAAAGTTGACTGGGTCTATTGTTACACTCTTATGCGTGTGGTTTTTAGAAGAAACTTTTAAGCCAGGAAAAACCGCGGTTTTTCCTGGCTTAAAAGTTTCTTCTAAAAAGGACACGCGTAAGAGTGTAACAAATGCACCACCTAAAGACACTTTTGTGAAAAAGATTAATTGCAGTCAGTTTATTGGTTTCTTTAAGCGAATTTGTTTGCCTCCATTATAGCACACGGAAACACACTGGACAAAAGGTTTGCGAAAGACGTCAACGGCGTCATATATTGCCGACGCCAAAACCGGCGTGTTCTTTATTCCCTGGCTAGGTCCTGAAGCATCTGCAACTGCGCCTTGAGCTCCTCCATCTTTAGACCGATCGTCGGTTTCACCCAGAGCTGCTGCTTGGCGTCCAGACCGCTCAGCAACTCGCCGAAGTCGTTCAGCGTGTCCTGCACGATTTCTTCGGCTTCTTTCGCGTCTTCGCTGAAGTAAACGGTACCCGCGGAGTGCCTCTGAAACAGTGGACAATAAAAGACAGGAAAGTAAATAGACAGGTAACATAAGTACCAAGGTTAAAAACTCGTACGATTTTCGCGACCTTCAGAAATGGCGTGAAAAAGAAGAAAAAAAAGTAATGAATTATGTAGCTGTAATGTTTTCCACTGGTCAGAAGAACAAAGTATATAACTAATGGGGTTTATTCAGGAATCTCAATCTGGGGAGGGGAGGGGGGCGACTCACTCTGGGGGGGGGGGGGGGGGGGGGGGGTAGGGAATCTGGGGAGGGGAGGGGGGACATTCACTCTGGCGGTGGGTGGGGGGGGGGGGGGGAATTGGGGAGCATTTAGGGAGATGGAACGTGGAACGTTTACTGAACGATTGCCGTTGGTGGTGAGATACGAGTGATCAAGTGTTAGATATAAATGCAATCTAGTCAGGTTTACTAACAAACGACGATCTCTGCTCACAGAATATTTCCTTAGTGGCACAACCTTACTGATGTTCCAGAATACAAGTTTTTAGGGGTTCTGTTTTCCAGCGAACTGTCCTAAAAAACGCTCATGTTAATTATCTGTCCTCTAAGGCTAGTCGCACCCCCGTTAAACTTTCTTAAACGTAACTTCAGGCAAGCACCCACAAAACTCAAAGAAACTTTGTACATGGCGAACGTGCGTCCGATTTCAGAACATGCTTGCGCCGCGTGGGATCTTTACACCACAACAACTATAGATGAGCTCGAACGTATACAGAAACGGGCAGCGCGGTTTGTGTCAGGCGACTATGATTTCTCGAAAAGCTTGTCTGTTATATGTAAAATTTTAAGGTGGCCTTCGCCTGCAGAACGCCGAAAATATCTGACTGTCCTTATTTTATAACACATTTAATCTCAGAAATGGCATTAATAAAGAACAATACATAAAAGATCCAACCTATGTGTCTCCCCGTACAGATGTGAATACAGGTGCAGAATGAACATATTTAAGTAGTTTCTTTCTCCGTACAGTACAGGATTGGAACACCTTACCAGCTGAAATTGTCTCTGCTCCACATTTCTAATTTTTTGTTAAACCCTACAAAATTTTCTGTTAAATTAGTTATCTTCGTTAATAGTTTGTTATCGACAAGCAACGGCGGCGCAGCGGAGCAGTTCATCGATGCGATGAGCAACTACCACAAACATATAGCTAACAAGACAGGTATCAAGACAAGGATCGGCGGCGCCGGTCAAAGGAACACTACCCCGGACCGTACCTGGATAGCGAATACTTACAAAGAACATCACGAATGGAAGAGTCTTCCAGAAAACTGGGGGAGCGATCATTTCCCAATCACTTTCCAATTCTCACCGACTCGGAAAGCAGGGCCAGCGCAGAAACGACAAGTTAAAACAATACACTGGGACGAATTCAGGCAAGCATTGGAGGCCGAGACTTCGGAGGCCGCATCCTAGGCCTAAGACTTCGGTGTGCCATTGGGGTCCATATCACAAGAGCGAATGACATTTTAGCGAACGGCGACATTTGAGCGAATGCTCGTTTTAGCGAATAACGGGGGCGCGCGTTAACCCATCCGCCGCGCTGCGCTTTACGCCGCTTCGCGGCGACAGTCTGCGGCAACTCGTTACAAAAATATGAACTCACTTGGTCCACCCGAAAACGCCGCTTCGCGGCGTCCGACTATTCGCTAAAGTGTCGTTCGATGAAACGTGGGCGTTCGCTAAAACGTCATTCGATCAAGTGAGTGCCTCCCGTGCCATTGCGAAAGCCACAATCAAAAGCAAAGTGGACGAAGATGCGCCTACACCCGACCTGGGCCTGCAGTGCTGCTCGCGCCGCCCGAGAGTGATGCAGGCACACAGGAGACGACCACGCACTCCAGTCAAAAGACGCAACATTACGCGAGCGACAGTCGAAGCTAAAGTCTACGACAAGAAGCTGGGACTTCAGCGGTGGCACAGCTTCTCGCTTTCCGAGAAGACGTCGGGACTCGGTGGCCCGGCTGTGGGCCACAAGAACGTTGCTTGGAAAAAAGTAGACCAAGGGAGCTACGGCCACACTAGCATTCAAGAGGGGGAGACCGAAAAAGAGTTGGCGGTTATGGCGGGGGCTGTTCTTTCCTCAACCGACGGAAGACCCCTCGGCCCTACACGCAAGAACACTCGCTCCAGACTCGCATCTGGATAGGCCATTTATAAGGGGAGAGCTGCAGAGCGCCCTGCACTCTAGGAAGGCCCACACCGCACAGGGACCCGACCAAGTGACGCCCGACCATATCAGACAAGAGTTCCTGCACAAGATCAATCAGGTCTGGGAGTCTGGGCAACTGCCCCAAGATTGGAAACGCCCAGCAGTGGTTCCCGTTCCCAAGCAAAGGAAAGGCAAAAGCGACCTCGCAAACTATCGACCCATCTCACTCACGTCGTGCATGTGCAAGGTCATGGAGAGAATGGTTCTACGTCGTATCGAATTGCTGCTCAAAATAACAGGCGTTTTCCACCCCGCGCAGACTGGGTTCCGGCACGGCCTGAGTACGCAGGACAGGCTAGCGCTCATTTCTGCAGGAATCATAAAAACGACCACGCGCCAAGCCGTGCGCATCATCGTTGCGATGGACGTAAAGAAAGCGTTTGATTTGGTTCCCCATGTCACAGTCATTCGCGAAGCACAACAGCTCTGCCTCGGTGGGAGGCCGCTCAACTTTATCCGGGCCTTCCTGACAGGAAGAACGTAGTCGTCTGTCTTACCTTTCGTGCGACTTCGCCTTCCAGAGAGGGCAGACGAAATAACTCGAGCGGTACGTTGTTTTTGTCTAAAAACTAGCACACGCGCATCAAGGAGGGAAGTCAGAGGACTCACTGGCGACTAGGTGTCCCGAGGCGCCGAGGTTTGTTTGGTAAGAACCGAGAGTGCGTGTTAGTGTCCGCAAGTTACCCCCCAAATGCTTTTTCCCTCCTTTCGCGTGCGGCGAGACCCCTCATTCTTTAAGCGTCGGTGGGTTGGCGCAGTTAACGTCGTCTGCTTTACGTCTGCTAGTCAAAGCGATGGCTGCTTTACCTTTCCTGCGTCTGTCGGAGATTCACCACTTTTTCACCGGCGAGAGTCACCGTTGCCTCAGGAAACAAGGAGATAACAAGACGAAGAAATTGACCTCTTAATCTAAAACTGAGGTCAGCGATCAAAGTATAATACGGGAAGGGTTCACAAGGGTCGCGCGGGCATATTCCATTCAGCACACCAGCCGATCGTGGGCAGACGGTCGCCGAGTCGCGGAGTGCCTGCTAGGCCTAACTGCCGTGCTCGCTTGGTTGCGTTCGGTGGAATCGTGGCCGTTGGAGCTTTTCCCGGGTGTTCGTGGATCCAGCGTTCTTGTTCGTCGGGGTCTGTTTCAAGTACTTTTTACTTTTTTCTTCTGCTTGAAGTCGGAACGCGTGAGAAGCGCACGTAGAAAAATAAACGTCCGTGGGTCGTCGCGACCGCGACGCTGTCGGCCATGCTGATTTGATCGTAAGAAGTGCGTAAGACAGCTTCGGAGCTGTCGTAGGATTTCGTCGTAACCTGCGCAAAACTTACGAAAATTTCGTTTCGTGAATACGAATTCGTTCTTAAGTTATGTCTTACGCACATTTTTGGCGTAAGATCGTTTCGTGAATCTGAGGCCAGATTCTCAAAGCGAACTTACGACGAAAAAAATGCGTACGACAAATTTGAGAGAAAATCCGTATTCTCGAAACGAAATTGTCGTAACTTTTGCGCAGGTTACGACAAAATCCTACGACAGCTCCGAAGCTGTCTTACGCACTTTCTACGATCAAATTAACATGGCCGACAACGTCGCTCAGTTGCTCGGTCGCGACGACCCAACGGACATTTATTTTTCTGCCTGCTCTTCTTGCGCGTCCCGACTTCAAGCAGCAAGAAAGAAATGAAGAAGTACTTGAAACCGACCACGACGAACATGAACGCTGGATCCAGACACCCGGAAAAGGCAACAAAGGCGACGATCCCACCGACCAAGCGAGCTCGACAGAATATATAGGCCTAGCAGGCACTCCGACCCGTTCCGGCGCAGCATTGCTCAGACGGTCCTTGGCCAAGACCGTCTGCCCACGACCGGCTGGCTTGCTGAATGGAATATGCCCGCGCGACCCTTGTGGACCCTCCCCGTGTGAATAGTTTGATAGCTGAACTAAATTTCAGAGATCAACCGATTCCCCTTATCATCTCGATCACCTTGTTTTCCGAGGCAGCGGTGACGAACGCTGTGGTCGAAAAGGGACTCCTCGATTCTATCTCCTTGTTTTGTGTGATATAGAGCCCAAATAAACGCCGTATGGATTACCTTCGCAACACGGTATGTACACTTTGTTATTAGTATGCCATTTTTAACTGTCGAGCTGTATCAGTCTGTGGGAGCTACGTGATGCCGGTCCAACCTTTCTTTGCCGAGTGTCACGTCAGTATCGAGTTGCAATCGTAGAAGATCGGTCCCGAAGCGCTTACCGAAACGCAGTCTGAATCCAGCACTTCGATCAAACGCACGCGTCCGCTCCGAGTGTGAACAGGTATTTGCGTGACTCTTGCTGACACTCTCGTAGTTCAAACGTATCTTTTTTAACGTCGGCTCACTCCTGCATTTCCGAGGCCGCGAAAAACACCGCGGCGGTTTGTTTCCTTCTACGTCGCTTTGCAAACGACTGGCACGGGGCTTTTACCAACGATGACAGTTGTGTTGACTTCGTAGCGATCGAGTTTGTAGCAGTCGACGAAGCGTTTAAATCGTGTTAGCGTCGATATACCACTGCACGGACACGAACCCCAGACAAGCGGTGGTGGAAAGGTCGCCCGTGTTTATGAGAATCAGCTTGAACACTACACATTTACACACATACAGGACAGGACATACACAGAGCTGTCTATCAACGAGTGGTTAGCCTGTGTTTGTTATTAAAAATCCACGTGCTCCGAACTATGCCTAGCTCTCTAATTGGTTGTCCGTTTTGCCGAAGACGCCGTTGCCATAGCAACAGCACCGGGAGTCATCGTTTCTCCGTAAGAGGTCGTAACTTTCCTCCTCTCACTTAAGAACGCGTTTATGAATACCGTTCTCGCCTCATCTTACGATGATCGTAACTTTACGAACTTCGTAGCTAAGTTGTCGTGGGTAAGAGGTTTTTTATGAATCTGGCCGTCCTCTGCATTTCCGAAAGTCGCAGGAAAGGCAAGACGCAGACGACGTTGCGAGCAGACGACGTTGCAAAGGAGCAGACGACGCTCAGATAGGGGGTCGCGATCAGCCAATCAGGGCTCGGCGTTCTGACGTCACCGCTACCCCCTGCGCAAGAAGCAAACGAACTTGCCCCCCGCATATATTTTGTGTGTGTGTGGGAGTGCGTCTCTTTATGCGAGTTGTTCACCTACAGCTAGGCCACTTGTGCGAGCGCTGAGGCTTTCAGGGAGGTTCCGTTGGCGCCTCGAAGTTCTGCAAAAGTAATTGTAATTGTGCCAACATTACTTTCTAGCGCCAATTACTGGCGCTAGAAAGTAATTAAATTACAATTCCTTTTAGCCGAAAGTAATTAATTACAATTAGAGTAGAGCAGAGCATACCCAAGGATGCTCTACGACATGGCGCAGGCACGGACTCGGGCACACTGGGGCTGAATGCAGCACGCTAGACAAGGCACTGCCGACTCAAAATTTCAGAACAAGAAAATTGCACGGCCCGCGCTCCCTGAGCAACTTCCAGCCTGGGAGGAACTGCTGGACATCATAGAACACAAGCCCCTCACAGAAACAAGAGAGACTTGTAAGAGCACACAACAAGATGGTCGGACACTGGACCGATCCGAGCATTTTTGCCCACGCAGCCTACACAGATTTCGCTCTCGGCGACGACAGTCCCGGGGCGGCAGTAGCCTGCTTCGCATCAAGGAGCACTACAAGCACCGGCTGTGTGAGTGTTTGCCCTCACATCCGAATCCCCTTCCGGGGGAACTCGAAAGAGGACGAGTAATCCTCACTCCCACACACCGCCAACCCCACTCCGGCCCGGGTCGCCCGGTGGGGTAAATGGCGAGGGTCAGGCACTTTACCAGGTGCAACGAAACTGCCAAGGCGGATACTGTCCACCTCCTATGGGTCTGCCCATACTACCAAGTTATCTGAAGAAAGCACAAACGTATAACACCGCTGGAGGAGTGGGTGCGCCCACCTCCAAAACCACCAGCTAGACGACCAGAAGAATGTCCTGAAGTCTCCTACTAGGGCACCATACCTAGACTACGTCTTTGAGGCGAAGCTGGATGTTGACATGTAGTGTGTAGGGAGTAACGTAGTGCCAAGAGTGCCCAGGTTACGGTCACCACCGACACCGCCTCCCCTTAGTCCTTGGTATTTAGCCAATAAACGTTTTCCGTGTGCATATGAACCTTATCAACACGCTCGGTTTTTAATAAAGGAACTTTTCCACATGGAAAGTTCGAATGTAGTCGGGTGTGATATTTTGGACCCGCGGAGCTTCACTGACTGTATCAAAATCATCTGGTGGCCTAGTAGGCTATGCACCTTGCCCGCGATAGTAGTGAATGGACACCGGAACGACACAGCTCGATGCACTTACCGCGTCTTCTAGGTGTACCATCGCTTCTGTGAATTTCTCAGACAAGGCCTCGACAGACTTCTTGAGCTCGGCATCGGTGATTACAGACGACATTTGCCGGCATGGCGTTGTTCGAAGGCACTTATCGTCCACCGGTACAAGTGGCGGTCTCCGAGTTTGTAGCTGAGAATTGCGTTGACTGATCAACTGGCGCCACGTCAGGTGCCATCGCCGTTCGCAAATTTTAAGCGTATTTCTCCTCGGAACAACACGACCTACACTCAAGGCAAACCGAAAACAGCAGGGCACCGCCATCTTTGACGACCGTGGAGACCCGAGGCTAGATTCAGAACTGGTCGTTAGGTGGTAAAAAGATTTATAAAAAATTTTAACGAAAACCTAAAGTAGAACAATTACTTATATAATTTATTACTTTTTAGTTTAAATTTATGTGTGAGTATATTGTGTAATTTATTTTAAGAATGGTCTGCCATTTTCTGCTGGAGTGCAAATGTCATGAATATCAACAACAAAACGATGTCGGCTCCGGGATGTCAGTGTGCGGTGTTTTGATGGAATATTTTCTTCTAAGTGCTTGATTGAACTGCAAGAACAGAACAGTACGAAGAACTTCGAAAGTTCTCAAGGCGGGGAGGTCGGACGGCTTGGAGCAGTGAATCTGCTCTTTCGTAGATTTAAGCGAACGTTGAAACGCGAGTGTTCCGGTAAGCGAGTTGCAAGTTTGCGCGTCTCATACATCGCTAGAAAAGGAAAAAAACCTTCACTCGTGTTTGGCATTTGTTGACAGCATTCTGTCGACAAACAAAAATATCTCTCTCTGAGGTGACGGCTGACTTCTTCGGGGTTTGTTATAATATCTGACGTTACAACTTGTATTTACTTGCGCCAAGTTTCGGTCATATTCCCTTGTCTACGAGGACGTTCGAGCACGTGTTGTGTTGTGCTTGCTTCCTGTCATTTCTGTTTTTAAAGTACACGGTAGCAACATCATGCTACTGAAATTCTAAAAGTGGCCGCTAAGTTTTGCAGTAACGTTGTGCTTCTAAATACTGACCAGGCGACTTTGCTGATTATCGTACCTAATTAGTCAATGAAACGAAATAATTGTTATTAATTATATTTCTCGCTGGTCTGCATCGTCAAGACGGCATTACTGCTGGGATAAAGACAAGTATATTGTGTGAGTTTTCTCTGCTGCTGCTCTGTTTTTCATGAAGGCTTTCCTCAAAAAAGTTTCAACATATGCAACACGTTGCAACCCTATCTTGGTAAATGTTTGGCTCGCTAACCAACTAGTGCTTCTGGTTCACTGGTTGTTAACATTAACACAAAATAGTTGCAGGAGCTACTGTATAAAATATTGAGTGCACTGATAGAAACCATGAACATTTGGGAGGTTACTTGAAGGTACTAATACTTTATTCATACTTTGGGGGGGGTTGATCCAGGCGCAGAGGGTCGCAAAAGGCAGTGATGCCCATACCACAAAGGCTTGCGGTCCCAGCAAAGCACAACTGCTTGCAATTACCCCGTTAGCTTCTCGTTGCCACCTTATGTCTTCAATGAAGTCTTGATTAGCCTCGTCGCCTTTGGCTGCAAGGAGGAAAGACTCAGGTTTACCGAATAATTCATCCGCTCCGTGAAATGGTGGTCCCTGCAAGGCTTTTTTGCTGGAAATTAAACAGCCACTCTTGCGTTATGAAAAATGCATTCTTTTTCAACCAATCGGGGGGGGTTGATACCCAGCAAGCACCAGGTTCCAGCTCGGACCGACGGAACAACTTCTAGCCTGGAGACAATGACAGGGCAGATAACAGTGCATACATTGTGCATGCCACATGGCGATCGTTGTCAATAGTACCGACAAGCTTAAATTGCTGTCATGACAACACAAAGAAGCATCAGACTAGGTCATTACCTGGTTTTCCCAAGCTTCATTTTGCGAAGAAATGCTGGCAGCATATATTGCATCAAAGAAAGCTGAAATGGACTAGCAACATACCTTTCTGAAAAGCATGCTGTGCCGTTCATGGGACCGAAAGGAAGGCTGGAAAGTGGCTGTATAGAACCGTCTGCAGCAGACGACGAAAGTTTTGGAGCAAGCAGGATGTTTCCATACTTTGTTGTGTGCACGGCTTTGCAAAATTTTTATTAAGGTTCTATTTAGTGCTTCGGGACAGAACAAATGCCGGTGTGTCTGCTTTCTTTTCCTGCTCTTCTGTTGCTTCCTTTGTCATCCTTTCTATTGGGTCCGCCAACGACGGCGTGTACGATTTGCCCCACTCTGCTCCAGTCTTCACCCTTCCGGCGCATGCGCAGGTCTCTGACTGGGAGGGGCTGCCAGCCATGTCGAGAACAGCAGCAGACCTGACGCTGAGCGACATCTTGACGGTGTTCAGCGCCTCCAAGCCGGCCAGCAAGGTTGCATCCAACCAGAGGCTCTTCCAGGACCACCAACCTACTGCTGAGGAGGCCAGGGCCCTCGTGATGCCCCAGAGGCAGATGTGAGTGGCCGCCGACGAGCTGCAGTCAGCCGGGACATGGCAGGTTACACAGGACGGCTGCTGTGATACAAGTGTCATAAGAGAGTTTTTGTGACACAAGTGTCACAAGAAGGTTCCTGTGACGCACATGTCACAAGATAATTCCTGTTACAACTGGTGTCATGTGACAGCTTCGGTGACCCAAGTGTCACAAGAAAGTTAATGAAGCATCAGGTTTTACAGGGCCACTCCTGGTGTAACAGGTGTCACAATAAGGTTTTAGTGACATCTGGTGTCACAGGATGGCACTCATGATACAAGTCTCACAAGAGGTTTACTGTAACATCTGGTGTTACAGGGTTCATGTGACACCTGGTATAACTGGCATTACAGGGCAGTTCTTGTAATACAAATTTCACAAGAGGGTTCATCTGTGACTCCTGTGATACAAGTGTCGCAGGAGGGTTTTTGTGACATCTGGTGTCCCAGGATGGCTTCTGTGATACAAGTGTCACAAGAGTTTTATGCCACCAGTGTTCACGGTTTTTCCTTCAATGTTGGTATTAACCATGATCCTTCGGTGTCCTTATTGCATGCAGATCGAGCGGGACAGATTATGTCAAGCACTACCAAGAGAAAGAACTCCAGGCACTCAAGCGCGTGAGTTGGTACTTTTGTTGTAACATGCCCATGTTTGACAGCGGGTCGAACGAGGCTTCCTCGTAAAAGCCTCGAAATGTCATGCGGCGCAATTCACCACTAAAATACACCTTTGGTCCAAGTTTCAACTCATTATGCGCAGTAGCCATTTTTTCCGGCTCATTTCAGGTCGACGCCTTCCATTCTAAACACCCTACCATTAAATACCGAGCAAGTGCCCACCCAGAAGTAGACTCTGTAGCGAAAAAAATGGGGATAAGCGCTCGCTAGGTTTGAGAGCTGAAAAGCAGAAGGACACGCAATAAGCTAGGCCTCTGTTTGATCTGACGGAATGGCGTAAGAGCACTATAGGGACTTGGCAAGACTCTTAACTTTTAAGCCGAACTCACATTGGTCATACATCATACAAGAGACAGTCTGCAAATAAAAGTCGCCGTAATATCCGTGGCTCGAACGCCGAGTGCTAAGCTTTCTCCTTGAACTCATTGCTCTGCGGCATTTGAAGCACGGATCTCGCGGCGACTCGCGTTCGAATCTATATGCAGACTGTCTTTTGCATGATGCATAAGCGGCGTGCCCCCGCTTTAAAACTGCCACACCTCTTTCGTTAAGCTCTCTTACAACGAGAGATCACTGAAACCTAATCGAAAAGAGGATCCATCTCAAACCATGAGGAGCGTTTGCAGTATAGTGGCAGACGCTTCCCACGAAGATTGGTCGCAAGTGCGCATGTGCTGCGTTGTCACGTGGCGAGGAGGAAAATGGGCACGCAAAGGCCGAGGCACCACCAGACAACCGACGCGTTCGTAGCCTCCTCGCTGCTCGCATTGCAAGTTCGAGCTGCGTGGCCCAAACCACGTGGCCACGCGGCACGCATTTGCATTGGAACCGCTTGGCCCAGACCAAATCACATGGCACAGATCGACCAGTTGGAAACTCGGTAATGTGGGCTCTATACAGAACGCACGAGCACGCTGGCACCACTTATGAGGTGCTTTTGGAACCGCTTTTCACTAGAGCGAAGGTTTTGCAGTAATTTGGGAGACCACTTAAGTGTACACACTGTCTATGAGAAAGGGCCGTTCTTAACACTGCCAAAAGATTTTTGAGTCAAGAAAGAATGATGCACGAAAAAGAAAAAGGAAATATACGGAAATTGCGGGTGTTCCTCTGCTACCCGATAGATGGTGCCAGTGGGTTTTTTTCGTCATAAGAGATTTTAAGAGGTTTTTAAAGAACACATGCAAAGGAAAAAAAAACATTTATTTTTAACAGCCTAGATGGGAAAAGAATGTTATAAAAAAAATTTATGACACAAAATGAATTTGTACTTGGTGCCCGCGGGAGCCGCTGCGGGTCATGTGGTAGACCTGTGCGCCGCCGCGCTGCGCCACCACCGCCTCAAAGTCACGCCGCCACCGCACGCTGAGCGTGGTGCACCGCCAGTTCGGCGCGTTCTTCCACGCCGCCGCCACCATCACCGCGCAAGTTCGTCTGCTCCGGGGCACCCCCGCCGTCATCTGACCTGTGGGCAGGTCTATCACGTCTGCTTGCGCTCTTTCAGGATCTTCCTCTGGGCTCGTTACCTATTAATTTATGTCTTTTGTTGCACTTCAAACGAAGATGAATACATAACTTTTAGAGACCATAGGAAGCTTCCAAAAGAGTAGAAGCACCACGTGACAAATAGCGGCCAATGTCATGATAAATAGCGGACACTTTTCTGCGGTGCCCGCAAGCGCCAACCACAAATTCGTATTGCGCCGTAAATATAGCTCTAAAAAATGTCTTTTTCGTTGTAAATTCGTTTCATGATGTTCTTTTTCCAACCAGGCTTAAAAAAAAAAGGGTTTTTTTCCCTTTGCATGTGTTCTTTAAGGCAAACAATCCTAAACACCCCACAGATCTTTTTTTTTTTCGTTTTGTTTTTGTCTAAAACTGCAATTTGTAGTCAAAGACACGCAAAAAAATACCACAATGCAAAAACAAAAAAACAAAAGAAAAAAACACTTTTTTATTTTTGTCGCTTTTCTCTCCCTTTTCTGACCTCCTCACTTCGTTTTATTTGGGACATATTTGATTATGAAATTTATACCCTTTGTAAAGGGCATTTCCATAATATTTAATAATGACATTCGTAAATAAGGGTTTGGGGTAATGTCGCCTCCTGGCTTTTTATCCTCCCTCGGAAAACATGGCAGCACTCTGCACATGCACTGAGAGTGATCGGTGAGTCGGGGAATCGGACGATGTTCTCTTTTTCAGGCACGCGACGACCTCTCAAACTTTGAAAAGGAAATCGTCAGACGGTCAAAACAACTGGCTTTGGTGTCTGTGTACCGTAGTTTCGGTTCTGACTCCGCCAGGGCAGCCTTTCACGCAGACCCGGTGCGACGTGGCCCCTCACGTCGCTTCCAAAAGTCTGCTGCGCATTCTCTTCGACCTCACTTTGTTTAAAAAAATTTGAGACCAGTGAAAGGGGCCTAAAGGAACTTCAAACTCGAAAGTGGAGCGTCGTCTGCTCAGCAATAGGCGGCAGGCATAGAGAAGAGCGCTGGATCGCGGGACACGAGCAAACATGACATTTCGGGTCGTGACGGTTAGGAGGCGTGAGAGAAGCTCGAGTTGCAGGACGACTCAATCTTTGACGTCCCTGCACTGGCGCAGATCGCGCGGAACTTCAAATTCGGCTTTGGGAAATGGCTTTTTTTACTTCACGAATACTGAGTTCCCAAGTTTCAAATTTTGAGGGTAATGTCCAGGCATCAGTCGTTTTGGATAATAAAAAAAAAACATGATTTCGACTTGTCAGTGCCTCTTTAAGATTGAGAAATGGGGTGCGAGTCATTGCGCCGCATCATCGAGAATATGTGCTTCAACATGGCCGACCTTATCTTCCCAGACGGAGAGCGAGGCGGCAGAGCCGGACGCACTGGCGCCGCTGAGCACGATGGGTGCCGGCGTGGACAGGGTGACCCTGGCCGCAGAGCAGGCGCCGCTGGGGGACTTGCAGGCGGAGAGCAGCCAGCAGGTGTACTCCAACTACTTCCAGGGCAGGCCCTTCCTGCACAACCAGGACCTGCCCATTGCGTCGTGCAAGGACCAGGCATGTGCACTCAAAGCCACCGTTCGCTCTCTCAGGGGAAGGGGACCCGGCCTTCCTCGGAAAGAGTGGGCATGTTGCGTTTTCGTTGTCACGTTGGGGCAATACGACCTAGAAGACGAGGCACGCGCGTGACGTCGTCGTCAGTCGATCCCCGACCCGCCCCGAGCGACAAAGATGCTGAAGCTCAACAAGGGAAGCCACAAAGCAGCAGACGTGTCCGTCTCAGCGCCGCCGCACTGTGGCATCGCACTCGTTGCGAAAGGCGCCGTCTGCAATGCCGGCGCAGTCTAGGCGGTGCCGCGTGGGTTCGCTAGTATCGATGTTCGGCGGGAAGAGGCGCAGACCTCGTCTTTTAAATGGCAACGGCCAGACGCCAGGAAATGGGGCGTCAGAGTTGTCGTTGCGACGAGAAAAAGCGACGAGGTTTGTCGTCTGCTCCGCAAACCGTGGCGAGGCATGACATGCTTCAGTACGACGCTCTTTTAGATCGCAACAGGCGGGTCTGGGAATCGAGCCCAGGATTCCTGGGTTCCAAAGCACGAGCTTTAGCTCCGTACGCTCCGAACCCGTGGCGCGTCGGCACGCTCGGCCACAGATCCCCCTCATTCGCGTCCCTTTCTGTCAAAGTCTTTGGCTTCGCTAGGGTACGTAGAACGTGTATCGGACCAGTGTGCTCAGCATCCCATTCCGCCCACGCATGGAAAGTGGTTTCCGAAGTGGTGACGAACGACGTCGCAGAGGCAGGAGTGCCGCGCCGTCAGACGTCGCAATCCCGGTGGTCAGGCGTAGAAGTCCCGGAAAAATGTGCGCGAGAGAACGCGGGTGTCGCCGTCGGCGCGGCGTCCCAACTACCGGCCGTCTGCTAGTCCCGTCGAGCGGGAGAGCGACCTACGGCGGAACGACCGTCTGCCACGTCCAACGCCGCTTTTCTGACACCGCCAGAATTGCAACCGGCACGACGTTTTCTCGACGTCGTCTGGCGGAACTCGAGGGGCCGCTTTTTGGACGCAGTAAACTAAACGCGCCGGGGGGTGCCTCGTTCCGGTCGCCGTGGCTTCGCGGCATAGAAAAACCCGCTGCCCTCTGGACTGCGCGCCGTCTGCCAACTGCGCGTCGCTCGCCATGCAGCTGATCAAGATGGTGGAGACCTATCCCGTGGTGGTGGTGCAAGGCGCCACGGGCTGCGGCAAGACGACGCAGGTGCCGCAGTACCTGCTGGACCACTTTGCCTCCAAAGGGCAGCACTGCAACATAGTGGTGACGCAGCCACGACGCATCGCCGCCATCAGCGTGGCCCGTCGGGTGTGCCAGGAGCGTGGTTGGAGCCTGGGCACGGTGGTCGGCTATCAGGTACGTCGCTGTCGGCGCCGTCTGCAACCGCGGCCCTTCTCTTTTGCCGGTGTCTAGCTACAGGGTGTTTTCGAGCGCCGTTCGGGCGTAAAATAATCTGTAAGAGTAAGCCAATGGACGGAGTGCATCAAAACTTTTCACGAAGGTGCCTTTAAGCATTGTATTTATTGGGGTCAGATTTCCCAAACGTGGGTTTCGGGAAAAATACAGTTGCATCTCGTTAATTTAAGCTCTCTTGATTCAAACTTCTGGATAATTCAAACTAACATGCAGGTCCCGTCCTATATGTCTCTGGGAGAAAACTCCCGGTAATTTAAACTTTGCTTTATTCAAACAACTTTTCGGTCCCCCTTGGGTTCTAATTAACGATATTTAACTGTATATGAACCTAAAATGTCCTGTTTTTCCCTACGTGCAGGGAGGAAAACTGTAGGAACCGTTTGGTGAAACGCTGCGACTCACAAACGGTACCCCGTACACTCTGATCTCTCAGATCTGCTTTCGGTTGTTTGTCTCAAAGGAGCTTTTGCATTTTTACCTCATGTTGCATAAATCTGCGAGTAGCAGAGTCACCCAGACGTTTTTTACCATTCTCCTTCCCGTGCAGTTGAAGAGACAAGAGCCTTCTAGGCTTAAATTATGGCCGAACGGGGCTCGGAAACGCCCAGTAGGAAACATCCTTTCTAAGAGTTCCGGCTCTTCCATTGGCCGATTGTTGTGGCGCGTTTGCACAGGTGGGCATGGACAACCAGACGTCGGAAGACACCCGACTGGCTTACGTGACGACCGGAGTGCTGCTCGAGAAGCTGATTGGCCAGAAGGACATGAACCAGTTCACACACGTCATCATCGACGAGGTGAGTGCAAATTCTAGTTTCGAAATATTGCGGGTTGTGGCACTGCCCTTTTTTTTACAGTGGAGCTGTTAAGTAATAGTTTCTCCAGTATCGTGTTCGCGGGCAAACAAACGTCGACACAGAACTCTGGACAGCTACCGCCATTTATGAACGACAGCGGCAACCAGACAATTGGTTGTCTAGTTGCCGCTGTCGCTCGTAGATGGCACCAACCTTTCCAGCCTTTCGACTCCGATTTTCACCAGAGTGGAAAGGCTGAATTTCTCTAGGCGTCGACCTAGAAGTCGTCCTTGAGGCCGTCCTTGAGGTTGTCCTAGATGTCGTCCTTGAGGTCGTCCTAGAAGTGGACCTTGAGTTTGTCTTTGACGTAGTCTTAGAGGTCGTCCTAGACGTCGTCCCTGAGGTCGTCCTAGGTGTCGTCATCGTGGTCGTCTTTGAGGTCGTCCTAGACGTCCTTCAGGTCGTCCAAGAAGTCGTCCTTGGGGTCGTCCTAGACGTCGTCCTCTAGGCAACGTCCTAGACGTCGTAAAGACAACAGGTTCGCTGGTCCTCCTTCTTCACGTGAGGTGGAAGGGCTCTACTTTTTTTTTTTAAAACGGGCAAACCATTTTAGAAGTATTCTGGTTTCTAGCTTGTTTTCTTCCCTGAGTCAAGGAATGGGTCCTAGTAGGAGACAAGGCGTGTGAGGTGTCTGCCCACACTGACGTGGGCAGACACATTTTTGCTCCTCCAAAAAGGTTTAGTTCAGGTTTCCCCGCTAGTTTCCTTGTGCTCACACACAGTGTTGTGGTGCGGCTGTCAAATCTCCAGGTCCACGAGCGTGACCAGCAGACAGATTTCGTGCTCCTGGTCGTCAGGAAGTTCCTGCGCTCCAACTCCAGGACCGTCAAGGTAGGTTTCTTCAGATGGATGGTTGCATGCGGCCGAACCCGCTAAACCGGGCGGCTTGCTTGCGCCACTGACACTCCGTTTCACGACGACTTGGCGCACCTTCGAGGCTACGGCCCCTGCAACCCGACAAAAGTGTTGGAGCGAGACACGTGACGCGACGTCACGGGAGCGTGTTGTCGCGTCACGTGTCTCGCTCCAACACTTTTGTGCGCTAAATGAGAAACCCAGAGAAATGGCTTTCGAACATTTATGTTCTCTAGAGTAGCGAGCTTTTTGGAAACGGTTTGTGAGACAACCATACGCTCGATTTACCCCGCGAATCTGCGGCGGGTGCCAATGATGGGGCCCAGTGCGATGTTTAGAGCAGAAGCGTTCAATATACACAGCTGTGATTGCCAAACATTGGCGAATGTTTATTCCTTTTTTTAAAAATATATTCTGTTCAGACGTAGAATCGTGCGAGTTCCATTGCGGTTAAAAGAAAAAGAAGTCTAGAACTACCTTTTGTCCCGGACGGCACTGTTGCCGTGTCGGCAACGAGGCCTCCGTGGCCTCGACCATAGAGTGTTATCACGCGCCTTGCTTTATTGCTCTTATGGGTCACAAGGGCCACAGCCTCCACATTTTGCCAAGTTATTGTGAAACAAAGTTTGTGTAGCTTTTGTCTTGAGACCGGGCACCACCTAGAGGCCAGGTGCACACTTACACATTATCCGTCCTAAAGATTCAAAAAGGGCGCATGACGTGACGGTGGCTCTGGGGGTGGGTGGTGCTGCTATTACCACCGCCCTGCCCCACTCTTTTTGCGCGTTGCTTAAACTCAATGGTTGACAATAAATCAATTACTTTTTACAAAAAAAATAAAATTGTAAGGGTGGCCATATTTGCCTCGGGGGGTAGTGTATAGACCAGTGTCCGAAATCCTAGCCCCCAGCGATAAAAATGGGAAATAACAATTTCAAACGCAGGCTCTTGTGAGGAGGGGGGCTGGGCACAATGCAAGATTTTTTTGCTTTTTACAGCTCTCTGCATTTGCGACGTTCTTGCACTACGACATGTGCAAAGGATTTTAAAAATCTGAGTGTTGCAGAAAGCGCAGTCCCCCTACTGTGTCACAGTGTCGGCATAAATAAACATGGCGGCACTCATGGAACGAAGCAGACACCGGTCTATTCTATTTTATGCGCAGTAATTAATTTTACTGGGAGATGGGTCAGGACTTCGTTATTCAGAATTATTTTAATCCCACAAAGAAAAAATGATCAGGGGTGGAACGGCTGCACCATTTGCACCATTTTGCGCCAGACGCATTTGTCTGCACCATCCTGAGCCATGTTGCAGAAACTGTGGCACAGCCAATACCTCGCACCATTATGCGCCAAATTGCAAAACGTGCGCCAAAGAAATTTTATTTTGTCTTGGTTTCGGTTTCTATCGACTCGATTGGCAACAATGAGCGCGTCCTTGCAATCCTTTGTTTTCTTTATTCTCCCTGTGTATCCCGAGTCGGAAGCGCGCGAAAAAACTCGGGGGTCGGATTTTCAGCGCTACACCACCTGCGACTGGATTGTTATTCTTCAACCATAAGCGGTTAAGCATGTCGGCCGAGGTGAGGTCGAGTCGTTAAATGTCATATTGCCTGAGGCTCTGTGGCCCGGGATTCGGACGTCAGCCAGTTGAAAACAAATGAGCAAAAGATTTCTTTGAGTACTTCATCGTTAGAAGTTGGAACCGCATTCCCGCAGGATAAATCGTGATTTGATAGAACTGAAACGCGGTCCGATCCGAAACCTTGCCGGGCAGCAGCTCTCACGCGGTCTGCTCGGCATACTTTAACCTTGCACCTGCTTATTGCTTTGAATACGATATCTCCGTTAACCGTAGCCTGCTGCTTCGATATTGAGTTGCACGATAGGATAAACTCGAAATTTGTCGCCCCGTTCCTCCGTGCAACTGCACATCCGTTGCTTACGCACATCAAGTGGTTCGCACATATAATTACTATGTAGAGCACGTGTGGGTTGTGCTATAAGCAGTGCTGGTTTGCATTTTGAGCAGTTGAAAGCCACTCAGAAAATATTAAGGACGCTATCTTCAGAAACACAGGGTACTTGATTTTTGATTCTATTAAGGCTCACAAAGTTTCAAGTTTTCTCATCTGTTACACTGTTATCCCATCTACCTATAGTCGGCAATAGGTCAAGAATGAAGTGGAAGCTCCTCCCACCCCTTTCCACTTCAGAGTAAACGATGTAGAGAAGTTCGCCTCCTTTCCAGCATTCACTCTACTAAAGTGCAAAGAGGTGGGAGGAGCTATTCGTTCTTGACCTGTCACCGACTACTAAAGGTCCCTGACCACTCATGTTCATCTGTGCTGCTAAGCACAATTGAAATTGCTCCCGTGCTTGTCTAAGACAAGCTGAAGTGCAATGAAAACTGACCTGAGCTGCTCCTAGCCTGCTCCAGAACGTAGTTTGGGCTGCACCCAACCTGCTCCAAAACAGCTGTTTCAGCTGCTCCCATGGCTGCTCCCAAGTACATTTTATGAGTTCCACCCCTGAATGATGCAGAACAAAACTAGGAACTTTTTGCAGGTCGGAACTGTTCCAGGGCTACCCGGCAGATGGCGCTTGTGTGCTATCTTGTAATCAATCACAAGTGGTTGCAATGCAGTCAGTCGCACACAAATCTCTGGACCAGCCTTAAAGCGGAAAATTCATTAGAGGAACTTAAAATTATGCAAGTTTGATTATGCTGACAAAGACCGGGGAATGCAAAATGTGTTTTGCACAAACTGCACACTTTTTTTTTATATACAATTTTAACGTTTTGTAACACTCATCCATGACACTCATTCACGGCGCTCGTTCACGGCGCTCTTTTATGACGGTTTTCTCGTAGAAAACTAACCATAAAGCACACTCCGCGTTAAAAGATGCGGCGCAGCTTTGGGGGACTAGACTTTTCCGCTGACGGCAGTTTGGCCCTGGCCGGACAGGTGATCCTGATGTCCGCCACGATTGACGTGACCTACTTTGCGGAGTACTTCTCGACGTCGTTCTTCAACAAGCTGGAGCCGGCCCCCGTCGTGGAGATCCCGGGCAAGATGATGGCAGTCAAGGAGTACTACATCAACAGCCTACGCACCCTGGGGGAGGTGAGTAGCACGTCCCGCCGCTCCGCAGCACCAGGTGCCGCCACGGCACTTGGGACACATCTCCAACGAGTCCATTTAGCGTCCCGTTCCGCCCGCGCGATGAAAGTGGTCCCGAATTGGCAACGTACGACGCCGCAAAGGTCGAAGCCTCCACGGATCGCCAAGCCAGAGAGCGACCTGCGACACAGTAGGGATTGCGACAGTGCGACACTTTTATGACTGTCAGAGACATGTTCCAGGCGCCACGGGTCTCGTGCGGGTACACTGACAGATGCGGTTAAATCTACTTTGTACGTAATCTCATACATAACCTTAGTTGAATCTACTTCGTATGTAATCTACCTTATACGTAATCTTCGTACATAATACAATAAATCTACTTCGTACGTAATCCAAGTGTGAGCCCATCTTGCCGTGTGTGGTTGCAGATTCCCCAGTTCGATGAGAACGACCCGTCCATTCCGCTGGAGTCGTTTGTGCTGGCCCATCGCCTCGTGAAGGCGTTCGACAAGCTCGAGGTGTCCGAGCAGACGTGAGTAACGTTTTGGTCGCGTCGCTGAGTCGAAAGTGTTATTTTTAATTTTTAGATGCGATGTGGGGAAGCTCGGGTGACGTCCATTTGCTCTGTCGTGGACAATTTTAACGTCTCGTAAGGACGGAAAGCCGTTTAATGTGATTCCAGGTAAAGCTTCTGACAACTGGCATTAATGAATTTAAAGGAGAGCTTTGGCAAAATTGCGATAGTCACTTATTTGCCTCAAAAGTACATTAATAGACGCATCCGAACTAACAACCCAAATCACAAATCAGTGTAATTTTTCTTCGCTAAGTTATTGAAGTTTAGAATTTGGTTCGAGAGGCCGAGATGCTCTACTGCCAACATTAAAAATGTGATGTCAGTTGTCAGTGCGGAGCTCAAGTTTGCTTCTTTTGCAGGGATAGTGGGCAAGTTGGCCCACTATCCTTCAATCAGAGCCAACCGGAGCTTGGCGTTCTGACGTCACCACACCCTTTGTAAAAAAAAAGCAGACAAACTTGCGCTTCGCATACGTGCGCAGTACTGCTGTTTCGCAGTGAGTTGCAAGAAGTTTGATGGAGTGAAGTGGTGGAGGCTAATTAAGTTTGCGCTAGCAAAACAAAGAAACGTGCGCGAAATAGCGTGTCGCCTAGACTTCCCACACGACTAGCAAGTTGTACAACGTCCGGCGTCACCCCACTAGAGAGGGCAGGAAAATTTGCACATTGGTTTTGGCATCCTCTTTAGTTGTCGTATCCTTAAAGGGTAGCTCCGGTCAAAATTCGATACAAAATAAATTACTTATATCGGTTTGCGGAGACTAAATACTAGCACTGCCAAAATATTACACTATTGTGAAACCGCTATCAACACTAAAACCAATATTAAAAATGCTACCACCAGCTATTCGGGGGGTCGAGGAGGTTACTTTTTGTACCGCCACTTCTTTCACTCTGTTTTTTTGCTGCATTTTCAGCTGTCCCAGCAGACGATTTCTGCTTGTTACGTTATGTTGTAGCGGGAAAAGTTTGTAAGTGCTCGTCGGCGATCGCTCACAAAGATTAATGACTCCCTGCTCACTCAAGTGCTGAAGGTGTCATTCACTCAGCGCCAACTTAAAATTATCTTCCAGCACTTCTGCAACGTGCATTGCACACCACCAAGCTTGTGGTTCTTCTCAGAAGATAAGTGGGGTCTCATTCGGAACCTGTGCCGAGCCTGCGTTCATCGTGGCAAGCTCGCTTTTTGGGCGGCAATGTCTGTTAACACTTGCTACAGATGTTCGATGTTCACACAGCATAACTGTAAAACAGCCGTAGCCTCTTACCTGACTGATCGGAACTACTCTTACGACTAGGCCAGTCGTACATTTGGTGGTACCACGATACGAGCTTTGCATCGTGCGATGGCCATGCGGCCAATCACAAGGGTTGCCATCGTGCTCGAGCGGGTAGTTTCGGTTTCGTCGTAGACCCCCCAAAACAAAGCTTTGAGATAGGATATCTACAAAACTACACAAGGCATCGAATAAAAAAAATTATTGCTCCTCGTAATTCAGGGACACTTCCTTCACTTAAAACAGTCGTAACCCTAAAATCGGGAAACTGTACCAGAGTTACCACTTAATAGCTATTCTGAATTTAGAGGTAATAAATAGCGTGCCAGAAGGAGTAAAGCCTGGGCATTTCGAAAATATGTTCAGATAGGGTAGCTCAAAAAACAGCCGGAGCTTTCCTCTGTGCACCAAGACGGCTCAAGTGTGGTGTTACTCTGAGGTGTATCTTGGGGCTCCACCTTTATCCCGTCTTGCTCGCACCGCAGGGACGGCACCCCCACAGAGAGGTTTGCTCCCGTGCGTGGCACCGTCTTGGTGTTCCTGCCAGGTAAGTGGCCGATCGACTCACAGTTGTTGCGGTAGAATCGCGAAGACCGTCGGAGCACAGCTGTGCGCGTGGCAAAGGAAAGTTGGCGTGGTTCTGTACTACCGTTCAGTTACCTCGAATTATGCTTTCTCGAGTGTCTTTGTGGGCACTTATTTGTCGCGTTTTAATAACTTCCACACATGCCTATCTCTCAAGCGTCACGCGACGAATCTACCAGTGGTTGTTTCAGAGTGCCGTTGTGCACTCTGAAACAACTACCGGTAGATGCGCGCGGCGCATCTACCAAATGCCGCCTTGGCTCCCTTTGGAGCCGCAAGGCGGCGTTTCACGTGCATCACAACAAAAAACGATGCTCCACGCGCGTCATCTTTTTAAGTAGGCGTTAGCCAAAGATTACCTTCGGTTCGCACCTGTTATTGTGTACACCCAAATGTAAGGCTACCTCGTTCTTTTTAATTTTTTTGCTTAGTGTAGTCATCTTGGCAGGCTTCTGTGGCACAGCAGGCTGTTGTGGCAGCTTTATAACTGAGTTGCTTTAGTAACGTTAATATCACCTGTACTTGGAAGTCAGGTATATCGAGCGTAGACTTCCGCAGAGGGCGTAGGTGGATTTCAAGATCCTACTGCTCAATCCACCTTGTTTCTCGGCACACAGCTGACGTCTTCACGAACCCTGGATGTCTTCTTTAGGCGCCGTGCACTCGTTCATCCGTTGCCTCAACCTCCACTTTGTGTGCAACTAGACGAAGAGCAGCTTTTTTTTCCGACGTTGGTCGTTGACACTGTGGAACCCTTCTTAGACTCGGTAGACTTGGGCAAACACAGCTTGTGCTGGAGTTTTTTATGAAAGTGTGCTTCCGAAACATTGCGTGTCTGTTGAGTCGCGATTGCTCAACAGTTCCATGTCTTGTGCAGGGTACGAAGAAATCTCAACCCTCACCGACATGTTGAGAGACGACGGTGTCTCACTGAGGTAGGTTAAGGCTGGAACTCCAGATTTCCATGTGTTTCATCCTAGAATTGGTGATGTAAGAAAGCATACCATCGACTTTTCTGCTGTAACGATGCCTCATACGCTGCGATCCACATTGACAAGCTCCAGAGTTTTTTTTGAAAATCTGCAATAGTACCAGTAATAACTGGTTAGAGAGCTGAGCACGGTTAGATGAAGAAAATCTTACTTGCAATTTTATACCTTCTACATATGCTTTTCTTTTTATAATGGGAATTTGCTTTAAGAAACCACTAAACTAAAAATTAAAAAAAAACGATGTGCTTTGATAGTATACACATATTACAAAATAAAATTCCCAGGAAAAACAAAGTTATTTTAGTGCAACGTCGCGAGTTCCATTTTTGCGATTTCAAATCACCTTTATAGTTCAGAGTAACTGACCGAAATAGGAGCAAATTTCGGAACTAATGTTGGAGTCTCGCACCGTAAATATTGTGCTGAAAACTTTTTTTTGTTTGTTTTTTTGTGTTACGTCAAGTCTGAGTAATTTGTATCATCGTGATGGGTCCCGGCTTCTGAAACGTTTCTGCACTAAACGGTTGGCCACCGGAGCATCTGGAAACGGGTTTGATGGCAATTCATTCGTAATCCTCCGTCCGTTTGGGATCAGTGGCGGCTTTTCGTCGAGCAGTGTCGGTTTGCCGATCGACCCCGACGACACCGTGCGTTGGTGCAATTCATCCTTCCTGCCGCAGGTGGACCGTCCTGCCACTACACTCGACCGTCACCCAGCAAGAGCAGCAGTCTGTCTTCCGGCCGCCCGAGAGAGGCTACCGAAAGGTCCGTGACCTCCGCCGGCGCCTCGGCGCCCCCGAGGATAGGTAGTTCGAAGGGGGTGGCTCCGGCGGATTTTTCGGGGTACCCGAACTAAACAGGTTTCTGGAACGTCCAGGCTTCGCTCTTTCCAGAATGCCATTCATTATCCCTAAGTTTGAAATGGCTACCGAGAAAACGGCAAATGATGGCGACGCCAAAACCAACGGGAAAGTTTTCTCGCACTCTCTGGCGAGGTGACGTCCGAAAAGCACAGTATTTAGCGCATGTTTTTGTTTCGGTGCAGTGAGGTTAAGGGGACACGCTGGTCTTGGAGGTTTCATCCTTATTGTTTGAAGGAACTCGTTGAAAATTCGCGAGCTTGTTCAGTTTTTCTTGCTGATTGCAAATATCTGGCCAGTTTTTCGGTCGGCAGTACAGTCCTCAAAATAATTAAAACTCACCTGCCCTTGTTTTTAGGAAGAATAGGGAAACATTTACTAAACAAAAAGTTATGTTTAATGCGTGACTAGATACTTTGAAGTATATAAAGAATACAGTGTTGGAAGTACTCTTGAGATTGAACATTAGTAATTTTACGACACATCGAAGGTCCTAGGCTTATAGTAAAGATTCTGCTCTCAACGTTGTATGCCTCGCATATTTAGCAACGTATTGCAAAAAAGTCAGCATCTGCTTTAGATGCTGAGATATCCCTCCTGCAAATCTGCAAGAAGTCCAAAATTTGTGCTTTGAGAAAATGCCTTTTTGGCATAAACTTCAGCCTGCGTAGATGTTAAAAATTGATATTGTAGCTCTACTATTGATCCACAGAATTATGAACTTGACAAAATAACTAACTTTTAAAATCACCATATAAAAAAAAATTTAGAAAATTTTTGGCACCAAAGATTTACGTCCCCCCTTAACCAGCAACCAGCTATACTGGCCCCATATTGTCCCGTATGGCATCACTGACGTCGCATTTTCAGTGTTGCTTGTAGAGCCTCTAAGATCTACATTAAAACATCTTAAAAAAAAAAAAATTATTGTTACTTGTAATTTGGGGTCCTATACTTTCATACACCACACAGAGTACTTCTTACAAGATGTGGTTGTCGGAGAAAGAAGCAACGCTTTTGGCATTTGAAGCATTTACCTCTTGATAAGATAACATATATCTAATCTAAAATGCACCTACATAAAACGTAATTCCTTACACAAAGGGAGAAATTAGATATGATCCGCAAGGAGCCAAACTTTTTTTTACTGGCATTCTTGACGTGAAAACGAGTATAGACCAGATATGTTCATTAATGTTTTGAACCAATTTTGAGGCAACGGTGACTGTCAAAATTTTGCCGGAGTGGTGGACATCTACGGATGGATGGATGGATGGACGGTTCGCTTCACGTTCCAGATCATCCTATCAACCAACATTGCGGAAAGCTCCATCACAGTGCCAGACATCAAGTATGGTGAGTCGAAATCACGAGATATTTGCTCGTCGCCATGTTTGACAAGTTAAACAGCTGATTGTTTGAGGAGCGACACTTTCCGTCGCCGCATTTTGGCGCCCCGGCAAGTGTTCAAAGACTGCTGTTCTTACTGTTCTTATCGAGACACCCTTAAAGGGGCGCTGGCAGGGCATTTAGGCTCGCCAAGGTTCTTTTTGTACGTGACATGAGAGCCCAACTACCGAGAGCACAATTTGCGGGTTGAAATTCGTTTCCTTTTTGTCTGATAACCGCCGATCGAGAGCTGGCCGGTCTAAGTCGCGCTCACTCTCTTCTTCATGGTCACGTGCCGTCTTCTATTTTTGACACGCACACATCAAATGTAATCAAATTTGCACGTCATCAAACGCACATATTCAGTATTAAAGATAGAAAGAAATATCAACCAGTACTTATTTTTTGTGGCTTCTAAAAAACTGCAAATACGTTGATTGAAAAAACAAAAATTGCGGTGGCTTAGCTCGGCTATGCCAGGATATACGTAGCGTGAGCTTATGCGCACAAAATGAGAGGCGCTATCAAGCGGCTCCGGTGCAGCGTCAGACTTGGCTACTGCGCAACGGAGGCGCACAGCTGGACACACGGCGGCGCCAGTGCGTCTGCCGCGGCGTCTGCCGGTTTGCACATTCCTCTGGAATGTGCAAACCGGCAAGGCGCGCGCGGCGGCGGTGGCGTCTCTGGCGCGCCAGCTGTGCGCCGTGTGACGTCACTGCTCCTCGCGGTCGCACAGCACGAAGCACAGCTCATTATGCGAGCCGCGCAAAACTGCTCAACCTCGGCCAGCGTAGCCCACGCTACAAAAAAGTTGCACAGAAAACCGGGAGCTTGCTGTGCATTCTCTGCATAATTCTCAACATGACTTCGTATCACTGGAGAACTGTTGTCGTGGTACCAGCGAATCTGTCTAGCTTTGCAAAAGAAATTGTTTACCCATCAAGGCCATTAGGGTTTATCCTGTACTACACGCCACACCACCAAGCTGATTCGTGCAAAGACATTGACGCCCCTTCTTGTAAGAGCTTGAAAAACACGCAAACGTCAAGCACGAATTGCTTGAATTCTGCATTTTCTGCGCGACGTGTGCATTTTTCGTCTGCTTTGCACAACCAGAAAAATGAAAAAAAAAAAGTGAAAGCCGTTCACAACTCCCTGTAACGCCGAATTGGAGCGCAGCTCTAGAAAAATGAAAAAAAAAAGTGAAAGCCGTTCACAACTCCCTGTAACGCCGAATTGGAGCGCAGCTCTTGAGGAGGAGGAGGAGGGAAGGGTACTGAGGGGAGGGTATATTCCTCCTCCTCCCTCGTGATCATGCCTGCTAGTCCTCCTCCCCTCCTCCTCCTCCACCCCCTCCCTCTCCTTCACCGCTTCCTCGTCCTTCAAGCTCCTCCCCTCGCCTCCCCCTCCTCCTCCTCCCCCCTCCTCCTCCTTGCCTCCCCCAAGGTCATGTGACCCCCTCCCCCGAGGTCACGTGACCCCCCCCGGACCATACTAGACAACAAGGGGAGGAGGAGAGGAGGGGGAGGGGCGCGGTTACGCCGACGCCGCACAGGCTGGAAACGGGTCATGTGACCCCCTCCCCCCAAGGTCACGTGACCCCCTCGGACCATAATGAGAGGAGGAGGAGGGGGAGGGGCGCTGTTACGCCGACGTTGCACAGGCTGGAAACGGGTCATGTGACCCCCTCTTCCCGAGGTCACGTGACCCCTCGGACCATACTAGATAATGAGGGGAGGAGGAGGAGGAGGAGGAGGAGGAGGAGGAGGAGGAGGAGGAGGAGGAGGAGGGGCGCGATTACGCCAACGGCGACGCTGACGCCGCTCAGGCTGGAAACGAGCCCCTAAAAGCTGCGCTCAAAACAAAAAGAAAAAAAAAAAGGAAAATGCAGTGGGTGTATTCACGTGACTTCCGGCAACTCTCTCCTCCTTTATATTTCTTCCTCCCCTGTCCAGTTTCAGTTTCGAGCTCTTGCAATCTCTTACGACGAAAGAACACACTGGCACGCCCGCGCCGTCTATGGAGTAACCCTGGGACTGCATTTCACGAGAGCGAACGTTTTGCGGTACTTGTGAGATCAAATGTAGTATTTATGACAAATGTTAGCTAATAGCATGGTCAAAAGTTTTTCGAGCAAAGAAAGAAGCAATGGTGCGTGAAAAGAAATGGGAAATGCACGGAAACGCAGTGTTCCACGGTTATTCGGTGGATGGTTCGAGTGTGTGAACCAGCTTTTAACTTGCGTTCCGAGGCCTCGACATTCTCACGGCTCAGCGTATTGCGCGGTTACGTTGGAAAGCACGGGTTGCGATTCTTAGGCAGGCTCTGACTGCGTGCGCAGATAAAGTAAAGTTCTGCGAGGCGACCTGACTCGAGGCCCCTCTGCTTTGACAGTGATCGACTTCTGCCTGACCAAGAGCCTCGTGTGCGACCCGGACACCAAGTACTCCTGCCTCAAGATGGAGTGGGCGTCCAAGGCCAACTGCAAGCAGAGGCAGGGTGAGTGGGAAGGAAAGAGCTTTCTGCAGACTACTTCCGGAAGAGGCTTTAAGAGACGCGTGACTACTGCCAATCAGTTCTGCCGTTTCAACGGAAATAAATGCGTCAAAAGCCTCCTACCCTTGACGATATCTTATTTTGCTGTGTTAGTAGTGTCGTCTGCCTGGGGCACACCAAACAATTCTTTCTGCTCTGCCAAGCTCTGCTACCGACAGGAGGGGGTCAGATTGCAATCTCAAATTTCGGTTCGACGAATATTAGGCTTAGGCGGACGTCGGCCCGTAGAGAAATTAGGTTTTTCTTTTGTATCCTTCGATCCAGGTAATGCCACGTGCCCAAACTCTCTTACTTTACGCCGCCGCTAGTGCCACTATCTCGCAGAGCTTCAGCCTTTTGCGACGCATAGTTTATTCGTGCTGGCTGAGAAAACCAGGTTTCATTTTCTCGATCTAGCTCGGTAGTTTTCTAGCCACAGTGGGCCACATCTATCTGCCGCACAGCTTCGTCGCACCTGACAAGCCACGTGCAGCGGCGTGGCTCCATCACACGTAATGAGAGCGTGGCAGTTTCGAACGCAACGAAGTGACACGCAGCAACGCGCATTCATCGCGGTGCAGCTGCTTGATATTGGAATTGCACGCACCACGCCAGAGGTCTCACAATGAGGTTTTTGGCAGGGCGCGCCGGTCGCGTGTCTGAGGGTCGCCTGTATCGAATGATACCGGAGGACTTCTACAACAACGTCCTTCCCAGCTACGGCATCCCCGAGATGAAGGTGAGCTGTTCTTCAATCCGTAAGGTGTCCGAGCTCGAGCAGCCTTTTCCCGTCTGTGCACGAAAGCTCGAAACCGAGACCTAGGGTAACATTACTTAGAATCGAGAACAAATTGGGTGAAAATAAATGCCTGTTTACACATACAATGCAACAATAACAATAACTCACCACCGACTAAGCACTTTCTCTGCTCTAGGATGCATCTTTGAACTGCATGGGGTGGGTTAACTTCCAAAAAATGAACAAGAAAGTTTTAAAAAAAAATTGTTGTAGCTGTTACGGCCACTATTCATCTCCTTAAGGATGATGGCACGGTCGCTGTTGCGTTCACTTGCTTTAGTTGCGAGTGGTTTCTGCCGATAGACCTAGTAGCAAAGTGATCTTGGTCGATCGAACATCGTCTTCAAGGTGTTCCAAGTGGAGCTAATGAAGACCCTAACAGGGCCATCTTTTAGTGTTTTTTTTTTTTTTTTTGCAAGAATCATGCCTCAAACCGAGATGGGCCATCTTTCGAGGGTCCTTTCGGGACATTATGGTAATGCCACTGGACGTGCTTCCGGTTTCAGCGCTGTCCGCTGGAGCTGACGGTGCTGAAGGTGAAGAAGCTGGACCTGGACGAGCCCAAGGCCATGCTTGCCCTGTGCCTGGACCCGCCGGACCTGGGAGACATCGAGCGTGCCATCCTGGTGCTCAAGGAGGCAAGTGCGCGCATCTAGGCGCGTCTGCTCCACAAGTAACCGGACTGAAGGTTTTGCGGCATTTGCGAGACCAAATGAGATGCGGTTGCCCGTAGCATCGTGAGCATTTTTCCAGGCCCACAATGAAAGAGTGATGCTTGAAAAAATCAGAAAGTACTTGCAGATTGTTTTGGGGCTGTCCAAAATAAGTGCAATAACTGAGTTTGTGGGACAAACTATAGAAGTTTGTTCCTAACTTAGATTTCTTGAAAAGTGGTTTAGCTTCCCTTTAAAACCCCTTAAAATCCCTCGCGACAAGAGGACACGCTGACGCCTTCTATCGGGTGGCAGTGGAACACCTGCAGTTTCCATACATTTCCTATTTCTCTCTGCGCATCATTCTTTCTTTGCTTGAAAAACTTTTGACATTGTTTTAAACCATCATTTTTCATAGAGAGCACATACATTTGGTCTCAGGAAATCCCACAAAACCTTTCCCTGTCCTCTGTTCAGCCCGAAGCTGAGACTGCGATGGGAGCTACGTGCCTGCTGGACCAATCGGCCGCCTCCCTTTTGTCACCTGACCTCTGTACATGGGTAGGGATGGGAGGGGGATGACGTGTAAAAGAGAGGCGGCTGGTTCAACTAGGATGTAGCTTCCTTCCACCGCAGTCTCGGCTTAGGGGTGAACGGAGTGAAGTGCGGTTTCAGGGACTTCATAGATGGCACCAACGTGCCTTTGTTTTTTCTCTCAAAAAAAAAAAAAAAAGATTCCAAAAACTGGGTTGGAAGCAAACACAAGTGTGTGAGCGGGCCTTTGCACGTTCGTGTGCGAACCAGCTTTGAACGCACCAGTCACACAATCCAGGCACCGTAGTTGTGCCTGCTCGGGCCTGCATTCAGATGCCCCCCTCTGTGCACAGGTGAGCGCCCTGACAATGGGGGCCATGGGCTCCTTCAGCCCCTACGACGGGGACCTTACCTTTGTGGGTAGGGTGATGGCCCAGCTGCCCCTGGACGTCCGCATCTCCAAGATGATCATCCTTGGCTTCGTCTTCGACTGCCTCGAAGACTGCATCATCATCGGCAAGTGGCCACCTGTCCTCTCGCCTTTCCTCACACCCGACCCCCACAGTCCGTGCCCGCGACTGTACTGCTGATCTGTAGTCCTGCGGCTGTTTTTTTACCATCCAGTCCATCCGTAGCTTTACGGCTGATTTGTTGTCATACGGCTGATCTGTTGCCCTGTGGCTGATCTGTAGCCCTATGGCTGATCTGTTGTCGTGCGGCTGATTTGCTGCTGTACGGCTAAACTGTTGCCGTACAACTAAGTTCTCAATGTACGATTGATTTTTCGCCTTCTCCCATTGCAGCGGCCTGCCTCTCCGTCCAGTCTATGTTCTCGAGGCCCTTCCAGAAGCTCATTGAGGCTTACAAGTGAGCCCCTTTCCCTTTTGTGTTTGTGACTTCCCGCGATTTCGGAACTAGATGAACTAGAGAAAACTGCCGAGTTGCCCAGTGGCACTGCAGTCTGTTCTGAAGATGCTCAGCCTCCAGCTCGTGCTCATTGACTTCTGTACTGCTTTGGCTGCACCTGTATCGATGTGTTATCAGAGTTAGAAAGCTTCCACTGGAGGTAGCGCTTCTGCTTCAAATCTTATATTGCAACTACATGTCTCTGTATGTAACAGTGCAGTGACATTCAAGACTTTTGAGTGAAATGGTATCACTCACCACTATGATCGTGCTACTAAGTGCTATTCACTCAGTAATATGGTTTCAATGAAATTAAGCTTAAGGTTTATTCACACGACGCATTTTTTCAACGTACAACGGTTTCACGAAACCAACGTTTTGAGCAATCGGCTAGTTTGCGTGTCGAGTTTGGCGCACGAAAGCTGCAACATTTTGGCTCGTGAGGATTTCGCTGAGCTTTGTCATCTGCACCAGAAATTGAGTGTTTCACAGCAAACGATATGAAGCATGTACGGACAGTTTGAAGAGACAGTTTGCTTTATTAGTATCAATCAATAAACTTTGTCGGATTTGGCTCACTCGGTTCACTAAGCCTGCCACTAAGGAAAGACTGCAAACGTCAAAGAACAGACAAATGATCTCGACGTATTTTGTAGTCTTGCACCTCTAATTGATCAGTTATCTCCAGTCATTATGTTTATATGCTGAGATTGCACTCGTTGCAGCTTTTAAGGAATTTGCATCACTCTGCCAGCCCATACGTCCAACCCGTACCACCCGTACGCACCGCTTCTCCGCTCATCGGTCACCCTCCGCCGTGTTTGTTTTCTTTTGTCAGCTTTGGCCCGGATACAAAAACAGCCAAAAATCGGCCTCTGAAAGTTCACTCCGCCTCGAAGGTCAGATGTCACAGCGATGACGAGCAGCCGTTGTCAGTGGCCGTGTTTCTTCTTCGGGTGATCGATGGGCCTTGGTAAAGTTTCAGCAAAATCTCTCTCCAAGAGCGAGGATAGTGAGCACCCTTTTCGTTTGAGCACGTCTCTATCTGTTGCGTTCAGGCGGTACACCTGTTTGCCCAAAACCTAGTTTCGCGACGCTGGACTCGCCAAAACACCGTGTGAATATACCCTTACACTGCTCCCATTGTGGGAGCAGAGCTTTAGGCATGCACCTTGCCTCCAACACCTTCATTGAGCCCAGTGTGCATGCAGGGAATTGCCTGCTCACAGAGATACTCTCAGTCGTGTACCTTCTGCTTTATTCTCCACTCAGATGAAAGGGAACAAAGGTACTAATTCTGTATGTCTCTATAAGCTGGAAATCTGATCGAGTGAGAGAAGACAGTGAGACCTGTCCATAGCTTGCTGTTTTATTGGGAGAATTATTTTTTAAACTGTTTATTATAATTAGGGTTTTTGACGAATACGTGGGCCTTCGATTTGATAACTGCCGTGGCATTACGACGCCAGTATCGCCGTTCGGTTTGTTTATGTTATTTTCGACGTCTCCAGGTCTCGACTTGCCTGGGCGGACGGATCCTTCAGCGACTGCCTCGCCATGCTCCAGGCTTACAAGGTTTGACTTAGTCCGCTGCTCTTGCGTTGGCTGCTTTGGTACAGATGCGCAGTGCGGACTGCTGCCCCACATGGGTAGAGAAAATGAGCGTTGGAACGGTGGGCTTACTTTATCCTAGTGGTTCTCGAACTGTGGTCCGCAGACCCTTGGTGTTTTTCAAGAGCTTTTGTGGGGCTCCACGCCAAATAAGAAAACAGTTATGAAAAAAAAAATAATGAAAAAAAAATTTTTATGTTGTTGCACAAGACCTGCCATGCAGAATGCATTGCGGCTCTGTGACGGCCAGAAGCTTGAAAATTGCTTCTTTACACTTGCACGTTTATTCATTCTCAATGCAGCGTCACTTGGAACACCCATCTTAAGCCCCAAATGAACACCCACACGGGTGTTTATATAGATAGAAAATAATTTAAATACCTCCTAATCATACGAATGAAGTCTAGAGACACAGTATGTATGTATCATTTGAGTACACTCCCCTCCCTAAACGTCCAATTTGTGCTCTTAGTCTTTACTGAATGAAGTTAAGTTTTTTAAATCTTGATGCTCCGAATGCACCATCTTCGGCCACCCCTGCACAAAACCCGAACCCAGTGTGTCGAGAAACTGATACTACATAGTCTTTTCAAGGGGCCAACGATTCACTTGCGCGGTAGCTTACCGCCAGCGAGCTCTGACATCTTGTGTACATTCTTCCGTCGTCGCATTCCCAAATAATGACAGGCAGTGGTACACGTTGGGCATCACGTTCATGGGCTGTCGAGCGTGTTCAGTGCGTGCGCAGTAGCTCTCTTCTGCGGAATACTAGACACGTGCCTACGGCCCGCTGACTCGGCATTTTTTACCTGGGTGATCAGCGTTGGAAAACTCTAGCAGTGATTTTCAACCACTGATGTTCCCACTGGGTGGGGGGGGGTGCTATGCGGAGGGCAAGTCGTCTGCATCTTGCGCAGGGGTTGCGGTGACGTCAGAATGACGCCGCGCTCTTATTGGCCGATTGAAAAAAATAGTGGGTAGACCTTGAAGCATCTAGCATTGAGATCTACCCACTATTTTTTTTCAATCGGCCAATAAGAGCTCGGCATCGTTTCGACGTCTCCGCAACCCCTGCGCAAGATGCAGACGACTTGCTCTCCGCATTGGATCTTTCCAGTGACAAAAGTGTAAATGGAGAAAACTAAATGCATGCAAACCAACTTTGAAGCTTCGAAGGGGAGAATAATCAACCCCACTCACTCAGTGCACAGGGTTTGGTTCATTTAGCTTTGTAAAAGAACCAGCATCAACAACAACAAAAAACTTGCACGGTTTGACTGGGATGGTCAAGGGCTTCAAGGACCCCAACAAGGTCTTCGGGGACCCTACCAAAGGGTGGCCTGCGGGTCCCCGTTTGAGATCCACTGGGTCACAGTTAGCCAGTTTTGTTGTGCAAACTCGGCTTTGCATCCTCGTGTGTGTGTGTGTGCGTTTTTTCAGCTGTGGCAAAAGTTTAAGCTGGAGGGCGCCTTCTCAAGACGCAACGGCGTGGACGAGAGGGCCTGGGCGAGGCAGAACTTCCTCCAGTACAAACGCCTGGTCGAGGCAAGTGGCGCCTTTTATTTTTCGGTGCATGTGTGGCTCCGGCAAGTCCCGGTTACTGACTCATAGATGCAGTGGAGTCGATTGCTGGGTAGACAGGGCGCTCAGCAGCGCTTTTGCGGTGGGAGGCGCTCATCACTGCAACGAATCGGCCATTCGTTGCTCTATTGATTGATTGCGAAACTAAAATAAGAAGCAAAAACCATGTTCATAAAATGGAACGCTAATGTTTTAGTTATGACTTTTGATGCCGTTGAGCTGGGTTGAGTGGCTTCCTAGCCGTTTGCAAAGACGAAGCCACTTAAAATCCAACATGCTGCAGACCCTCGGCCATGCCATACCGCTGTTCCCTACCGCAGTACCGGCAGTATCGCTCCCGCGGTAGGTTTTCCTTGAAAATTTAGGGTTTGCACATGCCATGTCGCTTGTTATGGCAAAGGATTGTAAGTTCTGCTTGCCTACCTTACATCCAGCAGTTGACAGTCCATCACTCGTCGTCGGCGCCTTCCAGGTAATCTAAACAGATGCAGCATTTTTCGCACTCGTTGACGCAATTGATCAATCATTTAAATAAAAAAAAAAAATAAAAAATTTACACTCACTTTTAAACGATTGTTGCTGTGCAGAAAAAAAAATAATAATACGCGCAGTATCTACGTTAGCAAGAAATGTTACAGTGAAGATGCAATGTGCGACACTGTCAGCGCGAACACGACATAATACTTTTCACTTAAAATGCTATCGGAGTGCACCAAATAAAAATCAAATAAAACTGTTAGTTCACCAAGTGACTGTTTATAAAGTTTCGCAGACTCGGGTCCAACATGGCACGAGAATATCTGTTTTCGCGATTAAAAAACACAATACAGTCATGTCTCGTTAATATGATTGATGTGCGCCCAGGCAACTCTGACTCGTTATGTTAAATACAGAAACCTAGAGTACAGACTACTATGGACAGCTAGTTTGGAAACAAAAATGGGTAAATAATTACATGTTTTCTTTTTAATTTTTAATGTGGTCTTTGGAAAGATGTAACACAAATGCAAAAGAGGAAAAAAAAATATTAGTGAAACAAAAAAGACTAGTGAACAGGGTGTCTAGCGACCGGGAAAACCGGAAATTGTCAGGGAAATTTTAGTTAGCGGGAAAAATCGGGGAATCGTCAGGGACATTGTCACAAAGTGAGCCCAGTCAGGGGAAGTGAGCCGGAAATGCCATTGAGTGCCCTGAGCAAAGACTTGAGGACTTGGGGGCAGAAGAATAGGCAATCAATTCTGCTTAGAGGGGAATGCGGGCCCTGCTCACCCCATGTAGGGTGCACTACCCGATGCAAAGGGAACAGCCGACAAATCCAGTCCAAGTATTGGATTGGATTGAGGGCACGACACTTGGCTCGATCCAGTTAGAGCTACTAGATTTAGTAACAAATGGGAAAGCCGCAGACCCCAATCCAAGCCTTAAGTCGAAAGTATCCGAAAGTGTGCATCTGGCGGCCATGCCGTCATGCTGCCATTCGGTTATTGATGTGTGTGGTTCAACGTCGTGTTTTCATCGTGTTTCCGGAAGTGGCCCTTTCACTGACGATGTCGGCGGTAAGAAAGTGCTCATTTAATCCAAACTGGACAAACCCGAATATTTCGGAATATGCAAGTTGGACTAAGCCAGTGCAAAATGATCCTCAAAGTTATCAATGCTCAATGCCTTGTGTTGTAATGGTCTTATATATTTCACCGCCTCTACATTGGTCAGGGAATTTCACCTGAAATTGTCAGGGAAAACCTGGAAAAGTCATGGAATTTCGAAATAACGATTTGCTAGACATCTCGAGTGAAGCTCTTCGGCTACAGAATTCACCCAGAACTTCACTACTGTCAGACAAGACCTGGGCACTAGCAATGGTTAAAATTTTCAAGGGTTTCTAGACTGAATCATTTGCCCCTCTTTCCCTATCACGGTTGCAGAGGACAAACATAAACAACATACCACCCAGCATCGATTCATGATTATAGATGGCTAACAGTATCAGCCCTGCCGGAGTGTTGTATGCAAACAGTACTATCGTTTAGGTATATCTAAAAAGATATTTAAATGGCTATTGGTTGTGGAATCTCGAATACCACCCTAAACGTATATTCTGATAAAAAAAAATCAATTGTTCAATCTGTGTAATAAGACAATAAAGCAAATATTAGTGTGTCAGATTTTGCCAGCAAAACTTGACATCTCAAAGAGTGCAACTCTCCAAGAATGAGTTCTAGCTGCCAAAGGCCCTGGTATTACTGGTTTGAGGCAGTGGACCTTCCCAAAAAGGACTGCCTAAAGGTTGATGGCCACTAGTAGGCTAACAACTTGTCTGAACGAAGTGGATGCTCACAGGCTTCTGCTAGTCTATGATCTTACCGCATAAAAATCATCCAAGGAGAAACCTGCAGACGCAGTGGCCAACATTGTCTCTCGAGGGTCTCGAGAAGCATAGCCGAAAGATTTCATGCCCAGTTGAAAGCTCATGTCATTCTGACTGGTCCATGGAAATAAAAAGTTAACACAATTCATTGTTATTTGGGCTAACTTGTTCCTTCTTACAGACCTGGTCCACACTCTTTCCAGACATATTTGGTTATTATGTGTAGGTCTTGCGACCTTGCAGTCTGTAGGCCACTTTGGGATTTCTCATTTCTCTTGACTTCTTGATGAGCTTTGGATACCTGTCGCTTGCGCCGTCAAGTTGAACCATGAGTTTAACAAGGTTTTCTTGGTGGGGCCACCGAGATCCGTGATGCCCATGGGATGGACCAGCCACTTCATTGTTCTATCTCATTTTTGCTGTATGTGTGTTCTCTATCCTCTGAGGATCTGCACAGGATAACGCAAGAACACACTAGTTTGTCTCGTCACAGCACATACACTTGCAGAAGAAAAAAAGGGCTATGAAACATTTCATAGGGTTGCTTCTAAGCTTGAGACTATCCTTTTGTTTTTGTTATCGTCCTCTTTGCCCCAGTCATTGTTGTTTTACATTTCAGTTGACCATAGATTAGACTGCATAGGTCATTATGGCAGAACCTAGCGTGCCGACGGTTACATATTCAGCTTGATAGGTTGGCCAGCAATCAAGTGCACCTTACAAAAAAAAGAGACCATGGAAACTATCTTTTGTTTTTGGGGGCTCCATCTCCCTGAGGCTTATTGGAGCGATTTCCATGCCTTGAGAATTTGTATGGATACAAAAAAGGAAGACATCGTGCAAATGTTGTTATTTTATACGAAAAAAAAAAAAAAAAGCAGCCTAACGTGAGTTTTAATTATTTTGAGGGGAAGAAGCATGCGAAAGAATTACACGTAGGAGGACGGACAGCACATCTCTCAAAAGCTCTGCTGTCTGTATTCCGCCCCTCTATGTGTAAATATTTTGTGAGTTTAAAAGTGTTTTTTGAAATTAAATTATTTTACTATCCAGCTTTCTATTTATTTCTGAAATGGATAAAACGTGGTAAACCAGTCGCGGGGCTGTCAAAGCATCTACGCAAGGTAAATTAATAAAAACAGGCAGATATGATAAGATATGAACTCGGTGAAATAATATAAAACTGACCGAACAATATTTATACATAAACTACAATTTACTCGGCGGGGATTTACATTGTTGTGCACGGTATCGACGAGAGATAGAGGAGGTGAGATGGTGCTAACGCTTCATAAAATGTTTGCAGGGCGGTCTTCATCCCCAAAACCATGTGCTAAAAACGCTTGCCTAAATGTGTGCAGCGTTGTGAAATCACGGCGGTATTTTGTGAACTTCAAAAAGGAAACGGTATATTCAATTAACTAAAAAAAGTACATATCCCTCAAACGGTGCAGTTTGTGGCTGGAAGATCAGCTTAGGAAAAGTTTCAATTGGGGTGAAAACTCACCGTCGTCAGTTGGGATCCGAGCAGACTGGTGCTTCTTGTCCCTGATGCTGCTTGCTCACCACTTTACGTAACCACACAGGTAGTTCAAAGACACGAAAAACTTTACACTCGCCCCAAAGTCCGAGGCTCGCGCAGAGCGACGATCGACGCGTCGACGAGCAAAAGCGCGAAAGCACCGAGCAGACGCACGGACGTCGTCGCAACAGTCCATCGGTTTCAGAGCGCAGGCGCACATCCGCACACATAGCGGTTTCGTTTTAGAAGCCCAAAAAACAGAAAAAGAAAAAATGTAGAAAGTGCGATGTTGACACAAACTTTAAAAGAAATATATTTTTAGGAATACATAATTTGTATTGAGTGAAATAATATGGAGTTAAAACTATAGCTGAATAATTTGATTCATTGCTGTTTTCTTTAGTTTTTAGTAATGAGCGCATCCCACCACACGAGTGCTGCTGTACATTTTGATGGTGGCGCCATCCGTGTTCGCGCCGTGCAAATCACTTTTCGTCCGGAAGGTGGCGCCGGTCTCTAGAGCCGCTATATAGGCTTCTAGAGTACTACCAATATTCCCTTAAAAGTGTGAGCATCACTGAGCATGTAAGGGTTTGTTTGGGAAGAGCCAAAATGGTGTGCCGTCGTGTTAATATTTGAAAAGTAGAGTTACTGATTGGGGCTGCTGGGAGGTGCTTCATTGTAAATGCTTGGTGTTTATTGAAGCTTGAAGGGAACTTTTTCGGTGTGGGAGGGGGCGTTTCTGTGTTCTCTCGCGAAGCCTGGCATGACTCCGTGGCGTTGGCACTGTCCCGCTGTACAGGCTGTGCTCCCAAAAAGTAGGTGCTTTTTTCACCGAAGAACTAAACTACGAGGTGCGATTAAAAAGTTCCCAGACTGATTTTGTAGCTCAAAACGACAGGGCAGCACAGCGATGGGCGCACAGCATTCGAAGGAAGAGATTTCTCTGTCTCCCATCGTAAACCGGAGACACGGAAAAATAAAAAAACGGACAAAACAACAAGTCTCAAACACAGCTTCTAGTTTATTTGAACACCTCCGCTCTTATATATACACCACAACCCTCCTCTCCAAAGGTCGGCACACCTCCTCTCCACTCTATCAACAACATCTCAAAGTGAACCAATGACACATGCTACCTCCCTTCCTTTCATACCAACCAAAAACTGACCCAGACGACCTCCTGTTTAGATCAAAGGCAGCTGAAGCGGTTGATAAACTTTTTAAGCCGTATGTTGGGGACCTCAAGAAAGCGAAAAGGAATGTGGTAGCTGTACTTAAAGGGATACTGAACCGAAATTTGAATTTCGCAAAATAAGGCTCTAGAAGCGTTGAACGGGACTCTACGAACTCCGAAACGTTGCTCGTACATCGATATCTCAAACGGATGGCTGCACTTTTCGAAAAGAAGGGCGCGATCAAGCGAGGCCTCTGACATCACTGTCCTCCGGGAGAATTTGAGAATGAGGGGGAGCGGCCTCGCTTCTTTCCTCCCCGCTTCGGTTCACCAGCTCGACACGGGACGTAGTGAGGAGGAGAGGGAATAAGAATCGTGACGTCCCTTGCCTTGTCGGCCTCGTCGGCCGGGTTCAGTCGGGAGCTTCTTTTCTAAAAATATGGCGATCCGTTAGAGATATCGCTGTATGAGTGATGTTTTTGGGTTTTGCATCGTCCCGCGTATCTGTCCAGCCTTGTTTTGTGAGTTCGAAATTTCGGTTCAGTATCCCTTTAAGGAGTGTGACTTTCAGACGGTGGTAAAGAGGCTAGGGGAGGTTTCACAGGCTACCTTAAGACTGAAATTTTTGTTGAAGGACCACGAGGCTGGCTTCCCGTTGAGATTAGTTGTGAACGAAAATGGTGCTTGGCAGAGGGTGTTGTCGGTTTTTATACAAAAGTGTCTAACCGGAGTGGAGGTCGATAGCCCGTTATCATTGAGAAACTCTGAGCAATTAATAGAAATACTGAATCCCCATCACGGGAGAAGCTGCGAAGTAATAACTTTAGACATCAAGGATCTTTATTATTCTATGAATAAGTCGGAGCTTTTGAGGAGGGTCAGGAGGTGGTGTGATGACCATCTAGTAAAATTTCAGTCTTCCTCTGGAATTGATGTGGATAGCTTTATGAGCATTCTGGAGTTTTATTTGGGGTCCACTGTTATGACTTTGAAGGTGCTCTTTTTATCCAAAAAGAGGGAGTGTGTATCGGGTCTTCAATTGCGCCAGTGTTATCAGATTTTTTTTAAAAAATGAAATGGATGTTTATGTCGACGCGTTTGTGCGGTCTTTGCCGAGTGGAGCTGTTGTAGTTCATCGCTATGTAGACGACATTTTGATTTGTTCTTTTGAGGAAGGGTTAGCAGGGACGGTTAAGAAGTGTATAATAGAAAAGTGCCACGATTTGACGTTCACAGAGGGAAGCACTCTTCAGGGCAAGATTCAGTATCTAGACCTCCTACTACACACACAAGAGGGCTTGTGCTGGAGGTTTGGTAAGGAATCGGCAAAACCCTTGTTGGCTGCTGACAGCTGTCACTCGAAGTTAGTCAAGAGGGGTGTAATCGCATCTGTGGTAGATAACGCGTGTAAAAAGTCATGTGTACATCACGTTGGAGAGGCAATAGGGTTGCAAAAGTTGCGTCTTTTGGAAGCGGGCCATAACCAGGATGTGATTTCTAGCGTTATACTCAAGGTGTTAACAAAGTTCAGTTCGGCTCCGGTAGAAAAACCGGTTGTGAAAAATGTGGTCTGTGTGCCTTACTATCATGGAATATCTCACAATTTGAAGTCAGTGGCCAAGAGGTTCGGAGTAAATTTAGTTTTCAAGGCACAACATAAATTGGAAAGCTTAACCCCCTTTTCGGGTGGTCGTCAGGGTTGCCTAAAGAAACACCAAAACCCTGATTTAACTTGTCAAGTAGGAGTTGTATACGACATTCCGTTGCGGTGTGGATTGTCTTATGTAGTCCAAACTGGTCGCTGTTTGAATGATAGGTTGCTGGAACATAAAAGGGCGGTAAAAGACAATGCGCAGTATTCAGAAATAGCTAAACATGTTGTAGACTGCAATCACTGTCAGCCTGAGTGGGGGGATACCCAGGTATTGCATAAAGAGAAAGAAAATGGTAGGAGAGTTGTGAGGGAGACTTTATGTATCTTGGAGCGTGGCAATTGTGTCAGCACACCGTCCTTGGGTTTCGGAAGTGAACTGAAACGCATTCTATGTCTCTAAAGTTTTTTTTTTTTTTGAGGAGTGTTTGAATGACTGTGTCTGTTGGATAGGCGTGTTATCAGCTGTGGCTGGTCGTTTCCAAAAAAATCTATCTTTCTTTTTTTCTTTTTTTTCTTTTTTCTTTTTTTTTTGGGGGGGGGGTGTTTTCATCGTTAGCAGGGTTTTTGTTTGAGTGCCTGTTATCATGGATTGGAAAGGAGGTCGTCTGGGTCAGTTTCTGGTTGGTATGAAAGGAAGGGAGGTAGCATGTGTCATTGGTTCAGTTTGAGATGTCGTTGATGGAGTGGAGAGGAGGTGTGTCGACCTTTGGAGAGGAGGGTTGTGGTGTATATATAAGAGTGGAGGTGTTCAAATAAACTAGAAGCTGTGTTTGAGACTTGTTGTTGTTTTGTCCGTTTTTTTATTTTTCCGTGTCTCCGGTTTACGATGGAAGTTCTTCACCAGCTCGCTTGTGCTTTTACCCTTTCTTCGTTGATTCTCTGTCTCGTTATATCAAAGGGCGTCGTTCTGAACATTTGGAGCTGTGCTCAACGCATTTTTTCTACCAGGTGCACCGGCACAATGGCAGTTTCATCATAGACTGCAAACCAGAGGGAGAGCGAACATCAATTCGGCATCGAACTCAGCAAATATAAAACAGGCACCTTTGAAACGATTCAGCAGGCTTGTGTTGAAAAGCAGCGAAGTTTGTAAAGTGTTTTAATTAACTGTCGCCCGCATTTCAAGAACGGCAGAACGTCGTTGGAAGACGGAGACCAGTAGAGCGACCTTATCCGACCTCTCTTCGACTTCGGTGACGTTCTGCCATTCTTGAGGCACGAGTGCCACTCAAAAACATCTCGCACACCTCAATGCTTTTTGACGCAAGCCATCTAAATCATATCGGAGGTCTCTGTTTTAAATTTGCCGAGTTTGACGTAAAATTGATGTTCGCTCTTGCTTTGGTTTGCGGTCCATGGAGAGATTGCCATTGTGCTCGTGCGTGTGGTCAAACAAACTCGTGTAGCGCAGTTCCGATTGTTCGCAGAGTGACGCACTTTGGCATAATGACGAAGAAGGGTCCCTGTCTTCGACTGCTGCTCACGCATCACTCTGTTTTTACGTCGGAAAATCAGTCGGAACTTTTTTATCACACCTCGTTTGCAAAGCCGAACGTCCACTTTCAGACCAAAAGTTCAGCACTAACTGTTATCTTACGAAAAAGTTATACTAAGTGATTTTCTGAAATTTTCAGTGGAAAAATGGTGGCCGACAAAGCCCTTGAAGACATGGAGCCGAATGGCACCAGTTACCAAGCCCCATTTTCCCATTGACATTTTTAGAAAATAAATTACAACTTTTGAACGAGATAACGGTTGGTTCTGAAATTTCGGCATCCGTTTCAGATTGTTGTCGTTAAGTTCGGGCAGAGAATATGAGTGTTTGGCAACGCACAGTTTATTTTTGTGGTGAAAGAAAGCTGTAAAATTGTGGGGGGGCACATCTTGTACTTTACCTCGCAATGGTTGATAGATTTTTGGGTGGGGTGCCCCTTGCAGATAGAGAGGCTCGTGGACGAGCTGAAGAAGCGCCTGGTCACCTTCAACATCCGCACGGATCCGCGCCCAAACATCCGAGGTGTGGACGACAACGAGCACCTGGTGATCCTCAGGGTAAGAAGGAGGTTTTTGCCACAGCTCCACTCGAAACAGAATTCATGTAAATGGACCAATTAACAGAGTGCATTGAAACTTCTCACAAAGGTTTCTTTAGGTCGTGCATTTGTCATACTCAAATTTTATGTGCAAGTATCAACAAAAAAAAAATTTAAGCCTGAAAAAAAAAAAAAAAAAGAAAGTGTTTTGCTTAGACACAGGGAGAAATCATGTCGTATTACACCTGAGACTGCGGTGGAAGAAATCGGAAGAACTTTTAGTAGAAGGAACAGACACAGAGAACGTCTCAAACTCAGCCAACTGGTTTATTTCTCAAACAGCCTTTAAGTACCCAGGGAACTTTTTCCCAACCACACTCTACAGATAAACTCCTTTGTTGCAGACATTTTGAACCGGATGGATACAAAAGATACAAAACAACCCACACATGAGACGAGGACTTAACAATGGGACACTGCGGATCATCGCAGTGACCTTGACAGAGATATGTCCCGAATTATCCTAACAGTCGCGTCAAAGCGCACGCACCTGTGTTTTTTTTTTTTTTTTTGTGTGTGTGCGCTTTGACGCGACTGTTAGGATAATTCGGGACATATCTCTGTCAAGGTCACTGCGATGATCCGCAGTGTCCCATTGTTAAGTCCTCGTCTCATGTGTGGGTTGTTTTGTATGTTTTGTATCCATCCGGTTCAAAATGTCTGCAACAAAGGAGTTTATCTGTAGAGTGTGGTTGGGAAAAAGTTCCCTGGGTTCTTAAAGGCTGTTTGAGAAATAAACCAGTTAGCTGAGTTTGAGACGTTCTCTGTGTCTGTTCCTTCTACTGAAAGTTCTTCCGATTTCTTTCACCGCAGTCTCAGGTGTAATACGACATGATTAGCTACCACCATCTCGCCTGCACTCTCACCGTCTTTTCACACACAGGGAGAAAGAGGGCAAAAACCATCCGGTTGACGACACCACTCGCAGATGGTACCACACGTGCTCGGATCTGCTTTCGAGTGTTCATCTCAAAGAAGCTTTCATGTTTCTGCTTTATGTTGTGCCGTCTGTCAGTAGCAGCATTAACAAGACGATTTTTTCTATCTCGTTGACGCCGCTGGACGGACAACTGAACGCACTGGACAAACAACTGAGTTTTTTTTGTTTCCCACTGTTTTTGCAGCTGGTGATCTGTGGGGCATTTTACCCTCACTACTTCACTCAGGAGAGCCTCAACGAAGCCGACTGCTTCAAGGGACTAGTCACTGATCCACTCTGTTCCGTCACCGTGAGTCATTTTACGTCAAGATGAGCGACAGTTGATGCCCTCTGTCTTGCTTAGCATTGAAGACTGCCTAGAACCCAAAGCGCTTGTACCACCAGTAGATCTTTCACGCTTATGGTTTGTAGTTGAAGACATTATTCCCTCCCTGGACCCGTCCCATGCTGATTGAAGTTCCATGACATACAGCGTGGTTTTATGGTGTTGGTTTGGAAAATGTACTAAACATTAGTCTTGTATGTCATCATCATCATCATTTATTTTTCTTTGATGGCCAGTATGGGCATTGTATGAGAGGGAGTGGCCACAAAATCATTATCACAACATGAACACAATATAGCAGCACTGCAGCCTAGGTAGGCGGGGTTAGAGAGGAACAGGGTAGTGGCTGCCGTAAATATGTTAGTAGTTTTATTTATGGAAACAATTTGGTTAGGTAGCACATTCCAGTCTTCTTTAGTCGACGGTAACATAGCCATTTTATGAGAAACAGTGGAGGAAGGGGCGGTGCAAGCGTTTTATTTTTTCCAGCAAAGATGAAAAATTATTCACTAATTAATTTCAATCAGAATATAAATGTTTTTGTTTTTTTTATGTTTTGAGGGTTTTTGATTCTAAGGAGCACTTTTCTACTTGGAGTCAGCCATGGAATATGCCCTCTTTTAAATAAATTTGCACTGAAGCATTTCCAAAGCTTAGAAACAAACGTTTTAATGTTACTCAACCCAACAGCAAGAAAGGGGGGTGTTTTGCCTTGAGCACTTAGCCCAATTATGCTTGCTTGAACGGTTCTGTTTAGAAGAAGACATCCCTAGGACTAAAGTCACTTGGGGATTGGAACACTCAGGGACCCCTGGCTTTCTGGGAACACAGTTTGATAATCGCCACTGTACACTAGCAAGCCAATGTGGACCTCTCAAAGCTAATTACCTGGTCTTGAGACCTTATAAAACCTCTCGGGGCTCTCCTGCAGATGTGAATGGATACTGGAAAAGAACTCTAGTTTATTCGAAGTTCTGAACTTTGAAAGGTGGTGATTTTTTCATTGAGGTATACCAACAATCGTAGTCATCACTGCACATTTTGGGTCATAGAAGGTTTGCAGTGTGGCGAGAGCGACGACAGCAGTTCATAAAATGGATGTCACCGCTAATTAATTAGAGCCGCAAACCGTCAGATGACAGCTGTCAGAGTCTGCTGTAACTGAATGGTGAACTACTTACAAACTTTCTAATATGTAGTCCATTATATTCGAATTTGTGCCGTAACAAAATTTTTAGTAAGCAAAGTTGAATGAATAAGAGAGATAAGAAGACCAATGAAACTTCACAAATTGGTATGTTATAACCAAACGTCTGCCGTAACTAGATTTGTTGTAACAAGGTTATGCTGTATGTGTGTCCAACAGCTCGTTCCCGTCACCAGAGTCTTGCTGCCTGACATTATGGCGTGACGTCGACGTCAAGCAAACTCGTCTGTCTCGTTGTTCCCGTTTTTGGTCCTTAGGTTAGCGGCATCCCCCAGAATCAAGGCATTCTCTACGACCACGCCTTGCGGCGAATGTTCAGCTGCTGCAGCGAGCACATGAAGATCTACTTCGAGGAGTCCAAGTGAGTCAGTCTGATGAGGTGCATGCACCAGCTTTTTTTGTATTCCACTCTGGCGCACTAGCGCCCTTCTAAAACGAAGCCCCCAAAAAAGGCGAACGTTGTGCAGCGAAAAAGCTGTCTCTGTCTTTAGAATCCAGGTTTTGCCACCACAAACCATCTGTTTTTTTTTTGTGGTGAAAGACGCTTGTTCATTGCAGTCGTTCGGGTCAGTTAATTAACGGGGCTCGTTTGTTTGCAGGAACTAGCTCGTTCCTCCGGGCAGCTTATCATTTTTTGTTCCCCCGGTAACAATGCTGTCGCACCAACCTTTCAGGGCCACGATCGAGTTCCTGCGCAAGTCGTCGAGCGTCGGCATTCTCCCGGCTGTCTACACGGCGGTAAAGATGAGGTGGGAAAGCTCATGCGTCTGCCACGTTCGGACGAAAGTCAGTCTTTCAGTGTGACGTACTTCGCACCAGAGTCTATTTAGAGGGTTGGGAATAAAATACATAGTGAAGGAACTGAGGGCGTCTTGACAGGTGCAGACGATCAGACAACCTTGGCTAACGATCGATTTCAAAACAAATAGTGATTTTGGGGAATAATCTCAAATAGTTCAGGTACAGTTGAACCACGTCGATACATTCCAGAGGGGACCTTGTTAGATGATTATTGCAGCTCGGAATGTGTTATATTATTGTTAGAAATAACCAAATATTCACCCGTCCTTAAGTTGATTGGGAGTGTTTTATGGAGTTTTGATTTCGTCTGTTTTTGCAAAGCCTGATGTTGCAAGTTGAGACTGGTGTGTTGTAAAGTGATGAGAGCTGCAGTGGGTGGGAACACCGCCTTTGATGGGGGACACTACCTGGGATATTTGCAGGTGGTGTTTGTAGCCATATAGGAGGGCATGCAAAGTTTCAGCCCTGGGAACCAATTTTATTTCCCAAGAATGAAGCAAAGCATAGCTTTGCGTGGAATCTGCTCAATGAATCTATCATTGAGAAATGGTGTTGATAACCACAATTTTCTGGTAGAATGCATACTGAAATACCTGTTGCCGGTTACTATGAAAACGAATTTTTAGATATGCATATTTATAAATAAAAAGTTCTGAAAAAAAAAATTTTTTTTATACATTTACCAAGTTGTGTTGCTTACAATTTTACCAAGTTTTGTTGACTACAATTTTTCATAATAAAGGAGCATGAAAATGCAAAATCGAAGTTCATAGTAACTGGATCCATAAAATTTTCCCACAAATATTAAGCCAAAAGTTTCATACTGAAATGATAGTTTTTATTAAGGTGGTATATATGCCAAAAATTTATTTGAAGAAAAACGCATTCAAAGTGCTCGAACCTACCTTTTTTTTAGCATTGGTGAACTGAAAATAATTTATAAAAAAATAACCCTGCACTGTATACAAATTAACCTTTCTGGGAATACTCTCTAGATGTTGGCAGATGTAAATAGGACAATTTTCAAAATCGCCTTTTTTTTTCGAATTTTTTTTTTTTTTTTCTGGGTAGTGTTTTTTCTTAGATTAACGGTCTGGCTTTCCTGCATTGCGGACTGCAGGCAGCTCAGGATCCCCCTGGAGCTGTCCCTGTTCCGACCCGAAGACGCCAAGGAAAAACTGGAACGCCTGCGGCGGTTGCAGGAAGACAACGCCGGCAACAAGCTCAAGACCAACCGGTTGGCCCTCCCTTTGACTCTTTTTGTTGAGTGTTTTGCAAACATACTTTCAAATAGTCGTTTCAAATAATAACCTATTCAGTATTCGAGCCTAGGTTTGACAAATACACTATTCCTGCGGTGCTCAAGCATGGATGTGTCGGGGACCCCTTGGGGACCTGCCAAAGTTAGGGGAAAACCCATGCAAGAGGGCAAGGGGGAACGGAGGGGGGGGGGGGGGGGGGGGATGATTTATAGAGACACCCCCCCCCAGAATTTTCTGCGCAAAGCACACCCAAAACTACACCCCGCCCTGCCTTTACAGCCCCCTAAAAATTTGTGACAACCTCCAAGGTTGGAAATTCTGCATAAACCCCTGGGAGGGAGGAAGGAAAGGGGGGGGGGAAGGGAGTAAGGAAGGGGGGGTGAGGAGGGAGGGAGGGGGAAGTGTAAAATAAGGCAACTAAATGCAGTGTGAAAACGACATTCTTTACTGTTATAGACTGGAGAAGTGAGAACTATCAAGTAAAGAAGGATGGATAAATGGTAATGGCTGTACCCTTTATAACGGGCAGTAGCTGGCTCCTGACCAAAATCAACAAAAAACTTTTCTTTTTTTTTCTGGCCACAATGTGCATAGAAACAAAAGGGATAGCTGTAGCACAGTCGCGCAATGAGGGTGGAATGGTGCCGTCGCATACCTGAAGGCGGAGGTGCGACATGGTTACTTGTCAGCTGTCGTGGCTAACGTCGTGGATGCCACTGACGACTGCCGCCAGTGATACGTGTGAAGTGAGTAAGGAGCGGCAGAAGTTTCTAAAACCATCCAACTTTACGCGTAGCAACCGGATACTGCCAAAGTGGGATTTCACATAAAGCAAATGATGTTGGAAAACAACTCTTTCAAGCGGACGACTTGACAAACCTCCCTTTGTTGCGCAATTCTTGGCGGGACACCAGGGCTGCCATTTTCTCTCTCTGCACGCGGCATATCATACGGGAAGTTCGACTTCCGTCTCATCGCGGCAAGAGGGGAGAGCACAGTTTTTCCATTTTCTCTGCGCGTGCTGCGATGACAAGCAACAAGGACAAAATCTCTGCTAAGTGTCGCCCTTAAAGCTATTGCTTTAAACGGGGAAGGCTGGGGATTGAGGGTTGAGGCGAGGACTTTGTGGACCTCAAAAATGGTTTTGCGGACGCCAGCTGGTCTGCGGAACCCATTTGACAACAACTGCACTACTCCATATTTGCTTCGAGGTTTGTGTAATATTTATATGCTATTTGGTGATCGCCTTGCGATTTAAATGATACGCCATTCAACGTGTGCTTCGATGTAAATTGTAGTTACATTCGCATATTTCGAAATGTTTGGCGTTCGCGGCAGAATTTAGCATCAATAAGGTTGAAACTCTACAAATATTTATTTATTTATTCGTTACCTACATTTCGCCCTGGGGGCATTATTGTAACGTTAGTCAAATATAACGTTAGTCATATTTGACTAATGTTATATTTCGAAAGCCCTACACTCAAAAATTTCTATTTGTGGTGGCTAGCACCACCCATGTGCCAACTGCATCATGTACATATATATGTATATGTGCGTCACGTCCTCTTTAAATTGAGGGTCTATAAAATAGACACGCCCAAAAAGCCTTCACCTAAGCGTGTAAGCGAGTTGCAATGGTGGCGCCATCTGTGGGTGGTGGCAAGCGCCAGACAAAGCTGCAAATGGCATTGTAGAATCAGACTTGGCAGAGTTCATTTCTTAGGGTTTCAAATATTTGTTTTTCTCATTGTCGGGCAGCATGGTGGTGGTGCCAGGCATCAGCTCCCTGAAGACCGTGCCACTCCCAAGCACCAACCAGATGACCATCAACATCTACCTGACCGAGGTGAGTTGTCGCACACGACAGCAGTCAGTCGTAGGATAAATGGGTGCGTGCAGCTGAACCCTTTAAATTGGGTGACGGCTTGCGCCATCTATCCAGTGTTCGTAATATATCGATAGTTAAGGCTGGTTCACGCACTTGCAACTGCTTATGACCGTGTGCCTTAATACCTTTTAGGATATGTACTCTGATCTCGCAAATACCGCAAAGCCTTTGCCCTAGTGCATGGGTCCCCAAACCCTGGCCCACGGAGGTCTTCCGACCGGCCCGTGGCTTGTTGTCCTTTCAAGGAAACCTGACCCACTGCTATGGTGCACAAATAAGCACATGTAAAGAAACGATGCCAGAAGGTGTGTCTTCTCGCCATATTATTTATTGAGCATTTTCATCACCAACATCATCATTCTTAGTCCCCTATTTCATATCTGTGGAACTACCGTAATATCCTCAGTCATCTCCCATCTCCGAATCATCGCCCACCCCATTTTTTGGGCAAATAGCAATTTCCAAGAAAAACACAGTGATCGACCCCCTCTACAAATACCCCAATGCGGACTCCACTATCCGCAAACATTCAACCTACCCGAACGATGCGGCCGCAGACCTTACAGTTGAAGGACGTCCGTGACAAAGTAAAATAAAGGAGAAAAGGACTTTATTTGTTTACGAATTTCCTCCCCGATTTCCGCGACCCCGAAGTCTGAGTATGTGCATGCGAAAGGAAAACGATGGAGATAACAAAATTCAACTTCGTTCTGCTTACAAAAAGGTTTGTTAGGGAGGTTGGAAAGATAACACGAGCAGTAACCCAGTTTGTAATCGTGAGGTCAGCGAACGCCCCATATCCTGGAATGTAACTGTGGAGTGTAGCCAAAGATGTAACGTCAAAGTTCGTCTCCGCGGAAATAAGGTCATTGCGAGCTCCTTTTCCCGGAACGTCGCGACCTCTGTCGGTAAGGTTATGCAATGTTTGGGACAAAGCCAACGGGTAAATTAAAGATTTGATGGAACGCTGCACACAGATGTTTGTAAGGTGTCCCATTTCGAGCTGCATGTCCGTGGTGCTGTCCACGCCACACAGCAACGCCGCCTCAACCCGCGTTGATAGCACGCCGCGCATGCATACACGCCTCAAACAAGAAAGTTGCACAAGAGCCTACTTCTTGTGATTGACAAGGCACCCAGCTTGTCACTACGCCGAAATATTTGCCAACGCGATCACCGGTGTTTCTGCTCTTCAGCCTCGCTCTTGATTGCTTCTTTCACTCGCTCACTCTCTCGCTTTCTCATGGACTTTTTTTTTTTTTTTTTTACTAATGTTGTTTGAAATGTGCCTTCATGAAACAAACATTCGCGCTGCATGTTGTCCGGCGGTGTTCATTGCGCGTACGCAAGCAGGGGACTTTGCGATAGTAAAGTGTTCTTTCATGAGCATTTCTTGCACAAAACAATTAAGCTAATTCGAGTTTTGAGTTCAACGTATTTCTCATGCAGCCGCTCTAGATGTGTGCAGAAAAATGGGATTTTTTTTTTAGCTTTCTGTCAACTTTTTTTGCTTACCCACCGAGACATGACTCAACCCGCTTCTTTTATATATTTCGGCCAGCAGGGGGGGTTGGCGATGAACTGGGATGTCATGGTATGTTAAAATTCCTTTGCGTTACTTTGTATGTCGAGCTTAGCGTCCCATATCGTAACTATAGTGCATATCGTCAGAATCAGTTCTACCCTTCTCGGTAGTCTTCTACCTTCCGTAGACGTGCCAAAGTACTTTGGTGCTTTCATGTATGCCAAGCGACTTTTCTAGTTCACATATGATTGCGTAATGTCGTAATTATATATCGTATTTCAAAATGAAGTATATTCATTCTGTATGAACATACTCATTCACTTCAGGTTTGGTTTTCTTTTCCTCCTTGCAATCAGTTTTTCCTCATGTATATTCGCTTATTTCTTTTTCCCGTCCCTCGACACTGTGACAGATCCCTAATCCTTAGCCAAAAGGTATGGAGAGCCCTGCTCTAGTGAAATGCAGTTCCAGGGCCACCTTGTATAGATGGTGCCAGCGTGCCAGTGCATGTCCTCGTCGTAAGAGATCACAGGCACTCAGTCGTGAACCAACGCAAGTGTGTGAACGGGCCTTCGACCCCTGGCTAATACCATGCAAAGCATTAAGCTTAGATTGGCAGCTTAGCAAAAAGCTTTTGAATTAGGAATTTCCTTAGAAGCACATTATTTTCTGGTCTACAACTCACATTGTTGTACGAGTCGCATCTCCTATGAATGACTGTTTTTTTATAAGAAAGTTGCGAGTTATATAGGTTGAATTTTTTCTATACGGTTGTTGTCACGAAACGGCATTGATGTGCGTGACATATGCACAAGCGGGAGTTAGTTTTAATGCTCTCGCCACCGAATCAAACAAGAAATAAAGCCCCCCCCCCCCCCCGCGGTAAATTTGTATGGTCGTGCTCAACGTGACACTACCCAAAAGGGTCAACTTTGAAACCTTTGGCTTAATATGAATCAAATTTACAGTATATACTGGCAGTTGCAAGACAGAATGCTGTGTAAAGTTTCATCTGCAGCAGAATGCCTAGAGAGTGCAACAGGGAAAACAAAATTTCTAACAAGTAGTTTATTTTACGCTAACACCGCAGTAAAAAGTCAAATAAAATTTTTCCCTTTTATGTTGTCGACAAAATCTTTACATATTTTATAAAAGACATCCACCAAGTCAAAAAACAATTGCACAGCTGCATTGCCCATAAAATTCTAGTAAGGGAAAACAATGAGTGAGTCTTTCCTCTTGTCCCATTAACAAACGATGGTTTTCCTAGATCTGAAATTTATACCAAAAAGTGGAACAGAGAAAAATGCGTTCAAAAGGCTCCAACCACTACCTTTAGCATTGGTGGACCGAAAATAGTTAATAAAGGGAAAAACAATGAGTGAGTCTTTCCTCTTGTCCCATTAACAAACAATAGTTTTCCTAGATCTGAAATTTATACCAAAAAGTGGAACAGAGAAAAATGCGTTCAAAAGGCTCCAACCACTACCTTTAGCATTGGTGGACCGAAAATAGTTAATAAAAGGAAAAACAATGAGTGAGTCTTTCCTCTTGTCCCATTAACAAACGATGGTTTTCCTAGATCTGAAATTTATACCAAAAAGTGGAACAGAGGAAAATGCGTTCAAAAGGCTCCAACCACTACCTTTAGCATTGGTGGACCGAAAATAGTTAATAAAGGGAAAAACAATGAGTGAGTCTTTCCTCTTGTCCCATTAACAAACAATAGTTTTCCTAGATCTGAAATTTATACCAAAAAGTGGAACAGAGAAAAATGCATTCAAAAGGCTCCAACCACTACCTTTAGCATTGGTGGACCGAAAATAGTTAATAAAAGGAAAAACAATGAGTGAGTCTTTCCTCTTGTCCCATTAACAAACAATAGTTTTCCTAGATCTGAAATTTATACCAAAAAGTGGAACAGAGAAAAATGCGTTCAAAAGGCTCCAACCACTACCTTTAGCATTGGTGGACCGAAAATAGTTAATAAAGGGAAAAACAATGAGTGAGTCTTTCCTCTTGTCCCATTAACAAACAATAGTTTTCCTAGATCTGAAATTTATACCAAAAAGTGGAACAGAGAAAAATGTGTTCAAAAGGCTCCAACCACTACCTTTAGCATTGGTGGACCGAAAATAGTTAATAAAAGGAAAAACAATGAGTGAGTCTTTCCTCTTGTCCCATTAACAAACAATAGTTTTCCTAGATCTGAAATTTATACCAAAAAGTGGAACAGAGAAAAATGTGTTCAAAAGGCTCCAACCACTACCTTTAGCATTGGTGGACCGAAAATAGTTAATAAAAGGAAAAACAATGAGTGAGTCTTTCCTCTTGTCCCATTAACAAACAATAGTTTTCCTAGATCTGAAATTTATACCAAAAAGTGGAACAGAGAAAAATGTGTTCAAAAGGCTCCAACCACTACCTTTAGCATTGGTGGACCGAAAATAGTTAATAAAAGGAAAAACAATGAGTGAGTCTTTCCTCTTGTCCCATTAACAAACAATAGTTTTCCTAGATCTGAAATTTATACCAAAAAGTGGAACAGAGAAAAATGTGTTCAAAAGGCTCCAACCACTACCTTTAGCATTGGTGGACCGAAAATAGTTAATAAAAGGAAAAACAATGAGTGAGTCTTTCCTCTTGTCCCATTAACAAACAATAGTTTTCCTAGATCTGAAATTTATACCAAAAAGTGGAACAGAGAAAAATGTGTTCAAAAGGCTCCAACCACTACCTTTAGCATTGGTGGACCGAAAATAGTTAATAAAAGGAAAAACAATGAGTGAGTCTTTCCTCTTGTCCCATTAACAAACAATAGTTTTCCTAGATCTGAAATTTATACCAAAAAGTGGAACAGAGAAAAATGCGTTCAAAAGGCTCCAACCACTACCTTTAGCATTGGTGGACCGAAAATAGTTAATAAAGGGAAAAACAATGAGTGAGTCTTTCCTCTTGTCCCATTAACAAACAATAGTTTTCCTAGATCTGAAATTTATACCAAAAAGTGGAACAGAGAAAAATGCGTTCAAAAGGCTCCAACCACTACCTTTAGCATTGGTGGACCGAAAATAGTTAATAAAGGGAAAAACAATGAGTGAGTCTTTCCTCTTGTCCCATTAACAAACAATAGTTTTCCTAGATCTGAAATTTATACCAAAAAGTGGAACAGAGAAAAATGTGTTCAAAAGGCTCCAACCACTACCTTTAGCATTGGTGGACCGAAAATAGTTAATAAAAGGAAAAACAATGAGTGAGTCTTTCCTCTTGTCCCATTAACAAACAATAGTTTTCCTAGATCTGAAATTTATACCAAAAAGTGGAACAGAGAAAAATGTGTTCAAAAGGCTCCAACCACTACCTTTAGCATTGGTGGACCGAAAATAGTTAATAAAAGGAAAAACAATGAGTGAGTCTTTCCTCTTGTCCCATTAACAAACAATAGTTTTCCTAGATCTGAAATTTATACCAAAAAGTGGAACAGAGAAAAATGTGTTCAAAAGGCTCCAACCACTACCTTTAGCATTGGTGGACCGAAAATAGTTAATAAAAGGAAAAACAATGAGTGAGTCTTTCCTCTTGTCCCATTAACAAACAATAGTTTTCCTAGATCTGAAATTTATACCAAAAAGTGGAACAGAGAAAAATGCGTTCAAAAGGCTCCAACCACTACCTTTAGCATTGGTGGACCGAAAATAGTTAATAAAGGGAAAAACAATGAGTGAGTCTTTCCTCTTGTCCCATTAACAAACAATAGTTTTCCTAGATCTGAAATTTATACCAAAAAGTGGAACAGAGAAAAATGCGTTCAAAAGGCTCCAACCACTACCTTTAGCATTGGTGGACCGAAAATAGTTAATAAAGGGAAAAACAATGAGTGAGTCTTTCCTCTTGTCCCATTAACAAACAATAGTTTTCCTAGATCTGAAATTTATACCAAAAAGTGGAACAGAGAAAAATGCGTTCAAAAGGCTCCAACCACTACCTTTAGCATTGGTGGACCGAAAATAGTTAATAAAGGGAAAAACAATGAGTGAGTCTTTCCTCTTGTCCCATTAACAAACAATAGTTTTCCTAGATCTGAAATTTATACCAAAAAGTGGAACAGAGAAAAATGTGTTCAAAAGGCTCCAACCACTACCTTTAGCATTGGTGGACCGAAAATAGTTAATAAAAGGAAAAACAATGAGTGAGTCTTTCCTCTTGTCCCATTAACAAACAATAGTTTTCCTAGATCTGAAATTTATACCAAAAAGTGGAACAGAGAAAAATGTGTTCAAAAGGCTCCAACCACTACCTTTAGCATTGGTGGACCGAAAATAGTTAATAAAAGGAAAAACAATGGGTGAGTCTTTCCTCTTGTCCCATTAACAAACAATAGTTTTCCTAGATCTGAAATTTATACCAAAAAGTGGAACAGAGAAAAATGTGTTCAAAAGGCTCCAACCACTACCTTTAGCATTGGTGGACCGAAAATAGTTAATAAAAGGAAAAACAATGAGTGAGTCTTTCCTCTTGTCCCATTAACAAACAATAGTTTTCCTAGATCTGAAATTTATACCAAAAAGTGGAACAGAGAAAAATGTGTTCAAAAGGCTCCAACCACTACCTTTAGCATTGGTGGACCGAAAATAGTTAATAAAGGGAAAAACAATGAGTGAGTCTTTCCTCTTGTCCCATTAACAAACAATAGTTTTCCTAGATCTGAAATTTATACCAAAAAGTGGAACAGAGAAAAATGCGTTCAAAAGGCTCCAACCACTACCTTTAGCATTGGTGGACCGAAAATAGTTAATAAAGGGAAAAACAATGAGTGAGTCTTTCCTCTTGTCCCATTAACAAACAATAGTTTTCCTAGATCTGAAATTTATACCAAAAAGTGGAACAGAGAAAAATGTGTTCAAAAGGCTCCAACCACTACCTTTAGCATTGGTGGACCGAAAATAGTTAATAAAAGGAAAAACAATGAGTGAGTCTTTCCTCTTGTCCCATTAACAAACAATAGTTTTCCTAGATCTGAAATTTATACCAAAAAGTGGAACAGAGAAAAATGCGTTCAAAAGGCTCCAACCACTACCTTTAGCATTGGTGGACCGAAAATAGTTAATAAAGGGAAAAACAATGAGTGAGTCTTTCCTCTTGTCCCATTAACAAACAATAGTTTTCCTAGATCTGAAATTTATACCAAAAAGTGGAACAGAGAAAAATGTGTTCAAAAGGCTCCAACCACTACCTTTAGCATTGGTGGACCGAAAATAGTTAATAAAAGGAAAAACAATGAGTGAGTCTTTCCTCTTGTCCCATTAACAAACAATAGTTTTCCTAGATCTGAAATTTATACCAAAAAGTGGAACAGAGAAAAATGTGTTCAAAAGGCTCCAACCACTACCTTTAGCATTGGTGGACCGAAAATAGTTAATAAAGGGAAAAACAATGAGTGAGTCTTTCCTCTTGTCCCATTAACAAACAATAGTTTTCCTAGATCTGAAATTTATACCAAAAAGTGGAACAGAGAAAAATGTGTTCAAAAGGCTCCAACCACTACCTTTAGCATTGGTGGACCGAAAATAGTTAATAAAGGGAAAAACAATGAGTGAGTCTTTCCTCTTGTCCCATTAACAAACAATAGTTTTCCTAGATCTGAAATTTATACCAAAAAGTGGAACAGAGAAAAATGCGTTCAAAAGGCTCCAACCACTACTTTTAGCATTGGTGGACCGAAAATAGTTAATAAAAGGAAAAACAATGAGTGAGTCTTTCCTCTTGTCCCATTAACAAACAATAGTTTTCCTAGATCTGAAATTTATACCAAAAAGTGGAACAGAGAAAAATGTGTTCAAAAGGCTCCAACCACTACCTTTAGCATTGGTGGACCGAAAATAGTTAATAAAAGGAAAAACAATGAGTGAGTTTTCCTCTTGTCCCATTAACAAACAATAGTTTTCCTAGATCTGAAATTTATACCAAAAAGTGGAACAGAGAAAAATGCGTTCAAAAAGTTCTAACCGCTACCTTTAGCATTAGTGGACCGAAAATAGTTCATAAAAAGTTAACTATGCAGTGTAAACTAATAAAACTTTCTGGGAATACTCTCTTGATGGTTGTGAATGTAAATATGGCATTTTTCAAAATAAATTTTTTTTGCAGGAGCTTTTTGCTGTGCAGTGGTCCCCCCTTAGGAAATGCATATATTTAATCGCACCTTTGTGTAAGACACACCAATGGAAATTTCAGGAAAAGAAGCCTTTGCTTATACAACGAAAATCGTGGAAATGGAGCTAGAAGCTCGTACCCACACCAACCGCCCTTGCGCAGGTGGTGACTTGCGGCCACTTCTACGCCCACTACTCGGACCCCGCATACGAGGCGGCCGAACAGCACATGACCCTCGCCATCAATCACAACGGGGGCAAGCACCTCAAGGTCGGTGGCTCCCCTTCTCGCGTCGTCCATCGATTTCCACTGCGGAGAGCGTGTTCCTCTCTCGCCTTGGTACACCTGGCTTGTGGGGGGTTAAAACAATTAAATACAAAGCATTTACAGGGCCAGCTCTTTGCGATTTGGCGTCTGTGGCACGCAGCCTCCACGGTGGCGTCAAGCCGACGACGACGCGTGACACTGTGACATCGCGTGACAGGATGTTGCACGGTGGTGTGATGCGACATCACATAGCACTGCGACGTCGGACGACGCCACGACGTCGTCGTTTCGGCTCAAGCTGCTCATGCTTTGCGGGCACGAGACAGATCACGCTGAAACAATGGCTCGTCGGAACAACGTCGCACATTTGCGTTTGCGCAAATGTGAATGGGTTAGCCAGCCACTACCGAGCACGTGACCCTCGCGGTCTTCCCATGTTCCTCGCAGCCCATCACGTCCGAGCTGAGGCTGGAGATGCTGGTGCTGGCTCCTTTCAAGGGGGCCTACTACCGAGCAAGGATCGAATCCCTCGGGCAGAACAACAAGGCTTCGGTGAGTGGCCACTTCTGTTCAGATAGTTTTCTTGGGACCCTTAATTAAGTTTTGCATAAAACTGTGGTACCTGGAGCGCATCTCTGACTGGAGTGTCCTATTTTGCCCACTCACCGAAAGTGGCCCCTAAGCGGCGACGCATAACGTCGCAAAAACCGGCGCGTTGTGCCATCGGATGTCGCGATTCCGGCGGTTAGGCCTAGAAGTTGAGAAAAAAAAGCACGAAAGAACACGAGCGCTGCCGTCGCCGCGGCATCCAAATTCGTGACTGCCGAAGCCTCGTTGGACAGCCAAGCTGGAGAGCGACCCGCAGGAGAACAAGCATTTGCTGCACCCAGCGGATCGTGGCAGGCGACGAAGTGACACTTTTACGACGTCGTCGGGCAGAAGTCTAGGTACAGTCAAAGGGCTTTAAAACAAAGTCTGCGGGACCGGTGACATTTTTCATAGTACAGGTAACTCAGTTGTAGCATCTAAAAGCAAAAAATGGATCACGCGTGGCGAGGAGGAAGTCAGGCGGAAATGCGGAGACGTTTGCAGACGTTTTCGCGTCGCGAGGAGGAAAGCAGGCAGAAATGCAGAGACGTTTGCAGACGATCGACGCTTTCAGGACCTCGTATTGCAAATGCGGCCCGTGAACCACGTGACTCCGATCGAGCAGTTGGAAAGTCTCTCAAATACAGGCTTTCTATGCAGCAGCGTAGTCAGATAGCGCCATCTAGACACAAGGTTGCACACCAACAATTTATCTGAACCCAAGAACGTGCGGCGCAGCGACGGTGGAGTCGGCGCGGCAACAGTGTCAACCTTCACCGCTGCTGCAGTATTGCTGTTCTCTATGCGTGTCACTTAAGAGCAACAATTCTCTTAAATTTATTACTTTTCACCTAGGAAATTTATAATGCCGGTCATTTTCTGCAATCGCTTCGTTAAACAAAGATATTTGTTCAACAGGAATTCGTTGTGGTAGTCAGAGAAACAGATTGAACACATAGGAGATTGGCCAAGACTTTATTTTACTTCGTTAGACGGGTGTTTTCGTAGAAGAGGGGTGAGCAAACCAGTCGGAGACTCATTCGAGCACCGTACCGAGACCATGAGCCAAACTGTGACCGTTTGTGTGTAATTGGTCGGGGGCAGGTTTTCTTCGTGGACTACGGCAACAGGCTGATCCTGGACGCGTCACTGCTGCGGGAGATCGACCCGGACACTCTCTTTGACACCCTCATCACGCCGGCGCAGGTCTGTACGCAGCAGACCGCTTTGCTTCTCGCAGAAAATGCCGTCACGTTGTCGGGGAAGTGCCCCGCGATTGATGGATGCAAAGGCGCGGGATTTAAACTTCTCGTTGTCTTGCCGACGCTGCTGCCCCCTTGGCTGGAGCTTCTGGAAGCTCCCGCCAACTTGGGGGTCCTTAACGTGTGGCACGCGACAGACGACCGCACGCCGGTACCACACTCGTTTGGATCGAGACGGGCTGGGGGCAGATGTTCTGTGGCACCAGCTTTAGCTCCATGTGCCGCACAGCCTGAGAGTAACCTTCTAACCGCACGATGGAACATCTTGTTTGTGGGTAGAGTTGAAGGCTCCTCGCGCTAGATGCCCGCGCATCCTTCCCTCTGTGGAGCAGGCGTTCCAGTGCAAGCTGGCCGAGATCAAGCCTTCCGCGCTGGCCTGCAGCAAGGAGCAGTGGACCAACAGGGCCAAGGACGTCTTTGAGCGGCTCGTCAGTGGCAAGGAGCTGGTCGCACGGGTGAGGGAGGCTATTTCTTTCGTGCTCACGGGCTCGATTTCTTTGCAGCTGGAGTGTTCGTACCTGGAGTTGTGATGAAACTGTAACAAATCTTGCTCTAGTCGCTGTCGAGGTGTGATGGAACTAACAAATCTTGCTCTAGTCGCTGACGAGGTGAAAGCGGCAGTCTTCGGCGCAAGCTTCCTAGCCTCCACAATGTTTGGGCGTCTCATGCAACCAAAGCCTGGCAGAACGCGTGGAGCACGTGCTCGAGGTCGGGCTTTCCAACAACACGCCCTGCCCTTATTCTATCAGTGTCTTCAGCATTTTACCGGTGAAATCCAATAGTATTGGGCTTTCTAACTTGGTAACCTGAAAAAACTTTTTTTTTTTTCTTGTAATACTACTAGTTATATAAAGGTGCCATTTATTATTGTAGCACAAACGTGTTCTTTTGGTCCTTCCCCACTCAAGACCAGCTCAGAATGGAACCACCTCCCCCCTCCCTACCCCCACCCCTGCATTGCCTTCATTGAAGATGTTTTATCCTTCAAGTCTGCCCTAACCACCTTTTTTTTTCTGCTTTTTGGGAGATTGTATTTTTGATTGTGCATTTTACGATGACACTTTACTCTATCCTCTCTGTGACACCCTCTGGGTCCCAAGGGTATTAAAATAAGTAAAGTAATAAACTCTAGGAAGATGGGAAAACTGTATGCATGACCTTGCCGACCTGGAGCCTGATTTTCTTCCTAGAGTGTTTCGTAAGTAGTGTTGCCACGGTCCTCTGATAAACTGCTTAACTTTTGTCATTAAAAGTAATCCAGCTGCAAATAAAAATAGAAAAAAAAAAATTCAAATTTAAAAATTTTTATTATTATTTTTAGTAGGGTTCGGTCCTCAGATAAACTGCTTATAGATCTGAAAACTTGTTTCTTCCCTAAAAAAGTTTTATCATTGCAAGCAATGCTGATGCAAGTAAAAGCAAAAAAAAAAAAGAAAAATAAAATGAAAAAAGTGTATAATTATTTTTTAGTAGGGTTGTTCGAATAGTGGTTCCAATCGAATAGTGCTGTGTTATCCATAGCCTTGACAATGCAAGGGAAAGCCAACACGGCACATTCTCTTAACAGTGCAGAAGCTGGGATGACACTGCGCTATTCGATTGGATCCACTATTCGCACATCCCTACTTTTTAGTGGACGTAGTACCCTTGACATGACAATTAAATTGCAGTAAACAATTTAATTTTTGCTGGTTCAGAAATATTCAGAAAAAAAGGTCCCACAAATATGTTACCCTATGGTAACTAATACATGGCATACCACTCCCAATCACGAAATTTTGTACCCGCGAAACTAAATATCAAGCCCGTGTAAACAAATTTGTTTACAGTATTTTAAAACAATGAGGCCCCTAGGTCTCAACTGTAGATTGCAGTTTCTGGAGAAAACTTTCCCGTAGAGTGGCAAAAAAGTTCCAGACCAAGTAACTTGAGGACCATGGTACTAGTACTATTTCCTTTTTGGCTCAATCGGCGCTTGTTCGATACGCGACGCGGATATCTCGAGGGAACGCCGGCGGACACAGCGGAGTGCCAGGTGTCAATGGGGGCGTCTGCGGTGTCTCCGCAGGTGTACTCCGTGGTGGACGAGGTGGTGAGGGTGCACCTCCTGGTGAGGGACGGACACCTCCACGTCAACGTCAACGAGGAGCTGGTGCGGCTGGGCATCGCGGACCGCTGTGAAGAGAGCTTCCTCTCCAAGGTGGGAGGGGGGAGAGCCTCTCTTTCTACTTTCGTCCTCGCCGGAACCCTGGCGTTTTTTTTTCCTTACTGCTTCATATAGTACCTTGACGTGCTGTTTACAAAAAAGCCTGGGTTTGATGACTCCAGGTGTGGGCGCTGCATGTATGCGGAAACCGGATTCACGCGAAGTGAAGCATCTGTGCACATGCACCTGCTCGTGCAATTTCGAGGAAGCCCCACCTGGCTTGACTGGAGACCAAGGAACTCGCCGCTTTCGGCGTCGGTATATTGAGGCAGTGCAGAAGTGAGCCTCGTCAACAACAAGAAACACACACTCTGTTGTTGACGAGGCTCGACAGGACGAAGCACACACTCATAGTTACGCATCAATGGACGGCTCAGATCTGCTAAAATGGGGCATAAACTGTTTGAAGACTTTACTTAGAAGCAAAGATGATCGAGGAAATTTGGGAGCAACCCTGGAGGATACCCTAAGAAGCCCAGTTTGAGAACGCATGTAAAACATAATTGACCCTTTTCAAAACTCAGTCTGGCAACTTTGATTACTGTCGTCATTTCAGTACATGGCATCTGTGCCAGAGTAATGGCGGCCTTGTTGAGGTTGATGAAGGAGGAGGTTTGGCATACTACCAAGTGGGGAATGTACAAGGCCCGCACGTTTGAGACTTTGATGCGACACGACGCACGAATTGGGCACAACGGCTGCCTAGGCGCTTTTTTTGGAGTGGTCTAATCAACCTTCTGGTACAAGTCTGGCTTTAAAACTTTTAGACGGCGGAAATCTAATCGAGGGGCTTAGCCGCTTTGTACTATACTCCGTTTCACCTTATGTTGTACCGCAGCGAAGGCTAGATGCGCGAGCTCATAGCGTTGGCAGCTGCCCTTGGTGCACGAGAGCTTGTGCCGCCGAGGTGTGCCATAGAGCAAGGAGCTCGCGCTTGTAGCTTTTTCTGCAGTACAACACAAGGTGAAACAGAGTATAATCGGTTCTTGCGTTGGCATCGTCAAAACCGAAAGAAGGCAAGGTGATCGAAGAACCAATTCTCATCTGCCATTGACGCGCGGGAGCAACGGTGCCCGACAAAATACAATTCCATGGCCGCCATTAGTCTGTCGAAAGTGAAACTGCTTTTCGAACAAACTGAATGGCACCGAATTTCGAAGGGGGCCTATCGCCACGAAGGACAAACGATTTCGCCCGAACTTCGCGACGCCCCTTGTTCTTTCTCGGTGCAGAAAAACCACCAGCTGCGCGAGCGCGTGGAGTCGTACCACCAGTCGGTGACAGACTCAACGGAGGCTGTACAGGACGGCTGCGAAGAGGTGGACACGTGCCGGCTCAACTTCGGCCCGCCCCAGATGTCGGCGCGCAAGGTGAGGCCCCCCGCCCGTCGTCGCGAAACTTTTCCTCGGCCCATTGCCGTTCGCGAGAAACGGCACAGGTTCCAAAGTCACATTACGCCTTTGTAGGATTGTGTCGGGAACTTCCTGCGCAATGCGTTTCGATTACAGTCGCTGACAGCATGGGGTCCAAGGGAACGAAAGGCGACTTTTGTTTCTCCTTTTCTACCCATGGACCTTCCGAGAAGAGTACCTTCTCACCTTGGAAAATAAAAAGATTGATTGATTTCTTTCTTCCTTTCTTTTTCTTTCTTTCTTTCTTTAATGAAATTGGAGTAAAAACTAGGGGTGTGCGAATACTGAATAGCAGTCTTAGGTAGTAACGCGTTACTAGTAACGCGTTACTGTAATTTCGTTACTTTTTTGGTACCTTGTAGTTGTAACGAATTACTTTTTTAAAATGTAACTTCTAACTGTAGTTCTATTACTTTTTCCTGAGGTAACGATGAAAGTAACGACGTTGCTTTTGTCGTTACTTTCCAGTGTTTTATGAATATTATATCACTGAACGAGTACAATTTAGATTTTCCTTACACTTTTAAAATCGTCTATTCTGACATTTGGAGTGTCATGTTGGCCTTGCACAAACTTGTGGATACGTTCTTTCTCACGAGTCACGATCCGAATATAGATACGTGTAGATATCGTGAAAAAAATCTAGTTATATTCACGCACGCGCTTGTACTTTGTGACTGAACACTTACATCTTAGTGTCTTGAAGCACTATTTATTCTGTGTTTTGTTTTGTTTTTGTGTGAAAACGCTTTTTAATCGGGTGAATCAACCGTGAAACAACAATACACGTGGAGGGCACTGCACAGGTTTCGTATTTTGATTAGCGCCTGAACTCCACACTGCGCATGTTTCGTATTTTGATTTGCGCCACTACTCTGGCGTGGAAATTTTCAAACACTAGTTTCGAGAAGCAACTTCTGCTAAGTTACAATATGAAGTAAAAAGCGTACTGTTTATTTTATGCAATAAAGCCTGGTGAGGGGCGTTTTCTAGTTCTTCCTATTTTTTGCTGTTATAGGAAAGTAACTGAAAAGTAACGTCTTTACTTTTTAAAAGTAACTGTAACTTTAACGAGTTACTCTTTTGTTGCGGTAACTGTAACGGTAACTTCAACACTTTTTTCTGAAAGTAACTGTAACTGTAACGAATTACTTTTTAAAAGTAACTTACCCAAGACTGCCGAATAGTAGTTTTCGAATCGAATACCGAATCGAATCAAGAAAACAAATCCGAATATCGAATCGAATATTGAATACCGTTGTAATTTTATTTGTAGAAATTTTTCAAAGTGTGCTGCGAATGAGATTATTATATGTGCAGAGTATGCGCCTGTAGCAGAATATGCATCTTGTACGGAACGAAAGCTAAAATGTAAAACATTCTGGTGAAAATAAAAATAAAAGCAGTTGCTATTGGATGTTGGGCACTAAAGATCCAATTTTATGGCACAAATATAATCTATCTACCCTAAACGTCACAAAAAAACCAAAGTTACAGCCACGTGTGCCTTTTTTTTCTTGTTAAAAGCACAACCTAACACTGCGACTTTTTTTGTACATAATTGTATATCTTTTGAGATATTTGGTTTCCATTTTAAGGAAGAAAAAGGGTACCCTAGATTTTATTTCATATAAATAAACAGATAGGTGTTAAATCTGAGTAAACAGGCTTAAACAATATAATCTGAAGAAAAAAAATGCGGTTAGGTGGCGCAAGACACCGTCCAACTGCTGCTATGCATCCATTTTTCCGTTTATCTCCTGTTTTAGAGAGCCTTGATTTAAAAGAGGGAGCAAGCGAAACTGAAACCACGGAGACGGCTCCAGCGCAGATTGGTCGTAAGTGCACATGTGTTGTGTTGTCGCGTGGAAAAAGGCGAGCAAACAGAAGAGCGACGACGTCTGCCCTACCTGCCCGATCCTGTTCGACACTTTTGTCTTTTCGTCACCCTCTTGCAGTTTGTAATTCAAACGCGGCTATCGAATGGTTGGAAACCCTCTCAAATCTAGGCACACTATTTTTCCGTCCGTTTCGTTCCGAATCAGAATTTGCGGCTTGCGGTGCTTGCGGTTCCAAAAGAACAATGATGGTAACTCGGCTGGTTTCATCGGCGTGGTTAACATGGTTTTCTTTCTGTGATCGTGCAGCCGCCGATTTCTGTGAGTGCAGCAAGTGTGTTTTACATCGGTGCTCCAATTCGAAACAAGGGGCTTTACTCGCGAAAAGAATTGGGCATGGCGCGGGATTCCGGCCTCCCAACAATTCTTCTCTGGAAGCAGCGCAAACGGGATGTTTCAGTAGTGATTCAAGGGTAGATTGTGTCCCGATCGTGAGTAAATCTGCGTGCTAAAAAGTTTGTGGCGTTCGTTACTTTTCTTTTTTCTAACCTGTGCATTAGATTTTTGTGGAATGGTAGGACCAAGAGCTGTTTTTCGCATGATCTGTCTAACATCACGGCGCATACATCGGGAGAAAAAACGGCTTTTTTGTCAGCTCTGCGCCGACCACGCGTCTTTGGCTGAATATATTGAATATTCAAGGGACCGAATACTAGGAATTCAATTCGCGAATCGAATTATTCGGGAACTTTCGATTCGATTCGAATTCGTATATTCGAGTATTCGCACACCCCTAGTAAAAATGCAGATGAGCTGGTGCACATCTATAGTGAGAAACTTGAGACCGGGAACAGAAGGGACAAGGACAACACCATCTCGTAACCAGCACAGAAATGATTTAATTAAGGACGAGCTTCGTTTTTGTTTCCTAAAACACATCCCCACATCATCTGCAGTCCTACATCGTGAAAGTCTTAAGCATTTGAATGCTTAAGACCTTCACGATGTAGAACTGCAGATGATGTGGGTGTCTGCTGTGTTTGTCCCTTTGCTAATAAAATGCCGATTCATCCACTCCAGGTGAGGCTGAATGGACCCCACAGTCCGCTGGAAGTCCGGCTGTCCGGAATGACCAGGGTCTGTTCTCAGAGGTGAGGCACCTTCTTTGTTGTCTCACGCCGGGTTCTTGGCTTTAAAGGGATACTAGAACGAAATTTCGGCGCTAATTTTGTGGTCTATATGTGTTCAAAGGTGCAGTATCCCATCGAACATACCAATATCTTGTTGAAAAAGTCACGAAAAGGAATTTTAAAACGAATTAAACGATTAGCAAAGAGCACCTGGTGGATGTCGCTAACGCCTCGCTTGTAATGCCCGTCTAGGAACCTTGACAGCTAGTGACGGAGGTTGTCTCGCCTCCGGCCACGACGAGAGAAGAGGGGCAGGAGGAACTTCTCTCTTCCCGAGAATGCCTTTTGTGTGTCGCAGAAGTCGCTATTGTCCCCTTACAAGATTATAGAAGATTAACCCGTCACTCCAAATTCGTACAAAAGCAGCTGCTTCGGTGGCTGGAACGACTAGGCCATTCTCACGACGTCAGCCTCGCCATAGCTTTGCTCGTCTTGAGACGACCTACGTCACGATTGCGTTGGATGTCACGTGGTCTCCGCTGGGCCTTCTCCGAGTGCTTGCCAGTGTGGGCCGTTTATAACGAAAAATACAGCCACCCAATACAAACGTGCAATTGTCATTTACGGATATTGTGGATCATATTCAACCTATTTTTGAACACGACGGGAATATTTCAAATATTGTTGAAGTATCCCTTTAATACTCGGTTTTGGAACAGGTTCTGCCAGTCTTATGGTCTCTGCTCGAGTACTATGTTTATTTCTTGTTTGCATATCACACTCTTTCTTTGGGACTCTTTTGCCAGATATATTTTGTGGGCATTAAAGCCTAGGTAAGTATTTAATTGGCTTTGGCCACATCTCGCCATTGTTTTCCTAGTTGCATCAAGTTTAAAGGGTCGATCTTCAAAGGCTGTGGACCGGGTGTTTTCAAACTCTTTGATCGAGACTCTGCACTCTTCGACCTTGCTGCATATAAGCGGTACAGAGGCTCATAGATATTTTTATTGATGTAGAACACCCTGTCGAGAACTGCAAGGCGTGTCTTTCAAATGCCCGAGTCCAAGGTAGGAAGCTCTTACTCTGGGTGTGTTTGGCTCATAGCTGTGCATTGATACACGCTTCAAACATGTTGCAAAATGTCTCAAACCGAGAGATTTGGGCGCTCGGGGAACTGTAGAGGGTTCTCTGGGAAAACTCCCAGGCTGCTGGGAACCCGTGCTGCAAACAACTAAATTTTCGCGGCGGCCTCGTTTTTGCAAGTTTCGTATTCTAACCTTTTTCCATTGGAGGTTTTTTTCTTTTCTTGTTTTTTTAACATGCGCTTCGGTAGTTGAGTTGTGTTTTTTTTCAAAGAAATAGTACAAAGAAAACTTTCAGCCTTTCCACTCTGGTGCAGAAGGAAGAGCGGCAGAACTCTATCTTCTGTTCTCAGCGGTGGCTTTCCAGGCGAGCGATCTGCTCTTCTTTCGCAAGGGAATTTGAAGTGCTCGACGCAGTGGAACTTTAGGCGATAGCGGCCTAGCAGTGGTTGCGGAACCATTCGTGCTGCTGTGCACATCGCCGCTCGTTCCGTTCTCACTCTTCTTCCTCTGAAGAAATGTTGCCGCCATCTATGAGCGACGGCAGCAGCCAGTTGTCTGGTTGCCGAGGCTCGAAAGGTTGCTGCGATCTATGAGCGACGGTGGCAAGCAGTCAACCGGAAAACACAACACCTACACAATGCTCTGGACAACTACCACCATCTATGAGCAAAGGCGGCAACCAGAGTGTTGTGTCGTCATTTGTTTGGTACTGGACACGATCCTGGGGAAACTAGCCCTTAACAGCTCCGCTATAAAAAGTCAATGCCGCGCGAGTCTTTTTATTATCTAACGGGAGCACGTACAGCGCTTGCAAGCCGTTTAGTTTCATGTCTAACAATGGCACAAACGCCGGAATAAACCCATACAACAGTCAAACTTAGAAAGAAAAAAATTACCGTTTTTTTGCTGCTTAATCAGCCAACAATAAAAAAAAAAAAAAAAAAAAAAAAGAGCTAGAAAACTTAATGTTAAGAAATATTGGTAGCACGAATGCACGACCCCACGGCAACGAATGGCCCCCCCTCCGACTCTGCAGGGGCGTGCGAGTGGAGCGCACAAGCGTCAACTCGGTGCTGCTGGAGTCGGAGCCCCAGAGGCCCCACCCCCGGATGCTGGTGGCATGCCACGTGGGACAGAGCGCCACCAGCGACCACGTGACTCTTCGCAGCACCACCCTGCTGCCGGCCATCCCGGGGCTGCACTGCCTCATGCCCCTCCTCTTTGCGCCCCACGTGGAGTTCAGGTACGCCCTCCCCCGCCGGCGTTCCTCAGGGGACGTCGGCGCCGAAACGCATGCCGCACTCCCAAATGACTTTCTTTAATGCAGAACGTGTTTTATGGGGTGTTTTTTGTAAGAAAATTGTCGCGAACGAGCGTACATAAAGATCATATCTAAAGTTGGAGTGCCGGCAGGGCTCGAAATAGTTCCGACAGTGTTATACACGACTATTTTTTATAGATGATGCTACAGTGCCTGTATCTTTAGCCGGTGCATTAATGTCCTATTCTGCCTATGCATCGAAGGCGGTCCCCAAAGTGGCAACAAATAATGTCAGCCGGAGCATCACGCTGTCGGACGTCGAAGTCCAGGTGGTTGCGCATGGAAGTCCCGGGAAAAGGTGTGAGAGAGAACGCGAGCTTCGCCGTTGTCATGGCGTCCCGACTCTCGGCTGCCGAAGCTTCCATGAAGTTTCGAGATACGGGGCAACCCGCGGCGGAGCAGGCGTCTGCCACGCGAATGGCGGACGCCCGTTCGGAGGACCGCTTTTGAGACACGTTTCAGGAATCCCAAGAGTGCGTGGATCTGATCTCGCAAATCCCCGTTCAGGGCGGACCCGGAGAAGACCGAGTACATCGGAGCCCTCTGCGGGCTGGGCTTCGAAGACCACTCGGGCCTTGCGCTTTACGCAGATCACGACATGGAGCTCACCTTTGACACCACCTTCACCCAGGACGATCTCTTCCTGGTACGTGTGCCGTCCCCCAGGGGGCGCCGCCTTACTGGGGCCCCCGTGCAAAGAGCCTAGGTGTAAGAGAGCGAGCAACTCAAATCGTGGGGAGCGTTCGCGATTTAATGGTGGACGCCTTCTTCGCAGATCGATTTCGAGTGTTTGTGTGCATTGCGTTGTTGCAGAGTGAGGAGGAAAGCGGACAGAGAGGCAGAGACGCTGGCAGACGATCGGCTCCTTTGGGCTGCTCCTCTGAGCTTGTGTTGCAAATGTAACTTATGAACCGAGCGACCCCGGTGAAGCAATTGGAAATACTCTGTAATTTAGGCACGCTACTCTTGTGTGAATTGTCTCTTCAGGGAAAAAGCGGCAGAATTTGTATGTCGAGATTAACAATTTTTTTCCTTTTAAAACATAGGATGCTTTATGAAAGATGTTATAAAGCATCAACAGGAGTTTGACGCTTAATGACGGAAGTTCAAATTTTGCATAAGTAAAGTGTCAGGTAAGAGTTGTTTCCTGTCTCAGTTATTGATTGGCCCTAGAAGCATTCTTGATTGTAGTGTAGTAAAGTAATTACTTGAGCTAGTTGGTAATTCTACATGGTAAAACAGAACACGGAGGGAAAGAAAGGACAGGAAGAACGAAAGAGCGCCGACTCCCAAGTGATTTATTTTTAAAGGGGATAAAAAAGAAGCTTCGGCAATTAACCCGACATGATGATCTCTACTTACAAAGTCCGGTATATGCATTGGGTCATCTGTGGCCCCCATTCTCGGCGACATTTTCTTGTCAAAGGTAGATCAAAGTATTCCCGACTCCCTTAGCTCCCTGCCAGTACAAAAAGTGTTTTGTAATGTTGATGACATTTTATTTTGTACAAGAAAGGTGCGCAGAGTAATGTTGTAAAGCAAATTTTGGAAACCTTTGATAGGTGTGGTTCAGTTCGAAAGTTTACGTTCGAGCAAGCCAAGGATGGGACCCTGCAATTTTTTTATCTCTCGTTATGAGCCAAAGCCAATCACCTATGCTGGATCTTTTCTCCCCGGTCAAAGACAGGCATACTGCTTTACACATCCTTCCATTCTAAGCTTGTCAAAGGGGGCATAGCCATCTCCATTCTAGGATCGGCCCTGGCAAAGTCCTGTTACATTGCTGATTAGAAAAGTTGCAAATTTCAGCTTGATTGCCTTGAGGCATCTGGTTTTCCTCGTGCAGGTGTCATATGGGTAATTAGGTTCTTGTTGCAAAAGATTAAAGGGGATAGCCGCACCAGACAAAACATACAAAAAAAGTGCCTGATGGTAGTCCTGTACCTGCGTAAACTTTCCCACAATTTGGAACAAGTACTGTCGAGACTGGTTATAACAAAGTCAGTGGGAACCTGAAATCAGTTCGCTACATCCGCTTCTTCGTTATATCTAAACTCTATAAAAGTAACATGCAAAAAAAAAAAAAAACATATTGTGCCTGCAGAAAGCGGTCGAGGCTTCCCTGTATGCACTCTCTGCTGGATTGGAGCCGCCTCTCCCCAACTGCGAGAAGCTCTGATCGAAAGAAGATCCTGTGAGCTACGTACGGACCGTGTCGACAGCTGTGATGGCCGCCACAGAAGACGCCGGCGGTGAATGGCATTCTTTTATTAATGCGAAAGCATTAACTGTCCCATGGAGCGAACCGGCGTCATCAGCTTTTGAAGTCGCGCGCCAAATGCACCTAAATTTCTCTCTCCCAATGGAGTGAAGCCTGCAGTCTGTGGCAGCGATTTGATGAATAGGCTCCCATTGGCTGGCGCACGTCATAGTTCCAAGGAACGCCACCCCATAGCACTGTGGGCTGCGCGCCGGCAGCGCACCGATAAAAGGTACACAGTGGCGCACGCTCGGTCGCATCTCCTCTCGACGCTGACGAACATGGCGGCGCTTCAAGCATCTACATCGGCAGCGGCCGCAACCTCGGCAGTACCCAAACCTTCCCGTCCACGCAAGTACACCGCAGAGGATCTAAGGGAGCGGAATAACGCAGCACAACAAGCGAGGAGGCAGGCAGCGAAATCCACCATCGTTGTCAAGTTTGCGAATGCATGGTGGGTGGAACGAGCAGTGGCACAACGCGTTAGGAGGCAGAACAAAGCCTTTGGAAAGCGTGAGGCACAAGCGGATCGCCATTCAAAGCATCTCAGGCGGCAAGAGAACAAGGCCCTTCGACAACGCGAGGCGGAAGCAATACGTCGCAGGCGGCATGCTTTCGCATTCACAACTCATGAGAAGTGCTTGGGTGTCCTCAGACTTTTTTATGTGCTCTTTGTGGAGGATGGCGGCACGCTTTTGTTTCAGGGAGATTGCTTTCGACTTCCCCGTCGAGGTGCTAGTGGAGTCGGGACTCGGCATCGTTGAGCGGCGATGATTTGCTAAATCGGTACTTAGCGAAGCTAGACATTTGCGCCAGAGAGCGACCACACCAACTAGCTGCACCAACACGGAAGACGAAGCTAACAAAGAAGCGCGCATGGCACGAAGTTTGCGCTCTCAAGTTCATGTTTCGGGGAAGTTCATGGAACATCCTGACCGTATGTTTAATCAAACAAACACCTTGGTTATGAACAACAAGCGGCAGCTTTACCGAGTAAGCAAATAATTAAGTGAAGTTTGCCAGTAATTTCATCCGGGCATCAGTTCTCGAACTGCTCCAGGCATCTCAAGAGCACTCTCACCACCGCTGCACTCCATTTTGTTTCGAAGCAGCTCTAGGATGTTTCACATCTCCGCAGTCGTCGGCATTTCCCGAGGTGCCTCTCCAACGTTGCTTCGTGTTTACCCTTGCTGCACGCAAGGTCTACGATCGCAGCAGCCGTAGCAGGAGCGACAACGGAAACGTCCGCATCGACAAGCGTGAACAAATCAATTATCCTCGGTGGCTTCATCAACATGCTTTTACAGACTCCTGTAGAGACCGTTGCAGCTCTGGGAATCCTGCCAAGCATACTCACGAGAACATCCGACGTGCGCAAAGCAGTTGGCGATTTTTCATCTTCGCGTCGCAGATGCGCTTTCTCTTGCGTGAGAAACTTCTCGAACCCGTCCAGCAGCCTTGCTTGTTCTGCAAAATGGTGGACAGTGTCGAACAGCCGATGCCGGAATGTCGAGTTCTTTGGCGATTCCGGACTTGCACCGGCCACTTTTCTCAACCTTGCAGGAGTGACTTCTTAGCGAACCCCGACAGCGAGTGATTTTGTCGGGCCTGGATTCAACAAAGTGCATTTTTTGTTTTGTTTTTCTTCTTTCTTTCTAGGACTTCTTCCCTATCTTTTCTTGCTCACATTGATCATACCTAGCCTATATTACCTTTTCTTTTTCTTTTCTCCTTTGCTTTCTGTTACATCGCAGCCTAAGTAACGCCGGGTTAGAGACACAATCCAAAGAACACTTTATGAAAGGTACATAATGGCTTTTTACAGATGGCTTGAGCGAACACCGCGAGATCCCGCCCGAGTTTGTTGATGATGATTATATGGCCTCGCGGATATATACAGCACTTTCATGTGGGGTTAATTGCTGAAGCTCTTTTTTCTGCTCTTCCAAAATCACTCACAAACTTCCAAACGAACGCTCTTTAAGATTCCTGGATCTTCGACTTTTTATGTTACCTTACCATTCATGCTGGTCCTATGAGCTCAGGGGGAAAAAAATGCTATTACCATTCAACTCGGCGCATTCAAAACTCGTTAAAAGGAGCATAGTGCAGTCATGCCTCAAAAACTCACTTCCAAACTCCTGCTCGCACTCCATCCCAACGAGCGCGAGCTTCGACGGGCAAGTCTCTCTACTAAAACACTCAGGGTATCCAATCTCCTTAATAACATCAGTGGCCGGAAGGCTCATCAAAGAAATCAGGCAAGACGGCTGCGCCAGCCGCGCCGAGATGGCTGAGCACCCAGCGCGAGTTAGTGTTCGAGGCGAGCGCCACTGCGTGGCACTTGGCTACAACATGATGGCAGACCGTCTGCAATGGGAGAGCGAGCTACCTGACAGGCATCTTAGTACAGGAGGCGTTGACGTAGGTTATCCTCTAGCCTGCAGATAACCTGCGGATGTGCGTGGTTTTGCCCGGCCGAGGACAAACGTTCAGCGACTGTTTTTTCTGCAGGTGAATCGAGTGCGGATGATGATCAATCTCGTTCTCAAGGCCGACCCTGGCATGGCGGTGATCAGCTGGTCTGGTTCCGGATTGGCTAGAGTCCAAGCGAGAGCACGAGAATTTCTTTTTGAGTGAGCCTGTTTTGTTGTTTTTTTTTTGTTTTTTTGGCTTTTGGGGCTTGCCCTGTCAGCTCCATGCGGCTGCATTGCAGGACAAGGCTGTTAACACATCACTGCTCAAAGCAGGTGTAGCGAGAGCTCTCGCTGCACCTAATCCCGACCCCTGCCCATTTTGATCTGCATGGGCATCATGCCAATGTGCGTTTGTGTACCTATCTCATTAAAGACCCCAGGCTAGCAGCTGTACTGCACTGGCTGAATTTCTCATCTAGAGCGGGTAACAGTGTTGCCATATACTCTGGCAGACTAGCGTAAAATTCTGTTAAAACGTTTACCCAAAATGAAGATATAAATGGTGAAAAACATGGGGTGGGCTATCTTTGGGAATGCCACAGCAAAACTTTATCAAAAATTAATGATAAACACCGGGATACCCGTTACAAGCCACGTGATGCGGGAACTGAGATCGCGGACACGGCAAAATTTGCATTTCATGATGCGATAAACACGCGGGAATTCGCTACAAACTCCTATGTCACGAGAAAGGATACCGCAGGTTGTGGACGCAGTGGATTCGCATTTCAGGGTGTGAAGGACCAGCGGAAACCCGCCGAGAACTCTCAAATCACGGGAAGGGATACCGCAGATCACAGACGTGGCAAATTCAAGTTTCATGATGCAATAAACATGCGGGAAGCTGCTACAAAGTTGTCTGTCGGGGGAACCGATATGACGCTTGCAGATTGCAGACATAAAAAGCAAGAATCCACTACAAACTTGCATGTCACGGAAACAAATACTGCAGATTGCAGACGCAGCAGAATCACGGGAAGAACCCGCGTGTTAGGGGAACCGATATCGCACATGTTAGGGGAATCGATATCGCGCATGCAGATCGCAGACAAAAACGCGGGAGTCTGCTACAAACTCGCATGTCATATGAACGGCTACCACAGATTGTAGACGCAGCAGATTCGCATTTCACGATACAATATGCATGCCGGAACAACTCACGTGTTACGGGAGCCGATATTGCGCGCGCAGATCGCTAAGAAAGCGCAGAAATCCGCTATGAACTCGCTTGTCAGACGTACTGGTACCACAGATCAAGCTGGAGAAGCGATTCCCATCGGATGTCGCGCGACGTCCGACTGGAATCGGGGGGCGATGTTTTGGCATATTTATGTCACAGATATTTAGCCAGAAAAACGGGATGGGTGGTCCCTCGGGGGAGGGCATCCTTACGGAATTTTACGGTAAACTCCCGCTGTCTAAGCAACTAACAAGTCATTTTTGTTGTATTTTGTTTTGCAACTCTTTTCTTTTTGAACGCACAATGTGTTTCTAAGCCTAGAGTGTCACGAAATGTAACAAAAACATGACAGCAGGGCCACTTGTTTTTACAAACGACTGTCCCGCTAAAGTTGGGGATCGGGAGAACCGTTCTGCTTGTTAATTCCAACTGAAACCCCATGCACGTTTGTCTCGTGTCTGGGCCCTCTTTGTCCTCTTCTTTCTCCGAGATGTCCCTCATGCGGGGATCAAACCATTAACCTCTCGCTCGGTAGTCTGACGCCATTAAAAGACGCCCAGTAAGGTGGCCCGCGCAAATCTGACTGAAAAAAAACAAAAAAAAAACCTAATTAATTTTTTTTATTTCAGGCTGATAATGAAGAAGCTAGAACCTAGGGAGCCACGGGTGTTCCCCCGGAGGTACCAGTGGAACCTGATCAGGGATGACTGTCGCCTGCGCCCCACCGTGAGCGGCGAGGAGGACCTGCCGGCCACGGTGCTTCCGCTGCACGACGGCATCTGCCTGGAGCCGTCTTCCGACATGCTGCGCACCGTGCACGAGAGGCTGCAGGAGCTGCACATGCAGGCCAGCAGGTACGGGTCCTGCATTGTCGCCGTCATCATTGGTGCCAGTAGCCTCCTAGAAGACAAGGCCCGACGTCGTCGTTAGTTGATCCCCGTCGTCGTTAGTTGATCATCGTCGCATGCTAGCATTGTGAGACACTGCGAGACGTGCTGGTGGCGCTGCATGGGTCCACTAGTGAACACGTTTAAGGGGGGAAGCTAAACACTACTAGTGATGGACCAAATCTGCCGAACTTTTGAAGGAAAGTTCGGCAAAGATTCGGCGAAAATTCGGCAAACGTTTGCGCACGCGGTAGAATCCGACAGGGCCATGGATTGCACACAATGTTGAACTTCCAGCAGTTACGGCGAGGTACGGAGTAGGCAATATGGTAACCGTGCGTTTGTTAGCCTTTGTTAGTGTTGCTCTCTTCAACATCTTCCTTGAGAACGGAAGATCGACCAGGAATTGACGCAGTTCACTGCGCAAGTGAAAAATGATGTGGTACATTCTGAATATCGTGATTTTCATTTGATGTTTCCAGTGATGCAACGAGGTAGTTGCAACATTGACCGACAAGTACATTAAAGCACTCCTCACAATTATAGCAATCGTGTTTTCGGCTCACAAGTAGTTTGTTCCGAAACAAAATAATGATTGCTTTTTAATTTGCGTTATTTCGCTGTTTTCATCCATCCGCATAAAACTAAACAGAACTATCATGCTCGACGTTCCTAACTCTTCCCGTCTTCCTAAATGCCCGCGTGTGTCCTAAGATCAGAAACTGACATTTTATTAAAAGTTAAAAACGATATGTTGCGAATATGGGACACACACTTTCTTGCAAGGCTGACGTCAAGTGACTCAAATCGAAAAACCTGCATATTGACAGTAATATTGTTGTCTCTTGTGGTGAAGGCTCAGCTGCCATTGCATTCATTTTTGCGCATGAAACGGTGACTCTTAGAAAAATTAAGAATGCAGTGTTACCATGCTTATTTTTACAACACACAAAAATGACACCAATACAATTATATTGTAGAAGATCACTTAATTTAATTATAACTGTCAATATGCATTAAAAAAAAAATCCTAAAAACTTTTTGGCCGAAAAACTTAAATATTAATTTTGAAATCTGTCAACAATGCATTTTTGCCGATTCTTTGCCGAATCCCAAGATTCTGCACCGAATTTTCGATTCGGCAAAAGTTTGGCCTCTTACTAGTAAAGACCTTAGGCCACATTCATGAAATGATCTTACACCAAAAATGTGCTTACAACAAAACGTAGTAACAAATTCGTATTCACGAAACAAAATTATCGTAACTTTTGCGCAGGTTGTGATGAAATCCTACAACAGCTCCGGAGCTGTCTTACGCACTTTTTTACGATCAAATCAACATGGCTGACAGTGTCGCTCAGTTACTTGGTCACGACGACCAATCTCCGTGTTCGATCTCCTTGTTTTGTGTGATATAGAGATAAAAAAAATGTGTATGGATTACCTTTGCAACATAGTATGTATGTACATTTCATTATTATGCCATTTTTATTCCGACACGAGGGTATGTCAACACTGTCGAGCTTGAACAGTTTGTCGGAGCTACGCTATGCTGGTCTAACCTTTACCGAGTGTCACGTTAGCAACAAGTTGCAATCGTAAAAGATCAGTCCCGAAGCGCATACGAAGGCACGGTCCAACATCGTGAATCCAGCACTTCGACCAAATGCGCGCGACCGCTCCGAGTCTGTGAAGGCATTTACATGGCTCCTGCCGACGCTTTCGTAGTTCAAACTTGTCTTCTTTAACGTCAACTCGCTCCTGCATCTTTAAGGCCGCGAAAAATGCCGCGGCGATTTGTTTCCATCTATGCCGCTTTGCAAACGACCGGCATGGGCCGTCTTCTTTTAGCAACGATGACAGTTGTGTTGACTTTGTAGTGATTGAGTTCGTAGCAATAGATGGTTGACCCGGCCTCGGCATTCGGGCCTGTTTAAATCGTGTTAGCATAGACATTTCACTGCACGGAAACACACCCCAGACAAGCGTTGGTGGAAAGGTCGCCTGCGTTTGCTATTCAAAATCCACATGCTCCGAACTGCTCCGAACCTTGCCGAGCTCTCCGATTGGTTGTTCGTGTTGCCGAAGACGCCGTCGCCATAGTAACAGCCCGGTCTCGCGGGGATCGGGAGCTTGCGGTAAACCGGAAGTTCTAATTTTTCCGTACAAGAACGTCGCTTTGCTCCTCTCACTTAAAAATGCGTTTGTGAATATTGATTTCTCCTCTTCTTACGATGTTCTTAACTTGCAAACTTCTTAGCTAAGTTGTCGTAACCTAAGAAGCTCTTTGTGAATCTGGCCTCTTGTCTACTTCGGGGTATTGAGTTGGGAGAAGAACTTGGCAAATCGTAAGCACTTACATCGGTGGTCCTGAGGGAATGAATGAGAAAGATAGTGACAGAAAAGAGAAAAACGGCATTCGTCTTTTTCTGCAAAATTATGTTTTCCCGCTTCTTCGCGTATCATAAAACGTCACCGGAAATACGGGCCCATCGGGCCCACCAATCTGAAACAGCCGAAATGTGTGGGTATCGTGTGAACTCTATCTAACCAAAAAAACACAATTTTTTTTTTTTTTGTGTGTGTTTGGTGCGTAATGTAGATTTTGGTCCTAACCAAATTGCCCTTTGACAACCCACTCCCCTCGTGTAACGCACTTCATTTGAAGAGCCTTTGAGGAATCTTGAACTGAACTAAATTATGCTTGGTTGCGGCTCCTTCGCGCAATGTCGTTGAGGCTAGCTTAGTTTCCGCTGCTGCAGTCCTGTAATGCTGCGAGAGCACTCGACGTCGCTTCGGGTCCGGAATCTAGTTCAGGCATTAGTGTTTGAGTGCAATGCTGGTACCATCTATCGAGGAGCCCTGGAACTCTTCCAATATGCAGCATTTGCACTCTGTCACACTCGGATGCAAACGTAATGTGCAAACCAGCATTTACCAAACTGGTCTGTCAAAGTGTAGCTACGGCGCCCAGAATGTGTGTCTAACTCCAAAAATGTGATGTTTCGATTTTCGCCCGACGACATCACGAAAGCCTCACATTGTCACTGTCCGCTACCCCTGCGGTGGTTGTGGATCTGGCAGACGTCCGTTCTGCCGCTTGTCACTCTCCCGCTCTACGGTCCACGGACGCGTCGGCTGTCGGGAGCCGAAACGCCGCGACGACTTCGGCACTCGCGTCCGCTCTTACTTTCTGTTCCAACTTTTACGACCAACTGCCGGGTTCGCGACAGCCCGACAGTCCGGCTTCTGTGAGGTCGTTTGTTGCCGCTGGGGAGCCGCCTTGGGTGCGCGGTTGGAATAGGACGCTAATTGCGCCAATCGGAGACACGTACGAACGACTAACAAAAGAGGGCGCTTCTCTCCCAGCGACCGGACGTCGGAGAGGCAACTGGTCCGCTGCCCGGTTTGCGACGTCGCCTTCCTGAATCCCTTCGACATCCACCAGCACCTGCGGACCAAGACGCACAGGGACAAAGAGATGGAGATCCAGACACTCTACGAGGAGTCCTTGCAGCGGAGGAGGACCGGCCCGTGATCCGCTCTTGGGGGACAGTGTCTTCGTCATCCTGCTTTTCTTTAGGAGCCGACCAGTGCCACAGTTTGTTTTCCGCCCTGTTGGGCGTGTCCACGTCTTCGTTGTCAAGCGTTCACCTTGTTTGTCGGGGTGAAGGAACCACCGAAATGCTAGAAGAGGAGGAACCACCTTGCGGCACAGGCAGTGCCCCGTCGAGCGGAAATAAAGTGAGAGTTCTTTGGCGAGTTTAGCCCGTCTGGTCTGTTTTCCCGGCTGGTGACTCAAGCTGGAACCAGTTTGTGTCACTCCTTCCTGGGCTTTACTGCAGCGGTACAGTTCTTGGGCACGAGCGTAAGGCGATTTTGGCTGTAAGCCGTTGTTATTTTTACTCGTGGCAAAATGCACTGATGAAAATGATAAACATTGGGCATGTGCAAATAGTGCATGTCAATAATGCATACTCGGGTAGTTTGTTCTCCTGGTTAATTCGAACAAATGTGAAAATTTTTTGGTTGTCCCGCTATGTTTTTTGTGTCTTCATAAGCCGCTTACTTCAAACGGCGTTTTCGTGCAATTCATAATACTTTTTGTTCTCGCGGCCCCATTGAGTGCACTTCTTTCCGAGCACTGGTGCACTGCAGAGAAGCGACATCCGCGAAGCTTGCTTCTGCGGGTGTTGCTTTTCCGCACTGCACCGGTGCTTGGTGAGAAGCGCACTCAACGGGGCTCTAGCAGGCACAAGTGAACTATGAAAACAGGCACCATGCAAAAATTACCATGTAGCAACTTGTGCTGACACTGTGACGCGGCGGCATGGCATAGGTCCACGTCACAGCGTCTGCGAAAGTTGCTATGAGCGCGGCAGTGCCCATTTTCATCGCTCGCATGTTTCCTGCTTGATAGTCCACATTGGACAAGTTCTTAATTTGATGAACAAACTTAATTTTGTTTGGAACTGTCATGTGCTGTCCAAACAGTCCACGATAAACAACAGTTTTGAGGGATAAATAAACTTTTACATTTCACAATTGTTTCATGTGTGGCATACCTGCTTATGATTAGTAGGTCTGTGTAGAGAAAATCATCAAATATCTGCTTTGTATCTGTAGCTATCCATGCAACAAATAATTTGTTGCATGGATGGCTAATTCTCCCTCCCCTTGTTGGTGCACCACTGTTAGGATTACTATCACATCCCGTAACCCAAACATAGCTCGCCCCATATTTTTCATCAATCGAATATTTGCACAAACCTAATAAACATTGTTTTGAAGATGTGCATCGGGTATCGGGAGATGCGCTCAATATCTGACAGAAAGTTTAATGTCCTATTTCGGGGGTCTCAACCACGCGGCCTGCGACTCGCTGGGACGTGGCCCGCAGACAACCGGCTACGAGTCCCGGTTCCCATGTCTCGAGTGCTAAAAATGGCATGCGCCACAGTGATCTCATCTCGTCGATTCATTTTCGCTCAAAAAGTAGCTCTGCTTTTTCACATATTCACATAGTTTGTACTTACCTGTTTATTTGCTTTTTGTTTGCTTTATTCTTTGCTTCCCAGCTTTTTGTAATGTAAAACAATTCCGCTACTATAGCTGCAAGAGCGAGCTATTCGTTGAAGGATGCCTTTCGGCAGCGCGAATTTTCGATCAGCAGGAGCAACTGCCAAAGGTAAAGAAAGCTACGAGCTCGGGATTCTCGCTTTCAAAAAAATGTCACAAGTATTTGTTTAGAGTGTTGTAATCAAAATCGTCAGGAAAGCAAGAACTGCCAAATTAACTGATTCTGTTTTGGAGACATGTTGAGCTTGGTTAATTGCTGAGTGAACTGAGCAATGGGAACGACTGTGTACTTGCTCTCTTGTTTTATTAAAAATGCCAGCACGTTGGCGGGGAGGTGTATTTTCAGTTCTTATCACATAGGGTCAGAGCCAAAAGTTGTATAAATCAATGTTGCTGGAAGAACTGAGTTTACAAAAAGCATAAAGCAAGAGTTTTCCTTTATTTAAAACCTACACCCTCCCCCCCCCCCCCCCCCCCCCCCCCCCCCCCCCAAACCGACCCATACTCAAATGAGTTTGAGACCACTGTCCTAATCCAAGCTTTCTCCTTCCCTCTTTCTCTGGAAGGGAAGAATGGCAGGCATAGCTCATAACTCACGAGTTCCTCTGGTCTAGTCACGCTAAATATTGTCAATTTGTAAAATACAGAAAAATAATGAATGAATTACAAAGTATGACCAAAACAGTTACACAAATTTACGCCTTCTCATATATTTGAAAACTGCGCGAAAGCACTTTGAAGAAGGGTTTGTCGCGAATGGAAATTCGATTTCGATGCCTTAATTGAGTTACCATGTGAAGGATAATCATTGAACGGCACTGGGTCTAGGTAGACTACACAACATACGCGCCCATACCGGAGGGCAATTTTGAATAGCGCGCCAATATCAGCGACACCGCTAGAGAGCCTCAAGTGTACCAGAGCCTATGAAGTGTACGCCATTAAATTACAAAATTTTGCTGTGGGTCCATGGCCCGTTGGGCTACGGGTGGTTTTTCACTGTAGATGCTTAAATATTTTAAGCAAAATAATAAAAAGGGAGGTATTTTCTTTGTATTTTTTTATTTTATGTCCTATCCTCAGTTGAACCAAGATCGTGATATCGTGACCTTCATTTTAATCTTGTAGTCATCATGAAAATATGGTGCTTTCCGGCTATTTTATGCATATGGCCATTCCACTAATAAATATGCCTTGTCAAGCGAAAACCTAAAATTCCCTTTTGTGGCTTCTGACGTCACGCACGAATCCGACGACGGCGACACTAGACGGCAAAAGCGCGCAACCCAGGTATTTTTGACGAGTGCTAACACTTTTTTGTGCGGAGCTCCCCCCGAAATCAGTCTATCTTTGGTAATTGGCCGCAAAGCGCAGCGAATTTCGGCTACCACATCCCCGAGTGTTCGTCTCCGAGAGCAAGCGGCACCGCGACATGGCCCTGAAAAGAATAAAAAAGGAACTGGAGGATCTGAAGCGAGACCCGCCAGCGCAGTGCTCGGCCGGTCCCGTGAACGACGACCTGTTTCACTGGCAAGCCACGATCATGGGACCGCCGGACAGCCCCTACCAGGGCGGCGTCTTCTTTCTGACGATCCACTTCCCGACGGACTACCCGTTCAAGCCACCCAAGGTGGCCTTCACGACGCGCATCTACCACCCGAACATCAACAGCAACGGCAGCATCTGCCTGGACATCCTGCGCTCGCAGTGGTCGCCGGCCCTAACCATCTCCAAGGTGCTGCTGTCCATCTGCTCGCTACTCTGCGACCCAAACCCGGACGACCCGCTCGTGCCGGAGATCGCGCGCTTCTACAAGACGGACCGCGACAAGTACAACGAACTCGCCCGCGAGTGGACACGCAAATACGCCATGTGACCCGCCGGCGGACGACGCTCACAGACTTGTACAAAGAGAGGCGAGGATGGTGGGAGTCCGTTAGGCCTAGCTCTTGGCGACGGTGTCGGCGCCCTCGCCCCCGTCGTCTGCCGCGGGCCGTGAGCCCGCCTCGGCCGATGAGCTCAGTAGGACTTTCCTCTTTTGTTTTTTCGTCCCCCGGCACCGCGACCGAAGACGCCTTTGTGACTCGCACGGTACCTCCCTTTTAATCGCGGAAAATTGATACCCCCCCTCCCCAAATGCTTTTCCGCTGTACTACGTCTTGGGTCAAAGTGCTTTGCTGGCTTCGTGTTTGGTTCGTCACTGCCGCCTTTTCCCAGTTCCCGGTCGTTCGTTTTCTTCTTCGAATTAGTGGGCAAAGGACAAAAACAAAGGAGGGCCGAAGAAAGAAAGAATCCCCCCCGAAAAAAAAAAACTATTTTCTGGGTGCACGATCACGATATCTGTGAGGTTGGGTACAGACAGGGCGATTTGATGTAAAGATGCCCAAGAAAAGCGGTTTTCTTTTTTTTTATGTGCAGGGGAGGTTTATTTGCCCTTACAGACAGGGCGATTTAATGTAAAGATGCCCAAGAAAGACATTCTTTTTTTATGCGCAAGGGAAATTTAAATGCTCCCATGGGTAGACTTTTTTTTTTTTTTTTCTTCTTATTTGGTGTTTCTGTGAACGGTGTTGTCAAGAAGACCTACCCATGCAAAGCCTGCGTTTGACGTAAAACTGGGCTCTTGAATCGGAAGCCAGTCTGGGCGGAAAAGCGTAAATGAACGAAATGTCTAAAACAAGCAAAAGAAGAACACATTTTTCTTCACTTCATCTACGTTTCCTTTCCCATCCCGCCTCTAGAAACATTTCGAGCTCTGTCATTTTAGTTGTGTACCGATCCCAGTGTTTTCTCTCGTTTATTTCCACAGCAGCACAGTGTGACTTGCTCGAATACGCTTGTCTTTCTCCCGCCCCCTCCCCTGTCTTCCCCTTTTCCCCGAAGAATTCAGAGGGCATGCTTCCCTACTCTTAATCCGACCGCCGATTTTTGAAATGCTCGATTAAAGTATTTTGTGTGTGAGGTGCACCACTGCGTGGGCTCTGTGCTGTCATCCGTGGTAGCACTGCAAAAGGCCGCCTTTCTTTTTCTTCGCTGGTCACAAGTGCTGCAGGCAGAACCTGTGCAACCGTCGTTGCACACTTCAACATGGGCAGTCGCCATTTCTTGGGCATGAAGCGTGCAATTGGATCCGAGTCCTCTCCAAACGCTCGTTTCCGATAAGAGGCAAGCAGAGTTCACGCCGACGCAACTCTCGCGTCCAATCAGTGCCCAGATTGTGTGGCCTTACGGTGGCAGACCGATATTTGGTGCAGGAGCAACTGGATGTCATGCACCTTTCAGAGGGGTCTATTTGTGTTGCATTACAATGAGAGCAAGTTGCCCTGGGGCTTTCTATGCCCGATGTTTGCTGGCATAACACTTTTGACGTGCGTCTACTGCATTTCACTAAGTGTGAGCGTGGCAGAAGGTACAAAAGCGAGCTCCTGTTTTCCAGTGTCCCTGCAAAGCATGTGCGCTCGTGCGGTGCAAGCATCGTGTTTGGAGCTTTGGCTTCGCTTGCTTATATGGTGGAGCTGTCGAGAACTTTCCTTTTATGAGAAAAATCCTCCACTTTTGGTTTTATTCGATAATGTCGTTGGCAGCTCTGCAACATACTGCGAGAACGCTGCCCATAGGTCAAGTCTTATTGTGTAGAATCATAGCGCACCGAAGGTTTAGTACTTGCTTTTTCTGTGCGATTTGAAGTACTGTGGTGCCTCCATGGCAATATCTCGGACACACTTGGCAATCTCACACTGAGCTGTTTTTTTTTTTGTGGAGGGGGTTGTTTCAATGCGATCATGAATGTAGAATATTTCTTTTTTATTTGTTGCCTCTTGCATTGCTTAGAAGAACCGGCAGATGGTCGAAGTAAGCTGCCTCCAAATGTAGGAAGTATATCTGAACTGAAGCGGAACGGATGGTAGGAGTGAGTTTTTGCAGCACACACAAAAACTTTCTGTGGAGCCTCTAGCAGAAAGCAAATTGGACATTGCAAATGTTTATATACACAGAAAAATCGATGCACCTTTGACATTTAGAGATGGGTTCAAGACTGTACTCGGCATAAACTATTTTCTGGAATGCTGTCGAGGTTTCCACAGTGTCCCTCACTGCTACGAGGGCATAAGGTCAGAGGCAAAGGAGGTGCCAAACAAAGCCACACGTTTGTGCAAGCAGTTTTGACAGTGCTGGAGCACTTCAAAAGCTACGCTAACCTTAACAATAGGGAGTTTTTGAATATAGTTCTCATCGGCCCGTAATGCTCTCCGCAACCCGCTACGATACCCGGAACTGTACAGTCTGGCCATCCGCGCGCAGGCGCAGTAGCGGCTTCTTTGTAGCCAGTGGGGGATACGCTGTCTACAAAAACTCCCTAGTGTAAACAGTCGATACCGACCATAAGGGGTCAATTTGGCTAGTGCAGTATGTCCACTAACTTGAGCTCTTTATTGTGCATAATGTAGTAGTGATAATGGGTTAATATATTGCCCTCTTGTATTGGAAGTGCTAGAGATTGAGACCCTAGGTTCTTCAGTACCAGCTGTTGCTCCGAGCTACGAAGCACTAATGCACTTGGCCACCGATCTCCCAAAATCTTTTCCAGGCGCAAGTCTGGCAGTGAAACTCGATGACACCAATCACTGTAATCTTCTGCTGCAGATTCCTTGAAGGCTTGGCATAGCCCTTTTTTTTAATGCGAAAGCATTAACTGTCCCATCGAGCAAGCTGACGTCATCAGTTTGAAGCACAAAAACGGCACCTAATTTCCCCGATCCCAAAGGAGCGAAGTTCCATTGGCTGGCGCACACCGACGAGGCTCCCATTGGCTGCTGCGCTTGTCAGTTTCCACAACCGCTCACCCCATGGTGCTGCATGGCCATCGGTGCTAAAGCTCCTTCATGTTCCAAAAGTAGTGCAAAGTGTTTCGATGCACGGCAGCCGTTGGGAAGATCATGGTGGCACAGCGCAGCACTGAGCTAGATTGCAGACGCCATAATTTTCCAAAAGTAGCGTGTGGCAAGTGTTTCGAGCATTTCCACAACAACGAATGGCGCTACTTTTCCCAGGCTAGAGGGGCTTTAATCAGCGCACCGTTAACACGGAGCGTCCAAGGTCAGCGTGCCCAGGGGAGAATGTGCACCGACGGACGACGAAAAGTAAACAGCGGACGAGCGGCTTGCATGTTTTTGCATTCACAACTCGTAAGGAGTGCTTAGGTGTACCGCCAGCTTTTTGTTTTTCATTCGGGCACTTTACAGTGGTGTGCTTCATAAGCACTGTGGTCTTGCACTAATGGTTGTGCCATGCTTGATCGTGATGGAAGGGGAAGAGCTGGAAGTGGAGCAAGAAATCTTTCTGGCAGCCCACTTGAAGCAGAACTTGGCACCTAGCATGGCTGCGTTGTACGAGGCCCCGAGAGGTTCGACTGGCTTTCTGGCTTCAAGACGAGCTCCAGCGTTGGATCTCGCAGGTTAATTGACCAATGACTAATCAGTAGCTGCGTTTGATTTACTTACACCTCCTGCACCAGTGCAGAAAAGTGCGGGGCAGTGTACTTCCGGTACGTGTATTTAGATGCGACCGGAAGCACACCGCCCTACACTTTTCTGCACTGGTGCAGGAGGTGTAAGTAAGTCTAACGCAGCTAGTATCTCGACTGCTATAAAAATTAATGTTGTACCTTGTTGCATTGCTTTATAGGTCGAGAAAGAAAGCTACCTACCTAGCAATTGTAGATTTCGTGCAAACAAAAAGGTACTGAAAGCAGATTTCTCCTAACATTTGCGACACGAAAGCGTAGGAACAATCTAAAATTGCACGTAATTGGAATAGTCGAGTGAAGATATTGGTAAATAGAAATCTATCCTGTATCAAAACTAGCGCAGCTATGCACATTAGAACCTTATTAATGCAGTCGAACGATTGATCTGCGAACACATTAAGGGAAATTTCATGAAGCTCGAAACCGCCAGCACTATCATTCTCAGTGGAGACACAAAAATCAGTAAGGTGGGATGCATCTAAGTTCACCAAAATGAGCCAAGAACACATTTATTTTTATACAAAATCAGAGCTCGATTGCCCACAAGCAATTAAAGCAAGATTCGGTTTCAATGGACCAGCACTCTACAAGGCCAGGCACCAAAACATCTTGGAAAACAACTGTCTCACTTCATTCAATCATTCTCACGGTTGACCTTTTGGTTTCCAAGAACATAGTAGCAATAAATTTGTTATACAACTCGCCGATACCACACATCCAGTACGGAGAGATAAACATACCACAAGGAGCACTCACAGTATTATCAAGTAGGCAATGGTTGTACAAAACCTACTGTAATCTATGAAGATAAATAAATAAAGGTGCTCTCCAGAGCAGACTGTGAAAGAAGTGCCACAGATTGCATTAAGAGGCCAACAAAATAAGAAGTCAAATGCAACGACAGAAAAACAGGTCACGGGTTAGTCAGCGGCATACACACATCTATTGCGACACTTTGAAGGAAGTGCCACAGACTAGATTAGGAGGCCAACAAAAAAAAGAAGCCAAATGCAATGACACAAAGACAGGTCAGTCTGTGGCATAGACACTTCTATTGCAGAAGGGTTGCAACATTTTCTTTGCTTTCTGCTGGCAACCTCTTGTGCTTTACTACATGCAACTGAGCAATCATTCATCAACAATAAATAAATTAAGGTTCATACTCAGTGGTCAACATCGTCTAGCAAAAAAAAGGAACATCACTAATTAACAACTTTATGTGGTGATGTAACACAGTTCCAACATCTGTTTGACACTGGGAAACAGAATGTGTAATTAATTAAGGACCGATATCTAGTTGTAATTTCTTGCACGACTGGCTGAATCAAATAAAGCCATTTAAATTTTATACTACTGATACTGATGCTAAGAGGCTCACAAGCCAGAGCTGGATTTCACAGCTAAGTTTGAGCAATGGATCATTCTAGTTTTTTAATTACTGGTTTGCAAACCAAAGACTGGTTAAAGTCACGCCTGCACTTTCTTTGCCATTCTTATTGGCCAAGAACAGTAGATGAGAGACAGAAACCGCCCATCAAACGTTGCTGCACGCCAATGCTGCATCTACTAATCGATTATACAAAACGAGGTCGAACAAGTTATGAGTGACAAACGCAAGTCAGCCATCCAGAACAATGTTGCAACAGGAACCCATCGAATCTTGCAGACGATGCCAATCTCAAGTGCATTGCCCGCGATGCGGGTGAATGGAGCAGCAAGGTCTCGTATCAATACAACGTCGAGCTCATCATGTTCTGCAGCGTCCCCGGAATGAGCTGCAGGAGTTCCGTCATCATCTCCAGCTCCTCCTTGACCAGCAGCGCGTGTTCAGGTGCCTTCTTGCAGTAGTTCTGCACAAACTCGTAGTTCTCTTTGGTCATCTCAAAGTTGGCAAACTGTTCCCTGGGATCCTGAGCTACCCTCTTGGAGTGCAGTCTGCCCACGCAGATATGTGCCACCAGCGCTGGTCGCGCGAGATCGTCTGCAAACTTGCCCGGATACTCGCCGTTGAAATCTTTCAGCGTGTCCAGGAAAGAAGTGTAGTGACGTATGGCCTTGTCGATGAGCGAGTTGATCTTCTTGACCGCATGAGAGTTGGGCCTGACAGCCGCCGGAAGACTCGAGAACTTGACGTCCATCATCTCGCTGTACGTCTCTCCGAGCTCGAACATGACCTGACGGCAGAGATGGAGGTAGAACTTGGGGTTCACTTCTTTTAAGATCTCTTCGAGCATGTCGATGCGCCGCTTGTGCATCTTGCAGCGCCGGTCGGCTGCCGGCTCGAAGAATGCCAGCTCCTTGTACAATTTGCTCATCTCCTGAACTATCTCGATGTAGTCCGTGGCGTGGTTCTTCAGCGTGTAATACTCCTTAGCCTCGGTCAACCATCGCTGACAAGTCAGGAAGACTGGCTTAGCGCCCTCGAAGTCTGTCACCAGCTTGTCCGTGACCATGGCTTCTAGGGCGGCTACCTCGGGCGACTTGATGAGCAGGTGGGGCTGTTTGCTGGGCGACTGTTCCTCGTCCTTCTGGCCAGTGGCTTCTTCCCTCGAGGCGACCAAGAGCAGAAGACCATACTTAGCCCAGCACCGTGCCACATCAGCGGACCTGTGCTTCAGCGTCTCTTCTTTCTCCTCCTTGTGCTCGGGGGACGACTGATCGTGGTCCAACTCAGTCGCGTACTGTGCGAGCACGTAGCTCGCGCATGCCAAGTGGTGTCTGCCCGCCCCGAAGTCGCCCCTGACGATGAAGAATTGCGATAAGGTAGCCGCGTTGAGGGCCCAGTCAATGCTGTCCATGCCACCGATCGCCAGTTGCTTCTTCAGCGTGCTGTGGCAGTACATGGCCGCCTTCTCATTTTCTCCGAGCGACTCGTACACCTGAGCAAGGTAGTAGAGCGTGTGCGTGTGTGCGCGCTCGAGATCCTTGATGCCGGTCTCGCAGCGTGCCTGCCCCTCTGTCAGGAAGTAGTCGCTAAAGCCTCGCACCCTCGTCAAGTCTTCCGCGCTCACCTTGGCGTAGATGCTCTCGGCTTGCTTGAGGTGCTCGCACGCTCGGTTCGGGTCGGACCGGCCCGTGGCTATGACCCCGAGTTGGTTGAGAGCGCTGATCGCGAGCGAGCAGCAGGATGGATCTTCGTACCCATCCTCGCCGATGATCCTGAGGCACTCTTCGAAGCACTCGAGCCCCAAGGAAGTCTCCTCCGTTTCCGTGGCGACGACTCCCAGGTCGTACTTGATCAGCGCTCGTACGTGCTCCTTGCCAGGGCTGTCCGTTTCGGTCTGGCTGATGAGTTCCAGCAGCTCTTTGAGTATTTTCTTAGCTTCATACTTGGATCGGTACGGCTCTGTCGGCGGGTCCAACAGACTTTCGATGTCAATTAGTTTCCGGGCACGCTTGTATTCGTTGCGAATCTCTTCTAACTTCGAATCCCACGCTGCCGTGACCGCCATTTTGAAATGATGCTTTTGTGGAGCCCCCAGTCCCTACGCTTGGTCCCTACCGTCCCTACGCACCTTCCCTACGTTTTGCATGGAGCCCCTAACACTAGAGCACGACCCACTAGAGACACTAGAGATCAGTGGTCCCTACCTCTGGCACACGTGGCCTAAACCAAGGCCGTACGGGCAGTGCGGGCCCTGCACTGCCTGATTTTAACTTCGAAGGCGTTAAAAAGTATCATAAGTTACATTGTAGACGTGCGTGAACCTGTCCTCTGTAGTCTCTAATTCCCTAGGACGACTTGGGTTTCAGTAACGTCATACATACGTCACTCAGTGGCGGCCTTTTTCGCCTTCGCGCTTTCCATCGTTGGAGCTTTCACTGTTTTTTTTTTTTTTTTTTTTTTTTTTTTCGTTGGGCTGTAGCAATTGTCGTCATGGCGACGGGTTTGTACAGCGTAAACATCTCGCAATTTCGCACGTTTCGCAGTACGCTGGTACGCTCCGCGTTGTAGACCTTGTAAACTGCCGTGCTGTCGTCGATCGACTCGACGATGCCAACGTGAGAAAGCGGACTTTTGAACCCTTCATGTTTAACGAGCGCATTGGTAACCTTCTAACCCCCACGATAGCTCTTCATAAAACCTTATGAAAGTGAAAGTGAGCTAATTTCAAAATTAAATAGCTCATTCCCTTTTTTTTTTTGTATTTTTGTTTTTAGGGATAACATTTGGGACGCTGCAATCGAGCTCCAGAGGAAAGCAAGGCAAGAGGGTAACTTGATCGCTTGACAAATATTTTGCTAGTAATATAATACTGCTTAGAAATTTTCTTTGAACTCTCCACACGTTAGTTTGCTTGATTTAAAGCTATTATTTCATTTCTAGAATCATCAAGAAGAAACGATTCCACGCTGCTGTTTGTAGGAAGCAAACAGAGCGTAAGTTTGGATGTAATATCTTTCTGTGCGTGTTTTTATAAATGACGCTCTTTATTGACTACTAACTTTTTTTTCTAGGGAAAAACAAGCCTCATGTATCGGCTGGTCGACAAGGCTGAAGCACCCAAACCGTCCCTAGCTTTGGAGTACATTTTTGCGCGGAAATCCAGAGGAACCAGCACCGTGTAATACCAAGTTCTACCGGTTAATTGTGTCAGTGCGATTTAATGACAACGGTATTTCATGACTATCGCTGTCATGAAATGATATACCTGGCATAGGAAAATTGACTATATCAAAAATAGTTACAATCAGATCTTGCCTACAGGTTGTAATACACGAGGAGTATACTAATTGAACATTTTTGCTTGAGAAGAAGGAGAAAAAAAGGGGGGGGGGGGGGGGGGGGGGGCAACATTAATGGTACAAGGCAGTTGATACTTGACCTCCAAATAAGGCCAATTGTTCCCAGTTTACAATATTTCTTACAAAAATCTTGTGTGTTTGATTTCATGTCAAACTATTATAAATTGTAAATACAATATTTTTTTTTCTTCTTCCATTAGGTAAAAGAAGTGAGCCATATCTGGGAGCTCGCTGGTGGCCTGGCTTCGGCACATCTGCTCGAGGTGCCTGTCAACAAGAAGTCCCTCCCGTAAGGAATTCCGCGTGTCTCGTGGTTGCTCATGCAACTTGCTGGTGCAGAAAGTGTGCACTTGGTGTGAAGTGCTTTCGACATGCGTTTCAATGCAGGCGTTGCCCACACCTTTAACTTGTTGGCATGCGCTGACGTGCTAGTGCATACTTCTAAGTGTGTCTAAAATGCTTCTGACACGTGCGCCGTGCAACGGTGGTAGTCAGTTTGTTGAATGACGTTTTATCGACGGATTGTTCTTTGGCATGCAACATTTCATTGACAGTTAGTTTCCTCGAAAGGCTTGCCACACAAGTTTCATTAACACATGGTGCTGGGAGCTGTCCTCCTCCATGCCGGTCCCTGCCAATATTCGAGCTGCGCTTGCGTTTAAATAATATTTCGAATTGCATTTTGTCTGTGCGGAACCTAACATCTCAGTTTGACCACGTGCTCTAGCTCCCAGTTCACCTTGCTTGAGCTGTCAGTGTGGTTTCGTGCACGCCATTCTTGGACAGCGTTTTAAGGTATACAATATGCACTTTTCTGGTTAGTTCCAACCAAAGTTGCTTTGAAGGAGTACCAATTATGGCCAGAAGCAACATTTAGGGGCTAATTCTAACATTGTACCCAAAGTGACGATGGCTGTTCTCCGGTCCCGAAATCCCTCAGACAATAAGTGAGTTAATAAACACTTTCGCCAAGAGCCAAGTGTTGTCGAGTCTTGTTCATCCGGACATAGAGTATGAGGGAATCGGAAAAGTACCACACAACTTTCGGACGTTTCATCGGACACATTGCTGCTGTTTTCGCAACAAAGTTTTTGTGTCTCGATTTTTTTATGGTGGAGAAAGAGGAGAGTTGGAGGCCTACATAAACACGCCTCAGTGAATCACGCGCAAGCCTATTCCTGCTTATAAATTTATTTTATGTTGCAGCAGCATGTGCTTACGAAATGAATTTTCATGAAATACCACAGCGCCAATGAAGCATACATGTCCATAAAAAGTTTTCCACGAAATGCATTTTCATTGAGCGGGTTTCGACGAAAAAATATGATCCCGCTTCGCATTTGTACGCTAGCAAAATTGCTCCTGCAAAAAGATGCATCTTTCAGGGAAAGGTTGATGTCATATTGATCTTTCTGCTAAAGGGCATATTTAGGAAAATTAATAATATTTGGTACAAATATATAGATCTTTATTACTTTTTAGAGGTATGGCTACAATTCAAAACTTTCTGGGCATCGTCAAAAATCATTAAATGAGCGCACTTCACAAAAATATAAAGCACACCCAGCATATTAAGGCATTTCCAAACAAACACTCAATTTGGACATGTTTGTGTTCGCGTCCCTTTCGGTGCGTCCCACAGATGCCAGCTGCCGTGTCGCACTTGCACCTTCCACAATGTGCTACCCACGCCACGAGCTCAAGCTCAGGCAACCGCAGTAACACTAAGACCTTGCAGTGCCACATGTTCTAGTTTTTCCAGCGAAAAAATAGAGAAGTGACTGCAATTTAAGTTCTAAATAAGGCGTGTTCACACACTTGCATTTGCTTACGACTGAGTTCTTATGATCACTTACACCGAGAAAATGTGCTCGCACCATCTATGAGGTGGCCCTGGAGCTGCATTTTACTAGAGCAAAAGTTTCGCAGTACTTGCGAGATCAAATGTATGCTACTATCTATGAGAAATGGTCGCTTATATGACATTGTCAAAAGTTTATCAAGTTAATAAAGAAAGAATGATGCACAAAAAAATAGGAAATATATGGGAATCACAAGGGTTCCAAGGCTATCCAATAGATGGCGCCAGTGTGTCTTTTCATGGTAAGAGATCACAAGAGGTTTTAACACAGTCGGACGTAAACAGTCCGACTCTGTTTAGGTCAACTCAGTACATCCTTGATCCAACCGTAAACATTTCAGGGCATTATCTGTTGTCCTGGCGGTCGACCTTTCAGCACCCGAGGTGCTGTGTACCTCGACTGAATCCCTCCTCAAGGTTGTGCGTTCCCGGGTGGCAGCTGTCATTGAGGATGCGCAGAGGCTGGACAGGGCTTACGGAGAGGCGGTCCAAGAAGCCGCTGCTGCCAGGATTCCGGAGGGACATCCGGTATGCACTCTGTATACTTTCTCGTTAAAGCATTCTTTCAGGGGACAATGGAATCGAAAGATCACGTGTGACAGTAAAGCGGCTTGAACCCCAATCTGAATTAGACATTGTGGTCACTGTACGTGCAGTGACCACAATATCTAAATCACATTGTACATACATTGATCATATGCATATGTTTGTTTATTTAATGAGTGTATGCACATGTGATGAGCTGGATATTAAACTTAATTAACCTAGCCGAATCCAATAAAATCCTACTGGGACAAGTTTTATAATCAAGCTCTACTTTGCCTGATTTCCCTCAGGTTATATTTTAATTAACTCTATTGAGGATGGAATCTTGAAAAAGTAAAATAACTGGGTTGCTCGATGTTGGAGAGGTTGGAGATTTGCAGGGGTTATGTGGTGGATGAAGTGAGTAGAGTAGGTGGGGTTGACCACTTGTTAAGCAGGTCGGTCTTCCACGCACCGCAGGACAAAGGCCTCCTGGACGTGTTTCCCGTGCCGCTCGTGATCGTGGGAACCAAGTACGACATCTTTGAGGTGAGTGCGACTTAGTTCCTTTCCGTGGCGCTGCCTGCAGGGGCCACTTCCCTGCAGAACTTTGAGCCGGAGAAGCGCAAGGCGCTGTGCCGTTTCCTGAGGCACCTGGCTCACGGACAAGGTGCCTCGCTGCTCTTCACCAGTCTCAAGAACGAGGCACTTGCTTCCAGGGCCAAGGCTGCCCTGAGCCAGCTCGCCTTTGGCTCCGGCACCGGGTAAGTATTCTATGGGGAAGACCAACGGCTACCAAAGGCTGGTTTACACATTTGTGTTTGAGCGAGACCGGGTGTGTTGCAACCCGATTTGTCGCTACTTACGAGAGAATGCGCTGGCGCCATCTGTCGGGTGGCTGGGACGCTCAAATCTGCTTATATTATTTTAGATTTTTACGCATTGTCTTTTATTTTGGGCTCGATTAATAATTTTATAATGGTAATAAAGGGATCATTTTTCATAGATAGTGCATGCACTTGATCTCTCAAATACTGGAAAACCTTCAATCTAGTTATATAATGATCGGAAGTCTTTCAGGGCTCCCTGATAGATAATGCCAGTATAGTTTCATCATCAAAAGCGGTTGCAATTGCTCCCAGTGTGCTCGATCACATTTCAACACAGATGAGTGAACTGGTTGCTACTTTTGATAGTGCCCAGAATGCATCTTCAATCGGTGTGTTTTAGGGATGTCGCAAACTTTTGTCAAACCCGAAGTTCGACGTCCGACTGGTTCGGCGAACTTTCAACCTTTCGGCAAAGTTCGACGAATTTCAACTAATAAACAGCATTGCCTGTCTTCTACACAAGGTTTCGAGTTTTGCGAAACAAATAATTTATAAAGCAGTAGTTTATTTTGTATTTTATAAAAAGGTTACCAATGTTTAGACAGTATAAAGCAAATTATTTGTAATTTTGAAGCTTTAGTTACTTTAATGATGTGAAGCAATAAAGTAATACATCCAACATTAAATACTGCAATTTTCCTCCAACAGGCGGCATCAGCTCGTTCTTAAATGTTTGCACGTGCGCACAAAAGTCAAATTTCAGTTGAACATTTTTTCGAGCTTCGCTTTAGAAGTCCCAAAAAGTCGAACCTGCGCAGGCTCACAACTTCCCTATGGTGCGTTTGGTGTCGGTCCCAAAGTGGCAACCAGTCGCATCGCAGGAGCCAGCATGCCATGCTGTCGGGTGTCGTAACCCTGGCAGTTGCTCGTAGAAGCTCCGGCAAAAAGGACGAGCGAATGCAAATGTCGCTGTTGTCGCGGTGTCTCAACTTGTGGCTGCCGAAGGTTATTCCTTCGTTCTGAAAGGAATCGGATTATTGTGCGCATTTTTTGGAAAGTAAAAGCCTCAAATGTGAGCATGTTATTTTGTTAAAGAGCAAGCACACTGGCACAAGGCTGACCCGGGACACAGAAGATCTCTGTCCGTTCTTTTATTGTTCCTACGTCTCAGGGTTACTATGGATATCAAGAAGCAGGCTGCTAGCATAGTTACATGCCCTGCATGATGCTGGTATTTAAAGCAGTAATTAACTTCTCTTAAAAAAAAATCAAATTAAAGTATGCATTGCATATGCATTCGTTGACGTCTTATTTTAACAGTTTGCTTCTAGTATTTTGTACAGATGAGGCGAGAGCTTGCGGCATCTGTACTGTACCTACGTTCCCAGCATTCTCCTTGGTGCTTCGGTGATTTTGCAGAGAGATTGGAGAACGCAACTAGAAGAAGCCGGAACTGCAAGTTGAACATGACCACCAGCATGCCGGACCAATCATCCGTTTTCCCTTCCTCTGAACTTTACAACGTACTCCGAGCAACTTTGAAAGCTCCACCGCACTGGTAGCTGGTTAGCTCACAATTGGTTGGCCACTTGCTTTAGTCACCTTGTTGGCTACTCAACCAACACCGAGACTTCAGCCAGCTTGTCAGGCATGGTTTAAGGACATCAGGAATGAAGACAGACGTCTACACACTCTCAGCTTACGGCAGTATTCTTGTTTAGGAATCGTGCTCCAGAAAACTTGAGTTTTGAAAGAGAGAAGTGGGGAGAAAAGGCTGGACCATAGATAAGCGGACATAGTAAAAGCTTACCGAATCGAATAGCTAGCAATCTGTTTACAGCGTCCTATTCTGGGCATTAATGTTTTTGTTCCACATTGTCATGACTAGTGTAGTTTCCACAGTGCTTTAGATCTGCACTGCTGTCAGAGCATGTGTCTTGCATCTGGTTTGCACGTGTTCGCACATGCTCTCATGCAATAATACACCAAATATAGTCACATGCTTACACAGGTAGTTGTAACAGCGTTGGAACGCTGTAGAAACTAGGCCAGTCTTGACAACTTAGCACAAAAGAAATGATGCCTTACGTCACTGTTCTTTTCCAAGCACACAAACTCCGTGTTTTGTGGCAAACTTTTGTTTTTCTTAGTTTGCTTTGTAGTTTGAATATAAACCTGCCAAGAGAAACTCGGGGCCCACTAAAGGAGATGCAGCATACAGGGGCTTTGTTTGGCCGCCTCCTACTTCGACTGCATTTCCCATCCTCCAAGCTGCGACAGCTCTCCGCTCATCTTAGCTCCAGATTGTTTCGTTTAAACAAATCTCTGCCAGGGATCTGACTTGCCTGTCTTTCTTCTTCTAGGGTAAAATGACCCACAGAAAACTCCCAAGATGAGTTGCATAGCAGCTAGCCTCGCCTTGTGCTTTTTCTCATCCCCAATTAAGTTTCCTACATGCCTAAAGCCGGTCTTTCATTAGCTTTTTAGAGCACAGCTCTTAGGGGCCCGTTTCCAGCCTGAGCGGCGTCGGCGTCGGCGTAACCGGGGGGGGGGGGGGGGGGGGGGGGGGAATCACGTGCCCCCCCCCCTCCCCGAGGTCACGTGACCCCTCCCAGGTCACGTGACCCCCCCCCCCCCCCCCAAGGTCACCTGACCCCCCCAAGGTCACGTGACCCCCCTCCCCCGAGTTCACGTGACCCCGCCGGGGTCACGTGACTACCCGCAGGTGACGTAACCCCCCTCAGTACCCTTCCCTACTCCTCCTCAAGAGCTGCGCTCCAATTCGGCGTTACAGGGATTTGTAAACGGCTTCCATTTTTTTGTGTGACTTCCTTTGTGCCTGGGCATTGCTTTCTTAACATAAGGTTGCTGCCTCGTTGTTGAGTCTATTCCTGATGACAGGGATTAATTCCACTCATTATTTTTTGCTTGGTGCGACTCATTTTCTAGGAAGGGTTCCACCGTGGACTACAACAAGCCTCTCAACATAATGTTTGGCGAAGATTCCTTCGAAGCAATTGGTGAGCAATATGTAGAAATGTTTAAACAAATTGGTTAACTTGGCATGTCTGCCAGCAGCTGGGAAGCCCATGAGACCTGGAATCTGTGGGCAATTTTAGTCTCGAAAGTTTAGCTTTAAACATTGCGGGTGTCTGTCTCTGGGAAATTTGTGAACTACTAGTGTCTTTTTGGTATGCTTACAAGAGGCCCAAACACAACTTTCCTGTTTGCTGGTAGCTTGATCAGTTCACCCAAAAAACACCAAAAGCTTTCTGAGCTTTTGTTGCAGTGAACCCCTTGAGTAATGCACCCTCATTATCATTACTAGGGAGCCTTCATGTGCGCTTTGCTAGAGTGATGCCACCCTTTGTACTACCACTCGCCGACAAACCAGCAGCCATTTTGGTTTTCGGCGATAATCCGTGGGGCTTATAACCCTCCCGTAAACAAGCACCTTATCTCACAGATTCGGAGCAGCGTTGTGGAACCCAGGATTAGCATTTTCCCCCTCGGATGGGAGGACCGATGGACACAAAGGCCACTTTCCGGCGCACGGGGAAACAGTAAGAGGAACAAAATGGCGGTGGAAGAGGGTGTGGGAGAGAGAAACAGGCAGTTGGCATCACTCTATGCGAAGCGCACATGAAGGCACCCTAATCATTACTGGTGGCTCTAGACACTTTGTTTTCTCAGAACTGGTCTTTTGGGGCAGAATAGTTGAGGAATTTGTGAGTGTAATCAATGCGGGTGGTCGATGGATAAAAGCACACCCGCAAGAGCGACGGTATTGCAGGAAACGTGTTGTGGCAACACTATAGGCGATGGAGAAACGGGCACAATTTAGAAGCAGTGGAGGATTAAGTCATCAGCCATGTACAAGGCAGTGCTCTGTGCTTTTTCTAACTGTTGGGTCCCCAGTGTCCAGTTCTTCTCTGAACAGAAAGCAGTTGAGCTTATTTCTCATGGAGAACAACTGTTGTCTGCTACTCAGACAGTTCACATTGGAAGAAAACTTGGCATGAAATGGGCCCGTTTCTAGTTCCTTGAGGGTGATGCTTTGTAAAAAGGGAAACAAAGACGAGCAAAGTCGTCACATATTTGTGACCTCAATTTGTCAGGCATCAAATTGTTTTACCATACAGTTTTCCAGTGAAGTGCATGTTTTCAGGTATGCATGCATTCATTCAGCTGAGAAATTCATGATAGAGTAGGCTCGCAGTAATTCAAACCCAGATATTACATACTTCTGGTTAATTCAAACAAATTTTAAAAGTTTGGTTGTCGTGTTATGTTCTTAATGTATTTATAAGCCGGTTATTTTGAACGACATTTCATGTAACTCATACTCTTTGTTCTCGTGGCCCCGTTAAGCGTGCTTCTTACCGAGCGCCGGTGCACTGCAGAGAAGCAACACCCACGGGTGTTGGTTTTCTGCTGCACACCGGTGCTCGGTAAGAAGCATGCTCAATGGGCCAAACTGAATTTTGTTTTGAGGTGTCATGTGCCGTCTAAACAATCCATGATAAACAACATCTTGAGGGCTGAGTAAACTTATCTCATACCATTTACACATTTCACTAGTGTTTTATGTGTGGCATACCTGCTTATGATTAGAAGTTCTGTGTAGAGGAAATCATCAAATATCTGCTTTGTATGTATAGCCATCCATGCAACAAATTATGATTTTATCTTGCATCATGTTCAAATAAATTTTTAATAATTCAAACTTCTGATAATTCAAGTTCATGGCTTCCTGAGTTTGAACCCCACACTCTGGCTGGTATAGTCCCTCTGTGCCAGACTGCGCCCACCAATAATTGCATCTTTGAAGAAAATCAAAATGTGCATTGTAGTCAAGCAACTTGTGAACCAAATTAATGGCACCCTGAAATGCCTGTGCCCTATATAAAACATTAATGTGCCAAAAAAAAAAGAGGAACAAATCACAATTATATATTTGCAAAAAGTAGTTTTAAGGAATGTGCACTTTGCCAAAAATGCTGCGTGCCCACAATGTGAAAGTAGACCTCAACAATCAATCACTTTTTTTTATTTTTTCAGATGGGTCCCACCAAAGCAACACCAAAACTTCGACACTAATGTCAAAGTATGTATTTTTAACATTTTGTCGGTATATAGTTTTATTAATTCGTTGGCAATTCATAAAATGGTCCAGACTAGCTAGTTTCTAAATCAGTCAGCATTCCTTCTCCGCACTCCTGAAATGTGATTGACAAGCATTTGTCCTAAGTATTCTGCTGTTAAACATGCCGGAAAAATCGGCGCCTGCCCATAGAAAATCTCAAACTTTCACCGAATGTGCACTGAGCGGGTCAGTTTTACTGTGTGAAATGACTACAAGGTGCAGTTCTCTTTCTATAAAAAATTAGAGCAAAGAGCTTGCCAAAGTCAAGGTTGAGGGCGTTGGCAGTTGACTGAGTTAGCGATGCTATTTATTTGTGGCACCATTTCCCGGTAGGCGCAGCAGGCAGACGACGCACTGTGTTGTCTGCTCGCTGCGCTTATTGGGAGATGGCGCCACAAGTTAAGAGAGTCGCTAACTCGCTTGTGTGCGAACACACCCCACCTTGACTTTGGCAAGTGTTTTTTCAATCTAATTTTTTTTACAGGAAGAGTACTGCACCTTAAAATTTCGCACAGTGAATTGACTTGCTCAGTGCACACTCGCTGAAAGTTTGAGCTTTTGGTGTGCAGGCGCTGATTTTTCCAGCTCGTTTTATGGCAGAAGGTCCTATATATCACAAATTGCACAATCTATTGCGAAATAGCCTTGCGCTTTTCATCGGCCTTTGAATTTATTTTGTTCCTATTCACAGCTCATACAACCTGGTGAAGCAACAGTTCGCAGATTATTTCCCGCAAGTGGTAAGCAGCCTGATATGCAGTTTAAAATTTGAGAGGAATAAATAATGTTTGACATTAATATTTAATACCTCTGCGTCCAGGAGCAGAAAAGTGTTGTTCCCGAAGACCCAGCAAGGGATCCTTACTTCAAGGAGAAAGACATCGATATCATGAAGGCCCAAAAAGAGAAAGTGAGACCTCATGTGACCGTTCACCGTACCTTCCCAATTCTCGTGACATTGTTCCCTTTCAGGAGTTGGAGGATTACCGTAAAACACGGGAGCAAGAAGCAAGGGCGAAGAACCTTCTTGGTTGGGATTAGAAATTGGACGCGTTTCACGTGCTCCACTTAGAAAAAATAATAAAATACCATATGTTTGTATCGTTTCTCTTTGCTTTCCATCATCAATCTCAATTGTAGCCCCCTAAATTGCGTTAGTCACTGACGGGGTGAAAAAGGCAGGCAGTAGTGTCAGTGCTTCTGCCTCCAGTGCCAGTTTCTTGCCCTCGATAATGCTTCGGCGTCTAAAATCTAAAAAAAAAACAAAATGTAGGTAAAACAGCGCAGAACGACAAAGACTAGAAGGAAGAAACAAACAGGAAGAGACAGGCGCTAGCTGACTAGCAACTGAAGGTTTTATTACCGAAAACATAAAAAGCAAACACGTAAGGCAGCAATCTACACATGCGCCAAAAAGAGAGAGAGAGAAAAATTGGTTTATTGGAAAGGTGAAAAGGTTATCGCGCGAAGATTGGCAGGATGGCTACTTCACACTTGTTGGAGGGAAATAGGGAATTAAGGTAAAGATTATAAAGACAGAGAAAAAAAGGGTATGTACATATATATATACATATATCTAAACACACATATATACATATATACTTATATAAACATACACACACCTATATATACATACATGTATTTTCCCCCTTCCCCTATATGCATATATATATATGTATATATATACACACACACACACATACACAAAGGAAAAGGAAATTTTGTACATTGTTGTCTGTTCATATAAAAGTATATCCTGGATTTAGAGTATTTGGTCCAGTTTTGTTTTCTGAAGACAGCGGATGAAGGAGGTCGTTGAATCGACCCTTTCCGATGCCGAGTCCCATGTCACGGTAAGAGCTTCTCCGTTGGGAAGATAGAGAGAATTTGCCAGTTAATTTCATTGACTTGTGTCTGTGACGGCACAGTTCTCACAGATAGGAAGGAGAGTCTAGCTGGCCGATGAGGTTGAGATAGAATTCCGTTGAAGCTACGTTGAGTCGTATTCGGTGGAGTGGAGTTTAAGACCGCGGGGTGAACGAAAGACAAGGAAAGGGTCAATGCTGTGCAGGTGTCTGTAGTAATAAAGCGGATTTGCCCAGAGGGAACTTATCATAGTCCTAACAACATAGTTGATTCTGGCCATTGCATCTGTTTGTGTGAATGGGATTATTAAACCAGAAGGTCGGTGAGCATCCTTGGCAGCTAAATCAGCACTTTCATTGCATGCATTAAAAAAAAAAATGGGAAGGGGGGTGAAGCGCGTGGCCCGTGTATGACCGGTGCCCTTGTGATGTGGCAGAAAGGTAGGCGCATCTGTATATGTTCCCTTACGTGTTTACTTTTTATGTTTTCGGTAATAAAACCTTCAGTTGCGAGTCAGCGCCTGTCTCATCCTGTTCGTTCCTTCCTCTAGTCTGTCATTCTGCGCTGTTTTACCTACATTATGTTTAGCCGACACCAACTAGCCCAGCTTTTAACTTTGGTACGGTCTAATTGATCCTCACGCGTGCATGCGCAGACGAAGCACGGTGGAAGACAACGGGCGCGTGCTGGAGGTCGAGCGTTGGAAATTTTATGTCGGTCTTATCCTGTCAGTGACAATAGTTGGTGGGGGGCTAAGAACGCAGTAAAAGCTCCGCCTTCAGCGCGAACCTTTTTGTTCTCGATGACACGTCGGCATCTCTCACGCAGCCAAAGCCAGGAGGCCAGCGTATGCCGGAGGCATTGAGATCGTACATGCCGGAGGTGGAGCTTCTACGCTTCTACTGCCTTCTAAACATGACGCAATAAGATCCAACGCTGACGAAAAACAAATGCAAGCTGTTGCGGCCACGTTTTTGACAGTGTTTTCTGAGAGAAGCTTAAAACACACCAAAATATGGACGAGGAAGGCGCCAAAAATACTGCCGAAACCACAAACTCCGACGTTGGTTTCGGTTTCTTTTCCGGCACGTGACACATAAAATTTTGAGACATTCCTCTTCAATAACATTTTGAGACGTTCTAAAATTTGAATAAAAAGATAGTTAGTAAATTTTTTTTTGTTGAGATCCAAAGTTAACTTAAATTGTACAATTGTAGGGGTTGCCATAGCAGCGCTAAAGAACGCAAGTGGTAGTGGCGTGATCGGCGGCATCGGCAGCTCTCATCGGTGGCGGTATTCGGAGATCGGTGAATAATCGTCCGCTATCGGATCGTCGGGGCTTCAGTCGATGTTCAGGGTCTCATAGAGTAGAGTCTACGAAAGAAACAAAAATCTAAATGATACTGGCCGCAGTTTGGGTGCTTCAGTGCGAAAACCTGTACTACGTGTGCCCGCCGGTTTAAAAAAGCGTTATCCGAAGTGACTGCCGCCTCGGTCAATAACATCTTTCTCCAAGGAGCCCCTCACGTCCTACCAACTTGAAGAAACAGCATTACGAGGTAAGTACTCTTTTATTATTATTATGAATGTTATTAGTGTCGCTTTTGCTCGACTGTCGGCTGTATATGGACACAAACACATGTTGACAACGTTACCCCAGCTGCACGGCGAATATGAGCCGTATTTTGCAGCTCGTGGATTTTTTTCTCTCCTTTTTTTGTTGCCGGTAGCATTAAATTCCATGCTGACTTCCCACTGAACACGAAGTCGTCTATTAGACGTCTAAAGACGTCTTTGCAAGACAAGGAAGGGGTCTTGTATATGTCTTGGCAAGACGTGATAGCCCAAAAATGCTATGATCACTACGATTACTAGAGGTAGGCTATCTTTCGGTGTTTAAAAGAATATAGCGAATCAAGCCAAAAATTGGGGTGGGTTACCTTTCAATGTTGGGGCATCTCGCGGTATTTTACGGTAAGTGTGAAGCAATCGCACGACCAACGGTACATGAAACATCGTTGTCATGTGCTTCATGCGCTGAAAAAGCAGACAAAAAAAAAAAAAAAATGTGGTGTCAGGTGTAGTTTCTTGATTTCCGGCCATGAGCTTACGTGCTCGTGTTTCGGTTTCGGTTTTGAGCAGCTGAGGTTTTTAGCTTTATTAAAAATATATGTGACTCTGTAGCAAAATATTGCTTGGGAAGTCTCCTGACAACCATATTAAATTGCCTGGCAAAAGATGTAAAAACTTTTTTGGGGATTGTCAGTGTCCCTTTGCCCTGTCACCACGACTTGTCACAGCTGTTGTTGGACAGCGCTACTAAAGTCACTGATAGCTTAAGAAACACAGTGCGTGGCATCTCTGGGGCATCTTATTAGCGCTTGCTGCCAACGAGATCGAAGCGTATGTTGCTGAGAACGCTAGAGAACAGGTGAAGTTTGTGTTCCTCAAGCGCAGCTCAAGTCCACAATATTGACGCAGTGTTATGCCAGGTGTTTTTTGTTTTGTTTTCTTAGTTATTTTTGGAAGTTAGGCACCATGTCCAGCACTCGTAGTGGTTTCTTCGTTTTTTAGGAGTTGCACGCTTTTTTGCGCAATTTCTTTAAAAAAAAATGATACTCATATGGAGCTGCTGATCTGCAAATCTTGGGCCCACTGCAGATACTACGTCTATCAGGCTGTCATGCTGTCAGGCTTTTGTCAATAACTTAATTTTTGTAGACCCATCATTTCACCAAATATACTAATTGGTCCACGCTTTTGTTTGGGTGTTTCTTCCGTTGGGAAAGTGACGGTGTGTAGGTGGTAAAACAGCACCTGCCCTGCAAACCTCATTACAATTAAAACGCCAGGAAAGGAAGTCACCTATAACGTGCAGTTTACTTTAGCGAAAGCTCGAGCAACACATTGGTGTTAAGTTTGTACTGCAACCACTTACAATGGGAGAACACGCTGGAGCCATCTAGGAAACACTTTCGCTCCCCAAATAACCGTACTGAAGGTTTTGCAGTATTTGCGAGATTGAATATGTGTATGCTGTCTATGAGAAGTGGTCATTGATAACATTGTTAAAAGTTTTACGAGCCAGAAAAGAAAGAATGATGCGCTGAAAAAATAGGAAATATACAGAAATGCCAAGTGTGTTTTGGGCTACGATGACCCCAGTGTATTCTCTTGTGAGAGATCCCAAGTAGGTCTTGAGCCGCTTGGTCCTAAGCATTTGCAAGTGTGTAAACCAGCCTTAAAGGGCCCATGAAACGAATTTTGGGTTGGGATAAAACATTTTAGATTGGGATTTTACTAATAACACATCGTTCAGTGGGCCAAAAGAAAAGAGGTAGAAAGTCAAAAGCCTGATTTTCAGTGCGAAAATTTGAAAACACAGCGGACTATTTCGTACCTCTTCCCCACTATTTCTTACCTCTTCCCCTTTGCAAGCTCTCTGCTTTTTCACTGTGATACATCCGCGGTCCCAAAAGTGTGTCATCGGGTCCAAACGCACGTCACACGAGACCGGACCTCACTTATTCCCTTCACCCCTAAGCTGATATTGTGGTGGAAGCTACGCGCTTGCCGGACCAATCAGCTGCCTCCCTTTCATCACCTGACCGCATTCTCTGCACGTGGGTATGCGCGAAGGAGTGTGATGACGTGGCAAGTGTGGCTAGCCCAACGAGCACGTAGCTTCCACAGCACTGTCAGCTTCGGGGTGAACAGGTTGGGGAAAGCAACTTTTGTCTGAATTTTGAGCGACGGGCTAATCTTCTAGGGGGACAATGGCTCTGTCCAGGTACACAAACCAGATTCCGAGCAAGAGGGGCCTCCCCTCTTTTCGTCTTCTTGAACTGTTTAGCGGAATGCGCGATTTATGAGTTGAGGAAAAAAGCTAAACAGGAAAAAGTTGGAAAAGCGTTTCATGACCCCTTTAAGAAGTGACGCCGCCGAGAAAGCTTGAATAACGAGAACGACTCCACCGTTTGTCCCGACAGCTGCTTTTTCCGTCAGCGAAAGGAGGCCGCCCACCCTCGCTCGCGACCATCGAGAGGTCATCATGAGTGTGAGCCTCAACGGCGAGCACTTCGAGGACATCTTGTCGGACCGCCGCACCAAGGGTGACCTGTCGTGGTGCACGCGGCAGTGGAGCTGCCCGCGCTACCGCTTCTATGCTGCACACACACCGCTGGAGATCAAGCAGAACGTGCTGGACAGCGCCCGTGTCCAGGCGGCCATCACCGAGGCAGGTTTCAGCTTTGAGTCTATCTATACACCGACTAGGGTGCCTGGAATGCGTCTTCGACTGGCGCGTTTAGTGTTCCGTACCGCCCGTGCTCCAAAAAGCGGTCCCAAAATGAAAAAAAAAAAAACAACGTTGCGGGAGTCGGCGTTGTATGCTGTTGGACGTCGCGACCTTGGCGGTTGTTTGTAGGAGTTCCAGAAAAAAATGTGAGCGAACGCGAGTTTGCTCGCATTCGCTTACTGTAGCGATGTCCCAACTCCTGGCTGCGGAGGCTTCCAGGAACCGTCAAGATGGAGAGTGACCTGCAGCAGAAGAAGCGTCTGCTGCACCAACCGCCGGTGCTGTGCCACTGCCAGTATCGCAGCAGGCAACGCAACGACACTTTTGCGGCGACATCGGGTTGCAATCGAGGGACCACAAAGGGGGTGCGGTAACCGCACCGGTCGAAGACGCGTTCCAAGCAATGTAGTACTAACGACAATGAACAAAGAAGACCGCTTAACTCCCTCCTGCCGGCGGCACCTCCAGGTGAGCCATGCCCAGAAGCGTCCACGCGCGGAGGTTGCGGAGGAGGCGAGGAAGGTTCTGGAGGAGATGGGGCACAACATGCGCATGGGCAACATTCGCTTCCTCGGCTACCTGTTCAGCAAGTCCTACAAGAGCATGTACCGCTCCATCTACGTTTCCACCGAGGGCATGGACAGGGTGAGACACAGCTGGCATACTGTAGGCAGGGGTCAGTCTATTGTATAGACCCTTTTCGTGTTTACAAACACAAGCCGTCTCTTGCTTCCCAAGAGACTTCTGGTCAAGCCTGTTGATGTAAGAATTCCCGGGACGATGAAGTTCTAGAGAAATCACGAAGCTGAGGATTTAGCGAGGTCCTTGTGCGGTGCTATTTGGCATATAACAGGGAATCTTTCGTATTACGGGATTATTACAAAATCTCCAATAAATCTCTCGCTAATCGGTCCTTTGACTAACCACCGACAGAAGTGGTCATAGAATATTTCATGAACGTTGCAAAAAGCGGTCTTATGGGGTGTTTGTCCTCTCATTTGACAGGAAGTTTGTGGGTACATAAAATGCAACAGTGCCACCTTTTGGCCATTTAAAAAAAAAGGGTCTATAGACCGACACGCTGTTTACAAACAAGCCCGCGTTTGCCCACACCAGGTGTGGGCACTGCGCGTGCGCACAAACCGAATTCGTGTGAAGCGAAGCGTCTGCGCATGCGCAGTGCTGTCGACAGCGCCACCGCAGCTGCGTGACGTCAGGGCCGCGTGTGGGTCTATAGGGAAGTTGTACAACCATGGCATCTGGAATAGACCACTTTGGAAATAACAGGTGCTTCAGCAAAGGCCTTCAAGGTCCTTAAAAATAGGGTGGTTGAGAAGAAAAGAAACTAGAACAAACTGCCAGTCACAGCAGATGTCAGGGACAGCAAGAAACATTCTCATTAGCTAAATAATTAACCAAGATTTAGTAATCATGTTTTCAATTAGTGACAAAAACATACAGTTCCAATTATAAATCTGTTGAGCATCTTTGAAAACCACTAAATCAACTCATTTTAGAAAGATATAGGGAAAATGCAGCATTTTGTGACATTCCAGAAAAGAGCTTAATTTGAACGCATTTCTAAGTTCAAGTTTCTTATCAGAGTGATTATTTGCGCCAGCGGTGCTGCCGCCTGGTGGCCGAGGCACGCAACACATGTGCACCACTCTTTCTTTCATCCTACGAGAGAGGTGAGGCAGTAGCTTCGCGCTTTGGCCAGCGGGAGGGCAGGACTGCTGGTGCAAAGTTGTGCTCCGAATCCCTCCTAAAAAAAAAAAAAAGAATAACCTGAAATAAAAATAAACAATTTTTTTTAATGTTGTCCATTGTTGTATTTGTTTTATATTTTCTTTAAATTAGTAGGTTTAGTGGTTTTTGATGATGCACAGAAGTTCTTAATTGGATCTATATGTTTGTTTTCTTTATTTAAAGGGTTTATGAGTTAATTCTGGTAAATTATTTAGCTAATTAGTATGTTTTCTGCAATCTCTAAATGCTGTCCGTTTTTGTGTCGCCACATAAAGGGGCAGCCGTGTTCGTGGCTAGTAGTGTGTTGCCGGAAAGATTTTTTTTTTAAGACGCCCTATTTTCAGAGATTTTTTTAAGTCTTTGCTCAGACACTTTGCATGTGGCACCTTCATTGTCTGCTTGATGCATTACGACATTCCAATGTGCGGCACGTGAAAGGTCACCTAGAAGTAGAAGATGAAGCTGACGTCGGTTCGTTTTGCGACATCAAAACACAGAAAGCAGAAGGAAAGCCGAATGGAATTTGTGTGACCTTGATTTATGTCCGTCTTATTTTTTGTGCAATCTAAATGCGCAATGATAAGAGATGATGAATGGTACCGCTTGATGTACAAAGCTTCTGAGTCGGCTCAAGCATACATTGGAACAGCCCCACAATTCCCCACGCCGCCCAGCGCAATGTGGCATAGCCGTGAGGCGTCTGGGGATTTTCCGGAAAGGTCTATCAAACTTTTGACTCGCAAAAACATCAGCGTTCTGCATGGTGCTCTTGCTGCAAGCTAAAAATAAAAGTGCATAACATGTAATTAAGTTCTTTACGAGTCAGATTAGCACGAGCCACAACAGTTTTCTTCCCACCCCTCTGGGTCCGCTCGATGCTTGGGTTCGCGCCCCACCACCCTGATGGCCCGTGTGTCGCTGGGACGTCCGTGCTTCGTATGTGGTGGCAAAGCTACTTTTGGGTCTGGTTGCCGCGCTCCATACGAAGCACGAATGTCCCAGTGATTCAAAATATAAGATGTAAACTCCTAAAGCATAATGGAACGTGAGAAAACGGCACCGTGTGAACATACCTTGAACGCTCACAGCTTAGGTAACGTAACATAGTACAGCGTAAGCAAAGGGTGCTCTGTGAATTGGCATTATGTCAGATTGTGGTGACACATAAAGGGAAACGGAAAGAGTAATGTGGAGTTCAAAGCAGTCTCTACAATTGAAATTAGGTATGTTCAATATAGATCAGAAACCAGGAGAATTGAAATTAAGGTGACTGCTTACACACAAAAACATTAGAACAGATGCGGATGCTAGGAAGCTCAAACGCTCTGCCCATGGCGGCGCTGCTTTTTTGGGCTGCTCAAACGCAACAACATTTGAAAAGATGCGGATGCGAGGAAGCTTGGATGCACTGCTTCGTCTCACTTCTCCCCTGCCAAGTGCGAGGCCTCAGACCTGCTCGCGTCGCCAGTATCGCAGGGCTGCTGTTGAGAACCCCGTGCTGCTGCTGCCGACCCACCGGAGCTACAACGACTTCCTGCTGCTCTCCTATGTCTGCTTCTACTACAACGTGCCGCTGCCCGTCATCGCTGCGGGCCTCGGTAAGTGATGCTCGGAATCCTCGGAAGAGACGTGGCGAGGGCTGGAGAAGGCCCCCTTACAATCCATTGCAACAGCCTTGAAGGGGCACTGGAGTGGTTTTTGAAAGTGTCGATTTATGGTCATAACTCAGTCTAGGTCCATGCCTGAATCGCACACATTGAAGAATCAGTCCGTTGTTGGTTGGCCCCCTTGCCGCGCAGGAAGCGATCGATCGCAATCTGCTGTCGCATGTCCAACGGCGCTTTCTGGCTTCTGTGCCGGATCTCAGAAAAACGGACATATCACAATCTTTGATCCCACTTTTGATAGGGAAATCGGATGCACATTAATCTCATCTCGGGTTTCTTAGAAGGCTAAAAGGCCATAGACTGAGTTATGATCAGAAATAGACGATGTCACAGATAACTTTAGTGTCCCTTTAATGTTAGTGGCAATGCAGTAGCAGAAGCACTGAACCAGGCATCGATGCTGACTTGCATCGTCACGAACTGCTGCACTCCAAGTGCACCCTACGCTAGAGGGATGGTGGGGAGGGGAAGGTGGCATTATAAAGGTGGGGCCGAGTGGATGGCTGATGCCACCCTACACTCAATGTCTTCGGTGAGGGCTCTCCACTCTCTGGTTACAATCACCTTTAGTGGGCAATAGGTCAAGAACACAGTTGAAGTGGCCCTCTGTCGGGCTTTGGCCGCACGTTCAATGAAGATATATCTAAGGCAGAAGCCTTCTGTTAGAGGTGGAGTTTCTACTGCCCCCTTAAGGGGCACTAAGCCACTTTCTGCAATAGTCTATTTATGGTCATAACTCAATCTATGGGCTTCAAGCTTCCTAAAAAATTTAACATTATGTTTATGTGTGGCAGATTTTTCTATTAAAATCGGTATCAAGAGATTGACACCAGATGGCGCCATCAAACGAGGAGCGGCAGAGCCCTGCCATTCCTCGTGTGACGGTGTCCTCCAGTGTGTGCAATATTTCGAGGTAATCTATCTTTTAATACTAACTTTAATAGTGAAATCGGTCATGCACGAATGTAATGTTTGCTTTTTTAGGATGCTTAGAGCCCATAGATTGAGTTATGACCATAAATAGACTATTGGCAGAAATAGGTGTAGTGCCTTTTTCAAGGGATACTGAATTGAAACGTAAAATATTCCCGTCACGTTCAGAAATAAGTTAAACACGATAAACTCGATCTGTTAATGACAATCGCACACTTGTATTTTGAACTACTGGCTCTATTTCTCGTTCCAAAGGACCGATTCCAGCGAGCGCTCGAAGATCAGCCATCGAAGAGCGCTATGCATCACGGGAGCTGACCAGTTGACGTCACAGACGTGATGTCAGTTGTCTGTGACGTCAGTTGGTACAGCATGGGCAAAGCTGCTTGGGAACTGGCAAGGTTATCGGCTCTGCCACTTGGCGGATCGTCAACGCGTTACAACCTGGCCTTTTTTGGTTGCCCCTCCCCGTTCCCCGCAAGAGTTGAAAAGGCCAGCAGAGAAGGAAAATCCAATTCGACAGGGCTTGCGCGCGCGCAGCTGGCCGCCTTACTTCTGTGGAGCGGTGCTGCTTTTCGGCTGGTTCCTTTTAAATAATGTTTTCGGTGTCTTTTTGAGTAAAAAAGGTGTGTCTTCGTGGTGTGGCCAGAACGTGGCTCACATTTAGATAATAAAATAGGCGCTAGAATTTCATTGCAGTATCCCTTTAACTTGTCACTGAACATACTTACAGTCCGTCTAGCACATCTAGTTAAAAGTCCACGTTTGTTCCACAACAAAGCGAACATCAGAAGGTGCAGAGCTGGTCCTGCCAAAACGTAGCCAGTCAGGCTAAAAAGGAGGTGGAACTCTGTGACAGAGAGAGAGATACGGGTGTTGAAATTTTATGCCTTTGCCGGAGAAATGTGCGTGAAGGGGAACTCCGCCAATTTTTTGTTAGACTTCTATTTGGCTGGAAATTTGCAGATCGCATCAATAACACTTTCTGAACTGATAACCAACATATTTTATAAAAATAAAAATTTCCCGTGAAGTTGTTGAATTTTCAAGTTACACCGGCCGCGAGGGTTCCAGGAGGCAACTCTCTGCTGGCAGCAATGAAATATCCCTATTTTTCCCTACCCGCGTACGTCACGGATGGGCAGGCGGACGAGCGACTCGGGAAGCCGCACAACTACTTTTGGAGGGGACTGAGGATTCTACGTGGATTATCTCTGGGAGGGGCGAGAACAATGTTCGCAAAATCGCGTCGAGGGCCGTTCGACGTTCTTCACCTCCTTCGTTTCCCGTGAATGTCAAGCAGAAAAGCTTGAATGGCAGGCGCTTACCAGCCTTATTTCTCACAATGGAGGATAACACGAAAAAGGTACGCAGCACGCATAAAAAAAAAGGGGGAAACTTTCAAGAGGGGCTAGAAAACATCGAATGCAAAACCGCAAAAACGCAGGTAGGGAACCGCGCTGAGCGAGTCTTCACAGTCCAAGAGAGTGGCAGAAAATGTCTAGCTGGTAGAGGGCGCGAGAGTCGCACCAGTCGCATCAGCATCAGCAACATGGCGGCGGCCTAGGAGCGTTTTCTGGAAATGTGTATACGTAGCGTGAGCTTATGCGCACAAAATGAGAAGTGCTATCAAGCGGCTCCGGTGCAGCGTCAGACTTGGCTACAACGCAACGGAGGCGCACAGCTGGGCACGCGGCGGCGCCAGTGCGTCTACAGGCCCGACCACACTAGCGTGAACGGCGGCGCCGGGCGGCACCGCCGTCCGGCGTCCCAACGCGAGGAGTCCACATTGGCCTCCGTTTTGCAGGACGCCAGCGATCGAGATTATTTTTTCGCAGCTTCAAGGTTGAAAGTTCTTTGGCAAACAATCTGTGCTTCGCGATAGATTGTAGGAACAGTGCCAAGAAAAAGCTTCTTTTTTTTACCCTTGTTTTCATCGGAGAAAAAAATGCACTCCCCGGCAGTAGTGGAGGTCAGCCACGTCAAGGTGCTTTTACGCGAGCTGTGTGCCAAGAGAACTAGTGTCACGTGAAACATTTTCACTTATGCTCGTAATACTTTATAGCCGCGTGCTACGAGTTGAGTATCCTTCAGCAGCTGGAACAGCTTCAAGAGCAGCAAGCGCAAACTCAAGCCGGCTTTGACCACTACGACATCCGTCCAAAGAAGAGCGCTAATAATATTGTGAAAAATAATACACAATCCAGCACTATAGTCGACATTTTGCGCAGTCACATTTGTTATTCACAATTGGTTCAGTGATATTTTAATTTTTTTTTTATAAACACTATTTCTGTTTCGGACGTTGAATCTAGCTCGGGGGCTATTCTCGGAGTTCCACTTACGCGGCCGATATGTTGAAGACGAGAAGTGAAACATTTAAACAAAGTTCAAGTCTGAATTCGGACATGACTTTCGACATACTGCTATTCCTGTCTGCTATTACAGAGGTTTATGGAGCAGGTGTTGAGCTCAATTAATATGTGATAGAGCCTTTGTCTAGCTTGTCAAATGGTTGGCGTGCAATGTTCTCTGCAGAAAAAGTGAAGAAACTGTCTTTAATTTATTCTATTGCAAAGAAATATTATACCGGGCTGAATTCTTTTTAAAACAATGAAAATACTAATGTTGTTGAGGGGAGGCATGCAAATTTACAGCTGGTGGAAACTGTCCTAAACCAAAACTTAATTTTAAAAATTTTTTTCTCATGTGCTTTCGTGGAAGGGTGCTTGGATGCGTTACATTCTACTGAAAAAAATTAAAAATACGGGTACAGATTTTTTTTTAGTAACTTAAGTTAACTTATATTGAATTAAGAGTTTTATCATGTCTTTCTGTACGTTACGCACTATTGTATCTTCAAGCAAATATTCTTTATTTGAAAATGAACAGTGTATTTGTGTATTTTATACGCATTCCATTGCACCTTGATGTTTGGCTCGGTGGTTGCGGAGTTCTTTTAATTGTCATTTTAACACGATCTTCATGACCAGTAACCTGCCATTTGATCTACACGAATGCAGTTCATTCCATTCTATACATTTCATTGTTGACGAGAATCACAGTCTACATGTGTTAGGTCCCAGCCGAGCATGCACATGTTCGTCGCTTTGGAAGGCGAGCAAAGTACGTGCCACACGCACGAAAGCTGAAAATGGCATCGACCAGAAGCGCTTTTCAGGAATGCTCTATAGATCTTTTGCATCTTCATGCCACAAGAGTAGTCCCACGTGTTGGCACCTGCAACCGTAACTTTACTAAAGAAAATCGAAAACAAATGGCACATTCCTTTAGGTTATACAAGCGTGTGGGGCACCTGTACCCACGTTCCGAGCATTTTCCGTGCTGCTTTGGCAATTTGTCAAAAAATGTATTGCGTGACTCTTACCTTTCTTTGCCAGTGTAGCTGCCAGCTTTTGATAGAACGAAAACGGATTACTAGCGATATCGCAAAACTAGCGAGCCTCGGCTTGAGCGTACCGAGTTGCAAAAATGGTTTTATCAAAATTCCAATTTCTCCCATTCTTTTTTTTTACTTTCTCATGGTTCAGCATGTTGGCCAAGGTCATACTTTGTGCAAATATAGATTATTATCAACTTCAAATAGCACGAACGCCCCGGTTTTCTCGCTGATAGAAGCGAGAAAGGCGGGCGCAAACGGACCAGATTGCTGGCCGCGCGCCTTGCTGCCCACCTTTGACGTCTTGCTTGGGCGGTAGGGAAAACCGGGGAAAAACTAGGGAGGACGATGTTTCGGTTTCGACAGCAAACAAAATATAAATTTTTTAAATTAAATAGAGTGGATCTGAGAGAACGAGATAGCATTTCGGAATCAGGAAGCCATCCGCACTCAGATTATGCATTTAGATTAGGTAGCTAAAAAAATCGGCGGAGTTCCCCTTTAAGATGAAAATTGGGCTGGAAATAACAATGTTTTAATGCAGAATGTGTTTTAGGGCTGGTTTCCAGGTGTAAAGCATCACGAACAAGTGTATAGCATCACGAAACATTTTTACGAAAACATGATAACACGGTTGCTGTAAAACGTTTCCAAAGTTCAGTGCCATCTGGTGGCTCAAAAAGCAGTTTCACTTTCGATAAACTAATGGCAGTCATGGAATTGTATTTCATAGCGCACCATCCCTTTCGCATGTCAATGGTAGATGAAAATGGGTTCTTCGATCACGTCATAATTCTTTCTCAGTTTGTTTCAGCTCTGACTGTGTGAACCACAAGAACCGACCAGTACAAAGCGGTAACCCACAAGTGCCTCGATTAAATTTACGTCATCGAAGGGCTTTAGAGCCACAATCTTACCTAGATATTGATTAGACCACACTCTGAAACAAACGCTTATGCAGCGTCCTATCAAATTTGTGCATCATGTTGTACTGACGTCTCAAACGTACGGGCCTCACATACCCTCACCTTGGTTGCATCTTTGACTTCTTCCTTCATCAACCTCAAGAAGGTTGGCGTTAGTTTGGCACAGATGCCATACATTAAGATGACGATAGTGATCAAGGTTGGCGGACTGAATTTTGAAAAAGGGTCTGTTGTACATGGAGTGTCCGCGCACGCTGTGTCGTTGTTCTCGAAAGTGAGCCACGAGGAACTCTGCAGACTTCCTGGGCCTCCCGGCTGTGACAATGCTGCTGCGCAACGGCGGCGCCTTCTTCATCCGCCGGACCTTTGGTACGGACCGGCTGTACTGGGAGCTGTTCCGCGAGTATGTGCATGCGCTGGTCTCCGGGTCGGAGCATGCCCTCGAGTTCTTCGTGGAAGGCACGCGGAGCCGGTCCGCCAAGTCGCTCTGCCCCCGCACCGGTAAGTGGCCCTCCCAGCCTGCTCGTCACTGCACTCTTAATCTTGTTCCACTTCCAGTTATAGCCGGAACTTTTTTTGAAAAAAGTTCTGCTTAACAGGGAGGAATTGTGTTCCACACACTTCATAGTTTATGTGAAGCAGTGTTTCAGATAATTGTAGATACTTTGTGCTTTACACAATTCAGTGTTTCAGATAATTGATAATTATAAATTATAAATGTAAAAAAGCACCTTCTGCAAGTTTTAACTGGAGCAGGTAAGAACTTAAGTGGAACAGCACATAGGGGGAATGACAATCCATGTAGCTCCTACATATGCTCCAGATAAAAAAAAACAAAGCAATGAGAATTGGCATTCCACATATCATCCCAAATCCAGATATAAATTTGACTTGTTCCAGAGGGAATATGGGGAACAGTAATTTAACTGGAACCTATGTGGTATGAAGAGTTTATGGATGGATGAAGAGTGTATGGATGGATGAATGCATACGACTGAACCCTTCAAATCAGGCAGTGGCTTGCACCACCTGACGAACACATTTGATGGAAAGACATACTAACTTGCTAGAGTGGCCTTGGCTGTTCTAGCGAGTTATCTTGTCCTCTTCGCCCTATCAGTATCCTTGGTTCCTCTGCCGACGCAATGTTCATGTGGTAAAGATATTGATGCAGTGAGGACGGAGCTTACTAAGATTTTGTATAATAATACAATTAAAATAGAGAAACATTGAGGTAGGCCCATAATGCAGACGTTTTGCAGGTAATATTTAGTAAAACTAGTCACATAATCCTGTGTAAGCTTCTTTCCGAGTGCCCAGCACCTATGGATACCGTATAAGCCTCCGTTTGCGCGATGGCTGCACAGGGCTCCTGCAGACGGTCCTGGAGCTGTTCTTCACGTCAAGGGTGTCAGACATCACGGTCATCCCCATCAGCATCACATACGACCGCACCCTGGAGGAGAACCTGTATGCCTATGAGCTCCTCGGTGTGCCAAAGCCCAAGGAGTCCACCTCGGTGAGGAACGACCCCTCCTAACCCTACTAGAAAGGCAGCACGGACAGCAGGGACCCTCCCTATGCGACTCTAGAGACTTGGGGACCAGCCCTATCCCTTGCTGGCCCTTGGGGACTAGCAAGTTTCTATGAGACTCTAGGGACTTGGGGAACATTTTGGGGTACAGGTTTGTATGACTAGAAGGGACTAGGGATTTTAGGGACACAGATTCCCCAAGTTTTTACAGGATTTTGGGAACTTGAGGTACCTCCCAGGGAAGCAGGTCCACAGATGAGCACTCTGTGTAAGCGTCTGAGCAGAGGTCGGCATTTTAGGTCGCCCTCACTCACCCTCACAGCCACACCCACCTAAACCCCTCACTCACCCTCACCCTCACAGCTACACTCACCTTCAGCCCCTCACTCAACCTCACCCTCACAGTCACACTCACCTTCAGCCCTTCACTCACCCTCACTGAACCTCACGGCCCTCACGCACTCACGACCCTCACGCTCCTCACGGCCCTCACGCCCCTCACGGCCCTCACTGCCCTCACTCACTCATGGCACTCACGCCACTCACAGCCCTCACGCCACTCACCGCCCTCGCAGCCCTCACCGCCCTCATCGCCCTCACGCACTCATAGCCCTCACGCCACTCACCGCCCTCACAGCCCTCACGCCACTCACCGCCCTCACGCCACTCACCGCCCTCACGCCACTCACTGCCCTCACGCCCCTCACCGCCCTTGCGGCCCTCACACCCCTCACTCACTGATGGCCCTCACGCCACTCAGGCCAGCTTCAGATGGGGCAATTTCGCCCAGAAACTTTACGTCGCAACACCAGCAACATGGGCCGCCCGCGATCACACGCAGCAACCAATTGCTGCGATTTGCCATCGCCATCATAAAATTTTATTTTTCTTGCACTATTTAGACACAATTACGCGTTATAAACGTGTTTTTATTCATTTAAATCTCGTTAAGAATACTAATGCACCTTTCTGAAACAGTTTATTTCCAAAAAACGATCGATTTCAAACCAGAACCAAGTCTTTCGGTGTCATCATCACCGGCACAAGGTACCACGTGAAAATTTTGCGTCCCTGATTGGATGCAGCCGCTTCAAACGTATTCGAATTGCTCCGAGTTGCTTGCTTATTTCGAGCTGGACCCGATCTCAGCAATTCGTGTCGATCTAGGGAAAGCTAGAGAACAACCCGCCATTAACACCAAAATTGCTGAGAAAGATGCTCGATCTGAAGGGGGCCTCACGCACTCACCGCCCTCACGGCCCTCACACACCTCATGCACTCACCGCCCTCAAGGCCCTCACGCCTCTCATGCCACTCACTGCCCTCAGGCACTCATGACCCTCACACCCCTCACACACTCACCGCCCTCACACCACTCACGCACTCATGGCCCTCACGCCACTCACCGCCCTCACGCCCCTCACGCCCCTCACGCACTTATGGCCCTCACCGCCCTCACGGCCCTCATGGCCCTCACCGCCCTCACGGCCCTCACCGCCCTCACCGCCCTCACGGCCCTCACTCACCCTCACCTCACCTGTGAAGATGAGGTTGAGTGAGGGTGAGTGAGGGCCTTCATGAGTGAGGTTTGCCGAGGTATGCGTCTGAGTGGCTCAAGCGGTGGGCACTGGGCATGTACAATCTCTGATTTCTCTGTGTGGTCATGTACCAACGCCCATGCTGGCTGATTGTAAATGGCATGCTTATCCATACGCTGGCTTCCTGTCCATTGGAACCGACTTGGTGCCACCAGACAACCTCTTGTTTTTCCTGGGGTAGAGTCTTTGCAGGGGGAAAGGGGTTGGTGAACGCGAGAAGGGAATGATGATTGCATTGGTCTGAGTGGTCTTCCTGCAGGAATGACACGCTGCAATAAATGATTTCCATTGGAGTTTTCTCACTTCCGTGTCTCTCCCACAAGTGGTTGCTGTTAGAACAGTCCCCACGCATGGCCGGTCTGCTTTGATAGTTGATCTATCGGGCTCTCTCGAACAACGACACCCTCAAATAGATACAGTGTAGACCGCATATAACGTATGTCGCGGGAGTCGCGAAAATCTGCACTATAAGCGGTACCGCGCTATAACCAAAACATCAATTTTTCAGGCCAAAATACATGCCATGAGACCACTTACCTTTGTAAAACAATTTATTTTATGTTAGATGAAAAATAAAGCTTAGTTTGAGGAAAGTCTTTATTTCGCCAGACTAGTACACTTCTCTCTCAAGTGTGTCACACATTTCGAAAGAAATGAGCGACTTTTGCCTGGCGCAGCCTTTTAACGGTGTCGCAGGTTGCGGACAAACGTTGCGAGCGTTCAGGATTGCTAACCCTAATCACTTTTCTGCGGTGATCAAAACGCGTGAAAATTTGCATCCTTTATATGGTACGCGCCAGTAATACCTTCAACTTGAGCACAGGCATGAAATGCTCCAAATAAGAAATCCGGGCGATGTTCGAAAACACAAATGCTTAGAAAGCACCACTGTAGTCGAGGTAAACAAACACGACGACACGGGCGTTTCTGCCGTCTTGACAGTGCCGCCACGACATCCGCACGAGTAGGTAGATCTTCTCTTCTAGTACGTGCTGGGTTATCGTAGCGACACACAACGAAAATTCACTGTCAAGGATAGCGCTTTTACGCGGAACGATGAGCTTCCACCACGCCGTCTACGTTGACGATCACAACTGACGCCATGTTTGCAGGTAGAAGCCGGCCCGCGACCGGCATGCAACGCGCACGAACAGTTCTCCTCTACTTGCGATTGGTCTGTCGTTGCGGTTGTTTCCAACGCAGCGGAGGCAGCCACGCATGTGAACGACATGTGCGTGCGTCCCTCCGTCGCTATAGCAACTGAAGCCTCTCTCTTCGCTTCTTCGAGCAACCTCCTTGCCCCGCGAGTGCTGCTTGCGGCTAGCACCATTATCTAGTGTCGCACCGGGAAGCGTGCTCGCTGCGCCGGTGGGTCGGCGCGGTCGGCGGGCTGTTCTGGAAACCGCACTACAACCGGTATTTCCCTTCGCGCGCCTGCATTTTAAGCTGCATGTAATTACATGGAGTTGTATGGGAGGCGAACCGGTGGTTTAAAAAAGCCGCATTACACCCGGTCCTGCACTATAAGCGGTTACGTTGTGAGTGGTCTATACTGTATGCGAGATTACTTTGCTTGTGCACATACACAAGTACAATCAGGCACACCGGAGGAGGAAAGATTTTGGTATGCCGGTGTTTCATAGATAAATTGGCCATTATCGAAATTTTTACGTTGTAAGCATTTGCTTGTCACGGTGTCTCGTTAGCCAAATGCACACCAGGCAAATCTGTAGCCACCAATGCTTGCAAAGTTCAGCTATCTTCTCGCCCTCATAGTTGAGACAAGCTCTTGTGCTTTCTCATAAGCTCCGCTCTGTGCACAGAAGGTACAGTCTCGAATAAAAGAAACGCAAATGACAGCGCGACAGCCCCTTGCTCTTGCCGCACCACTCCACGGTCGTCAGCGGAATCTTTTGCACATCTTGTGACGCGCTTCGAGAGTAGTGACAGTGCCAACGTGCCGGCCCTTTCAGTAAATAGAGTTTATTGATTCGTTTCAGTTTACCTCAAAACAGGGTACTAATCGTCGAGCCTTTGTCGTGTTGACAATGCGACTCTGACATTTCTGAGTCACATTGTCAACGCGACAGTGCGACTGTGCCCCATGATGACACGCAGTACAATAATATTTTATGGGTTTCACACTACAGTGTGAATCGTCACGATACTGTAATATTGATTTTAGGCCGATCTCATTATGTCACTGCTAGGCATTCAGAAAGTGCATGCTACGTTGACAACTTTGCGATAATCACCGCATGTGGTGGAAGACTGAAGTGAATAGGTGCGACTTTCATTTACCGAAATGGACAACCACTTGGCACCGTCACTGCTCTCTTAAGGCACATCACGCGCTGTGGAGAGCTTCTGCTGGAGACGTTAAGTGCTGTCACTCTGTCGTTTACGTTTCTTTCGGGACTATATCTCTGTGTTCACAACCGGACATTCAGGTGTCGACCAGAAGCAATCTCGGAGATAGAGTGACCTGTCAACGCTTGTTTTTTTGGATGCAGGGACTCGTGAAGGCCAGGGGAATCTTGAGCGACGACTACGGCAACATCTTTATAAAGTTCGGCAACCCCATGTCCGTGCGGAGCTTCTGTGGTCCTCACGTGGACCGATCAATTCATAGCGTCCATCCCAGGTAAAGAAACGTCGGTCTCCAAGTGTTTGTCACAGAATGCCTGTCCTGGGCTGGTGGTCATTAGACGCTGGTAACAAGACGTTGATCGAAGGGTCTAGGTGCGTCTGGTGTCGCTTCCGCAGTCCATTGCTTGCTGTCGCCCAGTGGCGGACACTCACTCTCAAATCCGAGACTCACAATATTTTTTTATGATGTTTGTATCTTTTTTTTCCGGAGATACCCTGCCAGGCCGGCTGAGAAGAATTTATGACATGTCCGGCGCATCGAAACGTTGGTCGCAATTTCTGGTTGGGTTTGGAAAACTTTCAGATGTTGAAAAGGTTGGTTTTGGGAGGCTGGTTCTTGGGTATTGTGAAAACTTGGTTTGGGAACATTGGGTTGGCCTTGAGGATTCTGTACCTTTCTCCAAACATTTTTGTTTTGGGCCAAGGCTAACGAACCATGAGCATGTTTCCAATAAAGATTACCGTGACTAGTGATGGAATTCTTGAAGCTACCTGAGCTGGCCTTGCTCTCGAACCAATCCAAATGCACTTCCATGGTGGCGTACAAATTTCCAACGCAGCATTGCCGCGACGCGAGCCTCCCCTTCTAAACTCGTCGCTGCGCACGCGTCGACTCGCGAAAACGTCGTCTGCTGTACGCAGGTTCGAGACGCACGTGAGCGACGAAGAGGCAGCTGCATGTGCCAGGCTGTCCCGCTGGGTGGTGAAGGCACATCACCGCTGCATGGCCATGTCCGCGTTTCCCCTGGCCTGTCTGGCACTGCAGTGCCACCTGGGACAGCAGCGCGCCACCCACATGGCGCTCGACCAGCTTGCCGGCGAGGTCCTCTGGCTGCGAGACCTGACGCAGCGCCTGGGAGCCCTGGTGCACTTGGACGGTGTGTAAACTTCCCCCCCCCCCCCCCCTCTTTTACTCATTTTAGAAGGAGTATTCTGCTACAGTGTCTGCAACGCGTCTCCAACTGGTATGTTTACCGCGCCAGTTGTCGTAGAAGTGTCATGCTCTCGCCGGCCACAGTCCTGGCGGTGGTACAGCAGTGGTGGTAGATGTAGCAGACGCCTGCTTTGCTGCTGGTTGCACTCCAGCTTGATGGCTCACTGGAGCTTCGGCAGCCGGAAGTTGAGACGCCTTGACATCTGCGACGCTCACATTCCCTTGTTCCTTTTTCTTGAAAGTTCTACGAACAAATGCCGGGATCACAACGTCCGACAGCTTGACACTCCGACTTTTGTGACGTCGTTTGTCGCCACTTGGAGATAACTTTCAATGCATGTACGAAATAGGCCGCTAACCACATGGCTCGGAAACACGTGCCATGCACCGTAATTTTGCCAATCCCTAGCTGCGGCGATCGGCGACACCCTTCTAAGGGAAAGCAGTCGCGACAGAAGTCCTAACGGTTTCCAGAGTGGAGAAAAGACTGGAGTTGCTAACACTGAGATCACTTTGCTCGCCGGGTACACAGCTTGCATAAGCGCAGTGTTGTTCTAATGTTTTATTTGTTTTAATGCCCCAGAACAATATTTTTGTTTGGATGTGGTAGCACAAGGTTGAAATTTTAAGAGATACAATTCGTATACTTTTTCTGACACTAGAAAATGAAAAAGGTTGAACTCCTTCGCAGGAAAGTCGTAAATAAATTGGACAAAGCTAGTTCATGCCAGAAAAAGTTCATGCTCTTTAGAAAATGAAAGACCAAAAACAATTCATGCAGAAATTTAGCCAAACATAAAATCCCACAAAGAAGCAAAAGAAAATAGTCTATACAGTACCCTCAACAGTCTCAATCATAAAGTTCACAAGATAGTTTACACTTGAAAAAGTTAATTTCATCAAAAGCGTCCAAACATGGAGACTCTTTAAATGAGAGTTGCATGCAAAATGATAATAATATTTTTCCTTGAAGGGAAGGGTAAGATAAAGAGTGGTGCCCACAAGATCGAGCAGATGCATGAAAATCTACAGAGGTTACCAGGTCAGATCAAAGTGTCCATGAATTACTTTGTGCAGAAAGAGAATATCGCGGGTGAGTCGGCGAGTGGATAGATTTTGTAAATGCAGTCTTTTGAGTACTAGGTAGTTGTAGTCATTATAATATCTTCTGTTGAAATATTTATTGAATATAATTACGTTTTTGTACTGTTTCAATTTGCAACACATCAAGAGCCGTGACCGTGCTCCATGCTACGCTACCGAACTCAAGTTTTGTTCGTGTGAGGCAGGAAAATAGACATACAATGCAAAAATAACTCCTAAAGTCACATAACAGGCAAGAAAGTAAGCCAAGCCTTCGTACAGAACAGGCAACAATCTGGTTAACATGACCAGAAAAAGAAAACTGGCGTCGAAATAGATTTCGAGGTCATGAGTCATGGCAATACGATAGTAGCAGATTAAAGAACATAAGGGCAAGATGAAATCTCGCATTTGCATGACATTGTCAGCAGTTTTGTTTTATCTTGATTAACTAAGCATCGAGAAATTCGCTGAACACCACTCACAAGATCATTTACGAAAAGAGGGAATAGGAGAAGCCCTATGTTAGATCCTTGGTCTACCCCAGATGTGGGTATGAAGGTATCAGGATAGCTGTTCGATATCCTAAGGCTTCTTTGACAATCAGTCAAGTAGGTCTGAAACCAACTTTACTAGAAGATTCTGTGAAAAACCATATAAGGACAATTTATATAGTAGAAAATCATGATTTACTTTATCAAACACCTTGGCCATGTCAAAATAGACATCTACTTAACCTCGAGAGAAATATGTAACCACTGAATAATCAAGAAATTAATGAAGATTTGTTTCCACCGAACAACCCCTCAAAAACGCACATTGAACACTACTAAATTTATGTCGAAAGTAATAGCAAACACGCGAGTGTATGATTACTTCGAAGATTTTATAGTGCCTAAAGTGTGGCTTCGACTGGTGTTCCTAGCATCGTGTTCCACCCGTGCCTCTTAAAAGGTCCCGAAGCGTCCATAGATTACGTCACGAGAGCCAGCCTGTCACGCCGTCGGATGTCGCGATTTTGGCGGTCGGTTGTAGAAGTTCTGGCAAAACGGACAAGCCAATGCAGGTTTCGCCGTTGCTGCTGCACGAAAGCTTTGGCAGCCACAGATGGAAACGCTGCGGCAACGGGGAAACCTACGTTTTCGCCGTCGCCGCCGCTTCTTAACTTGTGGCTGCCAAAGCTTTCGTTAACTGTCCAGCTGGGGAGTGAGCCACAGCAGTACGAGGCATCTGCCACATCCATTACTGCCGCTGCACCGCCTCCAGGATCACAGCGGGCAGCAGCGGGACACTTCTTTGATGTCACCAGGTGGAAATCGAGGGACCACAAATGAGGACGCAACAAGCGCATCGGTCTGATGTGCATTTCAGGCACCGCACTCCCGGTGCATAGTTTAAAATTTTTCACTACTGCCAGCCCATCAGGCTAAAGCAGGAGTGGATGATAGTGATACAGTGGACCTTTTTCGAGTAACGGGAGCCATCTGGGGGGTTGTCCGTGAACTACAAATGAAGGTCAGTTCAACATGCCTCCGTACATTGGCATTGTGCATGTTCTATCGGTTTTCACACCTTTTTATGTTTCACATTACCAGTGCTTAAAAAAGAATCGTCGACGAAGACAAAATATGTCCGAAAATAAATGCCGGCAATGTTGGTCATGGCCTCCGAAGATAGCAATAGCAGGAAGGAAGGCCAGGGGAGGGAGGGCGTATGCATGCACAGTGGCTTACTGGAAAAAGATCTATTGGCACATTTTTCACCGATACGAAACGCTGACAATGGCACGCTTGCGACCACAGGAGGCTCGCAGCAGCAGGACCCTCTCGGTTGGCTCCGTCGCGAGATCCGCCTCCACTCCAACCTGCTCCGCCTGAACTCCGACGGCGGGGTGGAGCTCGTGGAGCAGGCGGAGCTTGCTCCCGGCCAGAAGGGGGCGTCCACCTCGCTGCGCATCTCGACCAGGACGGCGCAGGCGGCGCTGCCCCACATGATGCTGTACCACTACGGCAACCAGGCACTGCAGGTCTTGGCGCCGGCGTGCATGGCCGCGCTGGCGCTGCTCATGAGCTCCGTGCCACGATCCCAAGGTTATTGCACACTCCTTCGGCGTGGATAGTAATATTCTGAAATCTCAAAAGCGAATGCCCACCCATTTCGAAGAGATAAATGGCGAAAACTATAGAGCGGACGATCTTTGAGAATGATACGGCAAAGCTTCATTCAAAATAACCGATAAACACCACTCACTCGCCATCAACCACACGATACGAGAACCAATCCCGCAAATCGCAAACGCGGCAGATTCGTGTTCCATGGTGTGTTAAACACGTGGGAACTCGCTACAGATTGTTGCGTCACGGAAACTGACGCAGCAGATCGCGAAACTGGTTCCGCGGTGGGTCAAAAAGGCACGGGAACCTGCTACAAGCTTGCATGTCACGGGAACCGACGTCGCAGATCGATGCATTGCATTCGCCTTTCACGGTGGTTCGCGGCAACCCGCTACAAACTTGCTTGTCACATTAACTGATATCGCACGTGTGGCTCGTGGTCGCGGCAAACTTGGGTTTCACAGTGCGACAAACACATGGGTACCCGCTCCGAGCACTCTCGTCGCACATACCGCTACCGCAAATCGCACGGTCTATCCTTCGGGAATCGGAGGTGGGTGACGTTCCTGAATTTTAGAACTGCAGATAATTGGCCAAAAAAATAGGACGGGCGATCTCCCGGGGGAAGGTGTTCATACGGGAGTCTGTGGCAGACCCTTTTTCAAAAGCCGATCGAGCAACACTGGCAGTCATCGTATGCTTGGCACCGCTTCCTGTGCAAAGCATGCGACCGAATCCGAGAGTTCACGCCGAGCGCTGGCGTAGTGCTCCTGTCGAAGAGGTTTGGACTTCGGATAATCAATGCAGCAGCTACTGAAGGGCGTACACTTTTGAGACGGATCTATGAGTGTCAGTTTGTTGAACCTTACGCTGGGCTGCAGAGGATGCGACGAGCCAACGCAGTCAATACTACACCATGCCGCGCTAGTGTCACGTCACCTTCGGGAAGGGTGCAGCGACACGCGGGGCGCCTATACTCTTGATACGTTAACAGTGCTAAAGTGGCTAGGATGGCTCGTGGCGTCTGCTAGGGTCCGTCGTAAGGTGAAGCAGAGCATAGCATTAGATTGATTAGTCCCCGCGAGGTGTTGCAATGTTTGTTTGTGTCAGGAGAAATTTTTTCATTTCTTATGGGGAATCGGTTTTTGTTGTATATCGAAACCTGCTCGCACTTTACGATCCCCTCATCTTTTCATTGAGAAAATGTGGCAATTTAGACGACTTGCAAGGTTTTGTCTCTTTCGAGGTCGACGGAGAGCCGTCGTCACAAGGAAGTCGTTGCGGCCCGGGAGTCGAGGGTCAACAACAGACATTCATATTTGTGACTAATAACGATCAAGATGAATCACTGTCATTATCAAATTCAAGTCGCAACTTGAATTTGTGTCTGTAATATTCAATTCGCTATCAAAAATATGAGCCATGAATAGTAACACGTTCAGAAAAAATTAATTCATATTGTTTATGACAGATGTTTAGAATGTTTAGAAAGTGAATGAGAATATTTTTCTAGCAGATATTCATAGTCCTAATAAATACATTATTAGGACTATGAATATCTGCTAGAAAAATATTCTCATTCACTTTTGTCTAAATGAAGGTTGCAAATAGCACCATGGACTTTGCTCATCTCCTCTGTAAAGTTAATTTTCGTGTCAATTTTTGCTCTACTAGGCTTTTTTTCTTTATATACTGTAAACAACAGAATTTTCGTGTAGACCTAATTTTCGCGAATCGCCTACCATTTGCGAAAAATAGGTCCCGTGAACAATTCCGGTAAAATGAAAGCACATTGGAATCTCTATTGAGATCCCACCGCGTCACGAAAATTAAAACCTGCGAAGTATTCCAAAACTTCAGTTTTTACATAAATCGCGAAATATTGAGCCTGCGAAAAATAAGTCGTTTACAGTATTTGTTTACCTTGCAACATATCACCCGTTTTTCTAATCCAGACTTTCTGTAACAGTGTCACCGCTCCGGATCTCGACATCCGTGCCTCAGCCTCCGAGTTCCGCTGCCTGTCGACAAATTCAATTCTTTACCAACTAATTTATATGTTTGTGTTTTGTACGGCCATAATATCCCGAGAGATAGCCCACCTAAAATTGAAAGCGAATTGGGTGAAAATAATGTGCGATAAAGAAATAAAAGTTGAAAAAAATGCTAGCTTTAGATTTTGTGACCTAGGAAACTGATGATTGCAGGGAGGGGAGATGAACCAAAAAGACGACTCTCCCCACCAGTCAGCAACGTTCGCTTATCTCCGTCGTGGTTAAGTAACACAATTTCCGTTGAGGTTGCCATTGGCCAGGGCCCTGCAATTCCTAGAAGTGGGCTATCTTTCGGTGTTTTTAAAGAAATAGCAAATCGTGCCAAAAATAGAAGGCAAATCGTGCGACGGGGTGGGGCATCCCCGAGAGATGCCCCACCCCGTCGGGGGTGGGGCATCTCTCGGGGTATTAGGGTATACCATTTCTATTAGCACGTCTTTAGTGTGATTCTGTATATATTTGTTTCTTGTGGTGTATTGTGGAAGTGCACCAATCTACAGACCATAGTGGTTGTTTTTTGTCACTTTAAATAAAACTTAATATTGTTATTATTAATAATAATAAAATAATAATAATAATAATTGGAACTATGAGTGCCTTATTACCGGTGAGAAAGTGACATCCTCAGTGCAGGTAGCAAAACTCCGTTGCAAGAGGGAACTTGGGTCTGTTGTTTGCCGCAGGTCAGGTGTACGAGAACTTCAAGAAGCTGCAGTCCCTGCTCCAGCGGGAATTCGTCTTCGAGCTGGACAAGATGGAAGGAGTGGGTACTCCTCGTTTCTGTTCGGTGTGACATAGAGGACAAAGGCGGGAAAGTTCCCCAGAACTTGGGTAGTTTGAGGACCCCCGTCTAGAGGCTGTTTCACACACTTGCAACTGCTTACGACTGTGTTCCTTAAAACCTCTTCACATTTCTGACGACCAAAACACTTGCCACTTCCGTAAATTTTTTTTTTCCGGATCAATTTTTTTTGGTTTGAAACTTTTCTTGACAATTTTTTAAATGACTATTTCTCGTAGATAGTATACATACACATTTGATCTCGCTAATTCCTTATCACGTTCGCTCTAGTGAAAAGCAGTTCCGGGGTGAGCCATAGATGGTGTCGGCGTGCCGGTGTGTTTTAGTGTGTTTTGTGTTCGCCTGTTGCAAGGGATTTTAAGAAGTTTTAAGGCACTCGGTTCTAAGGAGTCACAAGTGTGTGAACGGGCCTTAAGAGTTTCTGAGAACTCGGTCGTAAGCAAATGCGAGAGTGTGAACGGTCCCCTACAGTGTTGTTGTCTTCGGTTAATTGGTCCTCATGGGGCTGAATCTGGGATTTCCTCGCAGAGCTTCCTGGAGGCAGTGTACTCCCTGCGGAGCATGAACCTGCTCTCCGTCCTGGGCTGGGAGCCCGTCTCTGCTGAGAGCAGCGGCTCGCTTCGCTTCCTCGCCAGCCACCTGGCTCCCTTCCTCCAGGGCCTGCAGGTAGCCAACGGGGACGCGGGAGGCCTCCGCGTTGCATAGCGGTCGCGGAAAAGGGTGCAGTTGTGTTGTTCTAACAGCGCTGTCGTCGACTTCCTCGATCGCGGCCACCGTTGGAAAGCTGCGTTTGTCAACCGCGAACGTGCCTTTGGAGGCTGATTTACACATTTGCATTTAGGTGCGACCGAGTGCGTGGTAGCTGCTTGCTACGTGTGTGTAGAGAGCCTGTGTTACGGGGAGTGCCCAACTGCTCGAATCGGGGTCACACGGTTTACAAGCCGCACTTGCAATACGAGCTGCGAGGAGGCGACCAAAGCGTGGATCGTCTGCGAACGTCTCCGCCTTTCCGCCCACTGCCCTCCTCGTCGCGCGAAAGGGCGGCCCGTGTGCACTTGCGACCGATCGCCGCGGGAGGTTTCCGTCATTAAATTGCAAACGCTCCGCATGGTTCGGGGTGGACCCTCTCTACAATCTGGGCTCTCTAACTACAAGAGGACACTGGCGCCATCTGTCGGGTGGCCCTGGAACTGTGTGCAAGCAGGCTGAATTTATTACAGTGTTTGCAAGATGAAATCTGTGCTATCTGGCGAAAATTGTCATTAATAACTGGGGTTTCCTGTTTTCCGAGTTCATTTCTCATAAAATTAGTAAGTTGTTTTTCTGAGTTGATTTTTCGCTGGTTTGGGGGTTTATCGGTGTTTAGGTTTGTACGATTTCAAATTCTTTGAAATTTTGAGTTTAATTTTACTGCATTCCAGTTTTTCGAAATTCAATGTAAAAATAAATGTTTGGGCAAAAAGCGCCCCAAATTTATAAAAACTCACGGGTATTGAAAGATATTTCTGCAGCTGCATTTGGCATTGGTGCCCTTATAGTCGGCAGTGTTAACTGTCCCACAACAAATATTGCAAGCAAAGGTTGCTTCAATAAACGCTGGCACTTTGAAATAGCCAAACTCCTTTTTTGTAGTCGTTAGGTAGCATAAAACGTTTCAGCTTCCCTTCCACTCCTATGAAACATGCAGGTTCATTACTTTTACTGTGATAAGAAGACAAGCCTTCATCTTTCTTAGAAACAAAATAGTTCAGTCGAAACTGGAAACTGGAGCAGTGTTCTTGTCTTCACCCGGAAGCACATTGGCCCATTGTACCAAACAATGTAGTGACCCATTACTGAAAGAACCCTGACGAGATAAATGGGAACTTCCTTTTTTTTAATAATCCTAGACTAAAAGAAGAAAAAAAAAAGAGATGTGGCCTCTCCTCAGGACAACTAGAAACCTTGTTCCCTGGCAAGTTTTATTCATAAAATACCATAATTTTTTTTTTTGCCATGTGACCTTAAAATTTAGGGCTTTTCGGTTAAATTCGAATTGACGAAAATTTTACTGTAAAGTGTTTTTCCGAGTTTATTTTTTTCTTTAATTTTTACGAAAATAGGAAATCCTTGTTGTAATGCTGTCAAAATTATTTCGAGCCCACGGCAAAAACATGGTGCGCAAATAATTGAGGAAACATTCCGAGGACACCTAAGCGCTTCTTATGAGTTGTGAATGCGAAAGCATGAATGTCGTTCTTTCTCCCCCTTAGTTTGTCTGCGGTGTACTGCTGTGGACAGCCATGTTTCACTACTGCCGAGGTTGCGGCCGTTGATGATATAGATGCCTTAGGCGCCGCCATGCTTCTCGGCGCTGAGAAGAGCAGACGCAACTGCAGCTTCCCCTCCGGCGACGACTGGCATAAGAGCGACGGCCGAGCGCACTCCTTCCTGGCGTGCAGGCCGGGGTGCCAGGAAGAGGGCTTCTCTGTGGGGTGGCGTTCCTTGTAACAATACGTATCCCGGCCAGTGGTTATCTAGGAAGCCGTGTTGCTGGGACTTTTCGCGTTTCTCGCAGTTCCAGACGCCACCAGCTCCTGGGAATTACTTGTCGCCAGCTCCTTGCGCTGTTCGCGGTTACAGACGCCACCTTGTTCACGGTTACAGGCGCCACCAGCTCCGCTTCGTAGGACAGTTAATGCTCTCGCATTAAAACATGCAGACCAGAAGCGTCGCCAGCAGTCGCGACGCACTCAGCCAGACCCAAATGCAAATGTGTGAACCAGCCTTTACAGCGGGCTCTGCATTCCGCTGGGGTCACAATTTGTGATCCCAGCGGCTTTGGCTCGAACTTCCAGCTGGCTTGCTATCTGTGGCATTAAGTTGACTCGCTTTCTCTGCAGCTGCCCCAGTCATTATCGTGCCTCAAGGCGCAAGCTTTAGTGGTCCACTATCGACACCTCCCGCAAGAAATGTGCGGGACTAGAATGGTGGTAGACATTTTGGGCTAGTCGGTAGATCGAACTTACAAATATAAAGATAGCAACAACGGATGACAGACAAGTGGACAAAGTTTTCAGAGAGACCGCGGACTTACTATTGAAGTTGCCACACAAACGGCATCCACGTTCGGCGTTCTCGACAACGTCAATTTCGGAGAGGTTGCGACACGTTGCTGATGAAAATTTCGGTCCTGAGCAGGTGGTGTGTAGCTACTTGCTGGAAGCTGGGCACGGCGAAGTAGCGGTGCCCGAACTGGTGAAGCAGTGCCAGTGCTCGGCCGAACGGCACTTGCTAAGCGGTGCGCTGAGTGACCACCGCGTGCTCTCCTTGGACCTGCTGAACAACTCCCTGGTCTGCCTGTGCTCCCTCAATGCTGCCAGCAAAGAGAAGAGGTGGGCTCTGTTTCGTCCTTTTTCGCTAGGGCTCATCCTGGTGATCGGGGTCACCGTTGTTTTTGGCGCTTCATCAGTTTTTTGTTGTCGTTAAAATTGTCATCAATGTCATAATATGCCCTCACTATAATAGTTATAAATCATAGTATTTCTCCCGTCATTGCTGCATCAGTATCATTATCAACACCATCACCAATGTTGTTTCTTTTAGCAGTTTTTTTTTTTTATTAGGTTAAGGCCTGTTCACACGTACAGCATAGCGCTGCTTCAGTGCTGTTAGTCAGCGTTAGAAATAGCAGCGAACTTGCTGATGTAGCTCCGACTTTGCAGTATATTTGTGATCAAGCACCGATAGCGCTGAGGCAGCTCTAGTAAGTGATACATCAGTTTTGTTTTTAGTGTTTACTGAGCACTGTGCTGCACATGAGAACCGGCCTTTATTTATGATCAAATAAGTCACTCCCATCGTGATTGTAAAACTTTGCCTTTGAACTTCAGTTTGACGTCGTTAGTATGTGTAACTGAGTAATGCCAATGTTTTGAGGACACGAAAGATAATTGCATTCCTGAATAACTGAAACATTGATGCTACGAAAGTTGCAATTATATAACCAAGCCTCCGACCACTCCAAATGACACGGTTAGTTTGAAATTTAAGTGGCATTTTTTGGTTGCAGGAAGGACTTTGTGACCCTTGTGCCAAATCCGTCGGCAGTCTCCAAAACCCTCGCACAGATTGGTGAGTATGGGAGAAAGCCTTTTATTGATTTATTTCTACCAGAGCGAATTCCGATTATTGTTAGCACGCTTGCTTTCAGGCAAATTGTGACTGGCCTGAAGTATCACCAAATCTCAGACTCGAGACTTTATTGCTTTACCGAGCACGATGCGTGTGAATCATTTGGCGGGCTAGCATGCATTCTCAAGAAAGCCTAAAGGCTTTCTTGAGAATACCTGTTACCTGGCTTATAGGCATACCTGGCTTATAGGCAAATTGTTTTTGAATACATACAACAGGGTTTGTTTAATGGGATTGAGTGAATTTTGCCTACAACAAGATTGACTGTAAGTGGCTCCTCGTAGAAATGCTACTTTTTGAGTGGTATAGTATGTTCCTGTCTTCATTTGTAAAATACCTTTGTTCGAATAATATTGTAATGCATGTTGGCAAACTCCAGGCACGAAATACGAGCATCGATTGATGCACCGCTCCACCTGAAGATAGTTTTTCAACTTATGCTTCTCTCTGTCTCCCCACTGATGCTTCTCTTTTATGTATTTGGTTTGTTTTACAATGAAATACTAATATTTGGGTACGTGTTATGCGAGCGCTTTCACTGCTCTCGAGACTGAACTTTTTTCATTTCTCTCTTTTTGCAGATTTCTTCCTGGACGGTTTGGCCGAGCTTTCGACAGAAAACATTGACGTGTCCAGGGCCAAGCTGTAATCTCGACGAGGGCGTTTAATTTATTACGGTCTGTCATAATTCCAGTGGCAGTAGCAAGGTGATACTGAAGTGACAGGGCTCTACTAACACCGGCCCAGGTAGCACACAGTGCGGGTCTGGCTCCACGTTGTTGTAGCATATTGTGAACATCACACGTGACCATCGTACATGATCTGCCTATATGGCTACAGGTTGCGATTCATGTGCGCACAATGCATGACCATATCGGGCACATGTGCTCACTTGAGCCACAAATGGATGCCTAGATGGTCCCTTCATACCATGTGCCAACTATAGGTATGACTAGAGCTTCCATGGAGGGGCACTCCACACATGTCTGTTTATGTAGGAGAATACAGCAACATTCTGTATGGGTAATTACTGCCATATAGTCAACTCCTATATCAGTTATTTTTTAGGAGTAGAACCAATAAAAAATGTGTTACGGATTGTGAGAATATTTACTTTGAGGCTGTCGAAGGGAGAATACTCACTTTGACAGGGCTCTCTGCAGGGATGTTCATTTTGAGGAGGCTATGAAATAGGTAGGTGTAGGTTTCACATTTTAAGCATATATTAGTACCTACTGTGCCTGGCACATAGCCAGGATTTTTTGGGGAGGAACTCGATACCTAGTTTATCACAGTGCAATGGGGCCGTGCCATTCCGAACGTAGATCAGGTGTTGTGTAAGCAATGCATTTTGATGTTTGCTTCTGATCCTTTGTATGTGTTCGTTGTAATATAAAATACCATATTCCAGTAGAACATCGACGAGTTTTGGAGAAAACCACAGTGAAAAATCACTTCGCTTAGACATTCTGTCAAATTCAGTGAAGGTGCGATATCACTTGACAGGACTTCTAACGGGCTTAGTATCAGAGTGGTGTGACATGTGGCAAAGGTATTGTGAATGTATAGATAATTTTTCTGCACCTATGAATGTCTTCTTTGATGGCATTACATCATTTTCTCTGAAATGCTACCACACATACAACCTGAGTGTGAAAATCCTCCGTGCCTATTATTTCAGTATTTTACTAATATGCTGTTCATAACTCACTACACTTTCCGTCCAGAGCTCGGCTTTCTGACATTCTCGTGCACACACTTCCCATCCTCCGCCTATTTTTTGTCGCATAAGAATCAGCAAACTTTCAGTCGAAAAGCTAACTCTGGTGCTGTCCCACACCAGTCGCTGCTCATAGCACACCGGTGCAAAGTGGCGAAGCTTGACGCATGCGACAGTAAAATGGCAAAGCTTGACGTGACAAAGTGGTGAAGCATGACGCGTACGATGGTGCAAAGGGGTGAAGCTTGACGCATGTGATGATGCGAAGTGGTAAAACTTGAATGTTTGACGGTGCAAAGCGGCGAAGCTTGATGCATGCAACAGTGCAAAGCTTAATGCGTGCAACAATGCAAAGTGGTGAAGCTTCACACGTGCGACGATGCAAAGTGGTAAAGCTTGACGTATGCGATGGTGCAAAAGTGTGAAGCATGACGCGTGCGACGATGCAAATGTGCGACGGTGCAAAACAGCGAAGCTTGACGAATGCAATGGTGCAAAGCAACGAAGCTTGACGCATGCAACGGTACAACGCTTGATGCGTGCAACAATGCAAAGTGGTGGAAGCTTCACGCATGCGACGGTGCAAAGTGGTAACGATTAATGCATGCGATGGTGCAAAGTGGTAAAGCTATAAATATGTGATGGTGAAAAGTGGTGAAGCTTGACAGGTGCGACGGTGCAAGTGGCGAAGTTTGAATGTGCAAACGAGTAAAGATTGATGCGTGCAACGATGCGAAGCGGTAAAGCTTGACGCATGCGACCGTACAAAGAGGTGAAGCTTGACACATGCTACAGTGCAGAACCAACTTGACGCACTTGAGGTGGAGCGGTGCTCGTTGTGTCCATAAACAGAAAATACTTTTCCCCAACACCATCCTTTTGACTGTGCTTGGAACATTTTGTGAATGGAGTGCACACCGAACGCTGTACTGTCTATGAACATGGGGTACGCTTGCAAGGTGCATGCAACTTTTCTCATGGTAATTATTGTTTCAGCTTGTAACTTCTTGTAACTGAATTTATCTTAATATGGATATTTTGAAGTGGTGACACCGACTCGATTTTATCATCTATAACACTTAGTTGAAGGCTCATTCCTGCAGCCGGGTGTGGCTGGAAATTGTCGAAAAGTTAGTTCTATCGGTTTTGCTGAATCACCATCCCCGGCGCGATACCAAAGAGCCGTAACCCTATGTTGACCGTCACAACGTGACTACATTTTTATTTTTAAAAATTTACCGCGGCTCCAATTAAGTTTTGGAGTTTAAAACAGAAGAAAGCGCGAACGAAGTTTGGGCAATGCATACACCCAACACCGGCGAAGCCTCTCATACAGGACTTTCACTTTTTCTAACACACCAGCAAGGGGACAAACGCCGGTAGCCCTTTCCCCTTTTCTCTCTCGCTTTCAAAATGGCACTAAAACGTTACAGAGGCTGGCGGCAGTGTGCTGAGGACACGTTTTCTGCTCGTTCGTTGTCATTCGCCAAAGAAGTTGTTTAAAGTCTGTGAAAGCGTTGAGACATGTCATTGAGAATACGAGGAAAATTTTACGAAAGCGCAGTGCCGCTGGAAAAAGGCGCAACTCGTCGAAAGTAGGGATGTTGCGAACCTCCCAAAGGTCGAATTTAACAGTTTTTGAACTTTTCGAACCTCTCGGGGGTTTGATTTCGCAAAGTAAAAGTCGAAGTCATCGAAGTTCTCAAATTTCGAATTCGACTGTTTCAATTCTTTTTTTAAGATTGAGGTTCGTAAAATTTAACGGTTCCAATTTTTGTAGGATGCATGATCGCAAAATTTAATAATTTTGAATTTTTTTTAGCTTCAGGGTCGAAAACTTCAAAAAAGGTAATTCTTTCGTAGCCTAAGTTCGCGAAGTTCGAAGTCTTCGAACCTCACGAAGATCGGAGTTTCCGTAAATATTGCAAGCTGAGCTCCGGAAATTTTGTGACGAATCTTAGCGTGCTGTAAAGTTCATTTAGTACTCGCTACTTCGGTACTATTCGATACTGGCCACAATCTGGCTGGTGGGAAAGACGACGACCATGGATCACAGAATGGGGAAAATACTGGGCCACAGGCAAGAATAGAGTCGACAAAGAACCCGACAGCGAGAGCGCAAGGAACACTGAACGACCATGAACAGCGGACACACTAGAAAAAAAGGGTGTAGTGGGGTACACCATAAGGGGTGTAAGTGCTTGTCACATATTTTACACCCTTTGTGGGAATATTTGTACACCCTGAAGAAGGGAGTGTGTACACCCATTGGTGTAGCATATGTGCACTTTTTTCTACACTAATATCGCTCAAACGGAACACAAGTGCACCCCATTCAATGGTGTATGGCTACACCTCTCTACACCCAATGAAATCAAAGGGAACACGGATGCACCCCATTCAATAGTGTACCATTACTCCCCTTTCTACACCTACTACCCTCAAAGGGAACACAGGAGCACCCCATTCAATGATGCAGTGTTACACCTCCTACACCCACGGAACTCAAAGGGAACACAGATGCACCCTATTCAAAGGTGTACCATTACACCAGTTTACACACCCCCGTCACTCAAATGGGACCAAGATACACTCCACTCATTGGTGTAACATTGCGCCTCTCTCTACCCCAACTTCACTGAAAAGGAACATGGGTGCACTCCATTCTATTGTCTATTTTCTACACTCCCTCATTCAAATGGAAGACCGATTAATCCAGTCAGATGGTGTACCATTACAGAGCCACTGTGTTCACCACATAGTCAAATATTTTAATTTTAATTAATTCTAATTATGTGCACAACTGTTCTAATTGGCTGCAAAGCAAAAAGAACCATAAAACATATTCCAAACCGCAAGTTACGCCGCACTTTATTTGGTGCGGTGTATCAGTGTCGTCGGAAGGTTCAGGCTGATGCCTGCCAGAGGGGTGAACGTCACACCCGTTCGTCTTTCTAAGACACTGAGGGACTTCAGTGCTCCTGGAGCGTACCGGATATTGAAAATCCAGTACATACAAAAAAAAAAAAAAAAAAAAAAAAAAAAAAACCTGAGACACAACTTGCAACATCCAGGTTGAGGTCCTCTACCGGACCAGGTAGAATTTTGACTCTGAAGTTGATGCCCCACTGCAGAACGCTGTGGGGTGGGGAGGCTGCAAGTCGGGGTCCTGATATGAAAAGGAAATGAAAAGTTGAGACGCTTAGAGAAGTCAAGGCGCTTTGAGTGTCGGTTACTCGAAGAAAAAAAAATAATAATACAGTGCAATCCACTTATAACAATACCAGATATAACGATTTACTGCTCATAACAATCTTTTTCTATAGTCCAGATACAATGATAATCTGTTGTAACGATTGAATTTTCGAATTTTTTCATTATCGTTGTAAGTGGGTTGCACTGTAATGTAATTACTACTGTTATTCTGCAATTACTTTTGCATTCCTTTGCGGGAAAAATTGTGCATGAATCTATTGACACAGGGTGAACAGCAGACGCAGAGCTAGAAATATTGAAATATATGGAGTGGTCCAAGTCGCCCGGCTCAATCTAAAATGGACATTAAAAATCGACGCCTGCTCGTAGCAAACTAAACTTTTTGTCAAAGGTGTATTTCACAGGTCGTTTTTTTCTTGTAAAATTCCAAAGCATAATTCTCTTTCTGTATAAAGTAGGGCCAAAACTCTTGCCAGGGTCTACGGCGGGCAGCGACGCAGACGACAGGGGCCCAGTAGCGGGGTGTGTTCAGTGTTCGTATTGATAGATGGCGCTACCTCCTTGTCGCGACGGCTCGCGACCACTGTGGTTTATTAAAACTAACAATCTTTTTGAAATGTAGCTTCGGTTAAAAATAAATGTAGACAATAAAAGCAAAACTTAAAGTAAAAAAAAAAAAAAACGCGTCTGCATACGACGGCGCTTTTGCTGCCAACGGATTTCGTCTGCGTGTCGTCTGCTTTCTTCGCTGGTCGGCTGCACCTTCGGACGCTGCTCCCGACGCCATCTATCAATACGAACGCCAAACACACCCCGCTACTGGACTTGGTCGTCTGGGTCGTCACCCTTCGAAGACCCTGACAAGTTTTTTGGCCTCATTTTTTTACAGAAAGAGAGCTACGCTTTGTAATTTTACAAGAAAAAAACCGATCTGTGAAATACACCTTTGACAAAAAGTTTAGATTGCTACTTGCAGGTGTAGATTTTTACGGTCCATATTAGGTCGAGCATGGTGATTGGGACCAGCCTATACATGTTCTGATCCGGTAATTAGGAGAAAGATTACAATTGAAAACGAGCGTGTTGGTTAAGGCAAGACACTGGTTCTAAAGTCGACTTTTTTGTTTATTAATAATGGATTATAATGAAAATCGGTGTGTATA